TATAAGAAATGCTCTGTAGAGAGTTGCCCAAGGGTGCCGCTCCGGCATCCAATGGTTTTGAGGTCCCAACCCTATATTCATGCTGATAAGTTAAAAAAACATTGTAATCCGAAGAAAACGATTAGCTTTGAAGTTTCTGCCAGACTATAATGACAATGTCTCCAGTTAAAAAATGACACGATTGATCATTCGCCTGTATTTGGTTGAGATAAAAAGCCCACATCTGTACTTAATACTGCATGAGATAAAGATGTGCTCTTTTAGGATTTTTCCGATTTCAACCAAAAACTTTTGAGAGAATCCCTTATTCCATGCAATTGTTAATCTTTTTTATCTTATCAACGTTGTTTTTATTTCGGTTTTGTATGAAAAGGTTGATTGGCTAAAACCAAGACAATGTTTTGTGTTATTTGTTTGATAATGCAACATTGATAGAATTGGGGCGAATATCATGTCATGTTAAGTACTGCCTTCTTGCCATTATCATAGACTGACAATCCACTAGGGTCACATTTATTAAGTTAGTATGCCCGTTATCTTTATTTGGGATGTTATTCGCTACTTGGATTCTTGATTGTGCGACAGTAATTATCTTATTCTCAGAATATATTTGTTGATGTGTTTTGCTTTTGAGAGTTAAACTTTAAGTTTTAAAGTACAACGTCAAGAATCATTCCTGCATGTACATTCAATTTTGTACATGTTCCTTTGTATGGTTGTGGCAAGGTCGTTACAATACCCGGGAATTTATCGGTTCGTGCAGTGCATGTTTGTGATGGGGCTCTCTGCAGGTAGTCACTAAACAGCCGTAAGAATTGAAAGCCCATGGAATAACTCCACAAAAACATCTAGTTTTAAAATCTGGGTGATTGTTGATGGAATTAAAGTTTTATCAGTGAAATCACCAGTGAAAATGTATAGACTTTTCATTCTATTTTGTTTATCATATATATGTATATAATTTTTTAAAAAGTATGACGAAATGATTTAGTTTACTACAAATATTTGACTTTTTATGACGGTGATCTTCAGTTTGAAATCTGTTGAAAATGTTTCAAAATTCTTATAGATTGGGAAAAAGCCGTACGATCTTTTGATTTTTGTTGCTCTTTTTCTGGAGATATTTCGAGCTCCAAGGGGGACATTTGGAGCTATTCCAAGGTACATGTGGTTAGGTATCTGAAATCTTCGTTTTTGCATTCCGAAGACTTCCATGTTTTTAAATTGAATCATTCGTATCGTGCCATTGGTGGTGTTGTGTATCTCGTAATCATATTGATAATCGAACCCCCGTGCAGTAGCTCGGAAAAGACACTACGACGGGCACATGACAAAAATAGTCCCCATTTTCATTATAGATGTGATCAATTTTCACACAATATATAAAATATATATTCTTTTACGTTCCCCAATCGTTATTTTGTCAAAATATTTCATAATTAATGAAATATAAGAAGATATCCCCGCGGACGGAATTCTGAGTAAAAGTTCCAATCCAACCAATGAAATTGTCTGACTTTACAATCACGCAACATCAGCTGTCAATCACGTCAATTGTTTATGCGAAGTTGCCATGCTTACAGTTAATGATCTGCCTGCCGCAGTGATATGTTGAAGCTTATCCACTGAACAAAACGCGACTACCATGTAGATTTTCCGGGTATTGACATTTCCTTTGGTTGTGGTAGTGTGTATACTCATCACTAAATACCCGCAACAGTTTGTATTATCATTATTAAATACTCTCACCAGTGCGTATCCCCATCACCACATACTCTCAACAGTTTGTATCATCATTATTAAATACTCTCACCAGTGCGTATCCTCATCACTACATACTCTGACCAGTGTATCCCCATCACTACATACTCTCAACAGTTTGTATCATCATTATTTTATACTCTCACCAGTGTGTCTCCTCATCACTACATACTCTGACCAGTGTATCCCCATCACTACATACTCTCAACAGTTTGTATTATCATTATTAAATACTCTCACCAGTGTGTATCCTTATCACTACATACTCTAACCAGTGTATCCCCATCACTACATACTCTCAACAGTTTGTATCATCATTATTAAATACTCTCACCAGTTTGTCTCCTCATCACTACATACTCTCACCAGTGTGTATACCCATCACTACATACTCTCAACAGTTTGTATTATCATTATTAAATACTCTCACCTGTGCGTATCCTTATCACTACATACTCTAACCAGTGTATCCCCATCACCACATACTCTCAACAGTTTGTATCATCATTATTTTATACTCTCACCAGTGTGTCTCCTCATCACTACATACTCTGACCAGTGTATCCCGATCACTACATACTCTCAACAGTTTGTATTATCATTATTAAACACTCTCACCAGTGCGTATCCTTATCACTACATACTCTAACCAGTGTATCCCCATCACTACATACTCTCAACAGTTTGTATCATCATTATTAAATACTCTCACCAGTTTGTCTCCTCATCACTACATACTCTCACCAGTGTGTATCCCCATCACTACATACTCTGACCAGTGTATCCCCATCACTACATACTCTCAACAGTTTGTATTATCATTATTAAATACTCTCACCAGTGCGTATCCTTATCACTACATACTCTAACCAGTGTATCCCCATCACTACATACTCTCAACAGTTTGTATTATCATTATTAAATACTCTCACCAGTGCGTATCCTTATCACTACATACTCTAACCAGTGTATCCCCATCACTACATACTCTCAACAGTTTGTATCATCATTATTAAATACTCTCACCAGTGTGTATCCCCATCACTACATACTCTGACCAGTGTGTATCCCCATCACTACATACTCTCAACAGTTTGTATCATCATTATTAAATACTCTCACCAGTTTGTCTCCTCATCACTACCAGTGTGTCTCCTCATCACTACATACTCTCACCAGTGTGTATCCCCATCACTACATACTCTGACCAGTACATACTCTGACAAGTTTTATATTTGAGAATTTTAATAAGCTTGTTTTATTAAATGTTTATCAGTATAAGCAGGGGAGGGGCACTTTGCGGAAATAACGTCACAAATATATAGGGTGTCTCAAAAAATGTACCCAAAAGTATATCAAAAGCATAGACAAAACAATCAATATTTTCAGATATTATTTGCATGGTCTTGTAGATAAAAGATGAAAGTTATTTCCCCTATACACAGTTTTTAATTCAGTTTTGCCTTTTTGATACTTTAACCTGTTACCTTTTAGACAACATATTCAATGTAACCTCATATTTCGATGACAGTCTGCATCTTTACTGCTACATTGTTCATCACATTTGATATTTCTGATTAAATGTTTTGATTTCTGTTCGAATGCTGGTCTTAAGTTATTCTAGGTCTCTTAGCTTGGGTTTGGCATAAAAATGGTCTTTCAAATAGCCTCAGAGAAAAAGTATGAGCCGTCAAATATGGTGAATAGGGAGGCCCTAACAATGTCTTATACAGAGAAGTCAGAGGTTCAAGCTAAAAAGAAACTGCATTGGTTGGGATTCTAGTGTAGCCTTTGTTGTGTATATCTATTTGAGACCACTGTGTTTTCATTTGGATATCAGTTGGTCTCCAGACTAGCCTGCCTAACTCTGGAAGGTTACTCCTGAATCATTAGCCGATAATTGACCTGATTATCTGTGTTTGTTCTGCCATCGTCATGCTCAAACATCTTTCTCTGTGGGTATTTCGAAGGGGTGTTTTAATGCTCATTTCAAGCAAAAAGACCAAGAACAACTTAAGGGCAACATCCAAAGAGAAATCCAAACATTAAACCCGAATTATTATCAAATGTGATGAACAATGTTGCAGTAAGGATACAGGCTGTCATTGAAATATGAAGTTACATTAATGCAAAATATGTCTGGAAATATTGATTGGTTTATCTGTGGTTTTGATATACTTGTGGGTACATTTTTTGAGACACCCTGTATAATATTTTTACTCGTTTGTCAGCATGATCCCGTCTTGTCTTTAAAAACAAACATAGTTCTAAATAACGTAGCATAGTTAAGGTATAAAACATTTTCAATAGTCAAATTGGAGAACCAATTTCCTTTGACTGAGTCAATAGTATATTTAAATACTTTGAAATAATAAATCTGATTTAATGATATGTACTCTACCCGACGAGACAATCAATTTCCCCTTATTTCGATAAAATTGCTGACATAACAAACATAACGAGCGATAATAATGTGTATTTGGGGTGGAGTGAACTGTAGTAGAAACGTCCACTAATATACTTATTTCTTTGTTCGGCACATCATGCATCTTGCTCATAAAAATCAAATATGCTCGAGTCGTTTTTGTAAATATTTTTAAATTACCTTTTAGAAAATATGTTTTTTCATTGAAAAAGAGTGTGTTTTATTTTGAGGAAAGTAAAAGTGCATAACCACATTTAGGAGGTCTTGATACTATTCTGGAAGGTTAAGAGTAGGGAACGATCGTACGTGGATTGTGGTCATGACAAACAAGAGCCATACTATGCCAGAATCTAAAGTTAATTGGTATTGACTTTGTATGTAACTCATACACGATCACCAAATCCACAAATGTTAACATATGAAATTTCCGCCCTGGTGCATAGACCCATGAAAATGTGAAGCACAGCGATTTGCATAAAGATGTAATCATGTTTCCCACAACCACAAGACGTCATGAACCAGCATCATGACGAATATACTCTTTAACAGACACAAACAAAAACAAGAAAAACAACCTACATATTCTCGATACAAGATACGACTGGCGCATTTTGAAGAATCCAACATCCAAAATGACATCCCTAATAAAGATAAAGGCCACTCCTTCGAAACGTGACAATAGTAGATTACCAGTCAATGAAAGTCAAAGGGAAGTACTTAACTTGATATAACGCCACAATAATATTTGTTCTCCAATTCAAAAACGTCAATGCCAGAGTATTAATCAAACAAATAACATAATTCGTAGTCTGGGTTTCGACCAATGAAGACTTTAACTCCCAAAAACTGAAGCAAAACAAAAACGTTAATCAAATAAAATGAGCAATTGCAGGGTATTTTTTATCAAAGCAATTTTGGATTCGGGTTGGGCCTGCAGTGCTCTCTCTGAAAATGGGACTCAATATGATTTTTTCAATACTTTCGATATTTTTTATTAGCTTTCCATCAATTGTAGAAAGGTAAGTGTCTATGTTTTCTTGGTACAATTTCAATTCTCATTCAAAGGGTCTAGTGACGTATTCAAGGTTCTAAAATCAAGATCAGTGTTACGAGCATATACTTAACTGTACCTGAACACTTACCAATGAGAGTTAGAATTTCTTTGCATCAGCAGCATCTTAATTCATTTTCTTTAATATCAAAGCCCCAACATTAAACGATGCATTCTAAAATGATTCGCTCGTCTACATGAACACTAATCACCGGGTCTTCTTTCAAGACAGTATGAAAGTAACAACATAAGTGCACTGCAAATCAACCCCAATCGCATCTTATATGCAATACCAGTGACGCAGAATTAACAAAATAATTGTTGTAGTAATATGAGTATATTTTCAGTGGGTATTGCACAAGGTATATAACAGTGTCGTATAGCGCAAGATACTACACTAAATGTGGAGCGTTTGGCTGGTCAAGATGCACTAGGTATGTCAACATAACATACATCATTTTGTAGATCATCGTAATCACAAAAACTATGTGGTTTTCATACACTCTATCTTTTGAAATGACAATTTTTTGTGTGTATTTCACTTCAAGGGATATGTAATACAATGTTAAGAGCCCCATTGAGCAATTGGAGAATGTCACCAATTGTTGTTTATAATATCAAAGATAATTTTGTAGGACTCGACTCGACTCGATTTTCATATAACCTTATTTGGAGCTTTTCTGGTTGTTTTAATTTTAATATGATAGTGTTGGATTTTCTCAATTACTACAGATTGGGCATAAGCCGTTATCAAATGTTCTAAACTTTTCTAAATACGTTATAGATGGCGTACCGCCTACAGGTCCCAGGCAGAGTTGTATTGCTGTGCCGGTTACTATGGCACCAATTGCGCCTCATTGCACAAGTGAGTGGGTAATGTATTCTCGGTCTCAGACAAAATGCTAGGGGATTTCTATTTGTACAGTCATTTCTCAAATCTGTTGTAGTTGGTTGTGTAATTAAATGTCGTTTCCAGATGTTTTGGGGTGTTTCTCCTTTTATATTTTACTCATGGATTCCGAAAAAAATATCTTTCCAGAAAGTCAAATTATTTAACAGTTTAAAACCCCGAATGAATCCTGTAATATATTTACTTTATTATTGTAGTGGTTGGTGTGATGATCCAAACGGGCAGAATGCAAAATGTTGCATAGGATACGGAGGAGGTTCATGCAGCGGTAAGTAACTTTATCCAATCTTTTTATTTGACATTGCAATTTACAGATTGATCCGTTGTCGGACTTGTAGTATTCTCGTACATTGCTGACAATGTACACACTGACGTATTCTCATAAGGACAAATCCATAGTTAATATATTACATTAATCTAGGACCTTACTTTGCAGATATTAATGAGTGTTCTAGGGACAATGGCGGATGTAGCCACTCGTGTACCAACACAGCGGGATCGTTTGTTTGTGGATGTAACCATGGATACCAACTATCTTCCAATAGAAGAATCTGTGAGGGTAAGTAATACATTGAACTTCTTATATCGTTTTTTAAAGTATGGGTGCATTACCAATGTTATTATCTGACAGTCATGCATCATTGACGTTCCTGACTTGAACTCCCACAATACAAAATAAAATACCATTTTTACAAAGCGGAAAGACATGGCCGCTGGTGAAATTCGGCGAAATTATATTTTACTTAAGATTAAAAAGATAAAGAATCATGCGAAGTAGACGAACCGATGAACTAGGACTGGACTGCATGTGAAGATCAATGAAGGTGTATTTATTATTTTTAAATTTGATGTAACAAATGGAGTGTTATTTTTATAGAGTATGGTCACTGTAGTGGCCAGGAGAATATGGTACATCATTATTAGAAGATTGTCAGGGTGGGCCAAAAAATGTTACTGATTTTAAAATGTTATCACTAATTCATTATTGACATGATTGGTCTCAAACTCTCAGAGATGACTAAAAATTGATGTAAATTGATTCCACGTAAGTAGTTTTCATGTACCACGCGTTTTTTGGAGGCTGCCAATCAAATCATCACTGTCCATTTTAGTGAATGACGTGTATGACGAATCTCACTTTCACCTATCTTGACTTGTCAATAAGCAGAACATACTATTATGGGCTGTTGATAATCCTACGCAGACACAAGATAGGCCACATGATGTGCTATACCATTTGGATTCGAAGATGCCAAAGGAACCTACTATGACAGTGAATTCTGAAAGAACCAGAACCTGATCATACGTGTGTGTTTCCTGCTTGCCTTAAGACGGAACAGATGGGTGAGAATGCGAAGTTTCTTCTTGCAGCAGGATGGACCACCTCCTCATTGCTCTAAGAGCAGCCTAGAATATTTAGAGAGAGTATTTCCTGGTGAAAGGCTTATCTGACGTAGGAGTAGGACCCCAAACATATGGACACCATACTCTCCAGACGCCAATCCGTGTGATTTCTTTCTTTGGGGGTACGTAAAGGAATTAGGGATCACCAAAACCATCCAACACAACTGATAAGCTTAAGGCTAACACCAAACATTCATGAGATCAACCAATTACCACTGGACATGATTCACTGAGTTATTGATAATTTCAATAGCGTGCTCTGCCCAAGCAATACTTGGCAAGCGTGGCGTATTGATGGAACACTAAAATGGACATCGCGATTTGATTGGCAGCCACCAAAAAATGCAGAGATGTACACAAAAACCACTTATGTTGAACAAAACTTGCATCGATTCTTAGTCATCTCAGAAAGATTAAGACCAATCATGCTAATAATTAATGAGTTATTATATCTTAAAATCAGTACCATTCTTGACCCACCCTGTGATATTGTACAAACAATCATTGGTACTCAAAGCAATAGTATTGTGTTTTTTACTTTTTTTCTTCAATAAGGAAAATTTGTAGACATGAGGTAAATTGATCAGAGTGGGTGTAAATTCGTGACATGTTGAAGTGAAATGTTTTTTAACAATTTCGATTTCAAGTATTTATTTGGCTAACAACCGATAAAGGTCGTAATAAAACTCTTTACGCTTTTGAACAATTGCCCTCATTGGTTTGTTTGTATTTCACTTTACTTAAGTTATGGTCTATCAACTTAAAGTACAAAATTGGATATGTTTATTTCTTATTTCTATGTACGTTACATGAACGTTACGTATAGTGCATCTATGTGACAAAACACTTGTTACTTGTAGTCGAGCTTTACCTTAACGAATATAACTTTTAATTTAACACATTCATCGTTATTTTGACAAGTGTAAGTAAATGAACAAATTTCTGCAAAACCGCATAAGAAAGTCATAATATCTTCTAAGTAGTCACATATAAAACTTCAACAAAATCGCTCCTCTACTTTTAGAGTTAAAGTTTTAAAAAAAGTAACACACTAAAGAGTGTAATCTGTTTCGAAGTATTCAAATATTAAATTTCAGCAAAATTGCTCTTGCACTTTTTCAGTAAAAAACCTAAATTGACGTAATAAAGATGGTGGCCATATTTCGAAATGGGCGCTCACTGGTTAAAGTGTCATAAGAAAGTGTAATATTCTTCTAAGTCACATATAAAACTTCAACAAAATCGCTCCACAGCTTTTAAAGTGATAGTAAAAATATAAAATAAACACGTAAAAATGGCGGCTATTTCAAAAAGGGCTGTAAAAAGTATTTAGTCGTTCTCTATATCCCTCAGAACTTCGTTCGATTGGATAATAAAACAAGTCAAGACATATTATCGTTGAATATGTATTTTTCCGCACATGTTAGTAGTCTTCCATGCATATCGTTTCCTGAGTAGCCAATAGGGAGTTAAAGCTTGCATATAAAATCGAAACGCCAACCTATACGTATGATCAATCACCCATACAATTTATGCATCGCTTAAATATTTTCCATTTACGTTTGCAAGAACTAACAGTCCTCAAATAATATTTGTATAATACCATATTTCTGGTTCATCACAATCCACTTTATCACCCTAAAAACATTGCTCGCAGGACATGGAGAAAAGATCTAGCAATTATAAGATCTAGTATCAATATAATAATACTAATATAATATTTATTTAGACATAAATGAGTGTTCTACTGGGAATGGCGGATGTGATCAAATTTGTGTTAACACAGCCGGCTCATACTATTGCAAGTGTAACACTGGTTACAATCTACACACTAATAAAGTAACATGTATCGGTAAGTATATTATATTTTTTTGTCTTAGATTGAATGTTGAATTAAATGTATTGTGAATCATATCGATGTATCTGTATCTCTTTTCACTTTAATCTGCATGTTGGGATTGCATGAGCACTGAAGATGTCGTTTTTATTTTAGTATGCCTTTAAGTCTTGACAATTCCTATTAACTGAAATATTATTTTATCAATGAGCATGCTGTTGATGCTTGTTTCACAAACCAAACAACAATGTTGAAATAAGTATTATAAATTCAGTGCATTTTGGCATCCATTACACAGATATAGATGAGTGCAGTCAATCCAATGGAGGTTGTAGTGGTAGCTGTACCAACACCGGTGGCTCTTACCATTGTGGATGTAACCCTGGATATGAACTACATACCGATCAACGGTTGTGTATAGGTATGTATTTCATACCTGAGTGGGTTTGGGGTAGATATCACCCGGGAATATATATCATATCTGAGGAGCGGGCAGGATATATTGTATATGTCCCGCTCTAGGCCGAATGCGGGCAGATATAATATATCCATCCCGCTCCCGGGAATTTTTTCAAAAGTTTAAAAATTTTGAAAATTTAAATTTTAGAAGTTTAAAATTTTTCAAAAAGTTTAAATGTTACAATTCTATTGTATTGAACTGAAGGAATATTATGAAAAGGTTAAATATAAATTGTGCTTTTACAGTATAGGCCTATCTTGTCATTTGAAAAAGGTGGTAAAGGTTATATCTACCCCAAACCCACTCAAGTATGAGATACACCAGTTATGTACGGTCGGTTTTGGATACAGAGTTTATCCCGCGGGAAATATGTGTATATCCCTCGGTCCCTGCGGTCCCTCGTGAGATACACATATTTCCCTTGGGATAAACCCTGTATCCAAAACCTCCCAGTACATAACCCTTATGTATTGACTTAATGTTAAAATGTATTCGTTACATATTTAGTTTGTCGCAAATTCTCTACGATATGCTTGGTTCCCTATCAATTGAATATCAACAGCTATTTGAAGGAACTATTTAATCATTCGCATAAGACAATACACCAAATTGGTATCGGACCATAGCAAGCTCGACCCCTTATGGACCTATTAATACAGTTGAGATATCTAAAAAAACGGGTATTCCTATTTTCAAAATACTACGTTTCTCTATCTTCAGATACAAACGAGTGCGCTAGTGTGAACGGAGGTTGTAGTCATATATGTTCCAACACTGATGGCTCATTCTTCTGTGAATGCCCGGATGGCTTCTTCTTAGGCAGTAATCAGAGAATTTGCCTGGGTAAAACTTACATTCATCTGAAATGTTTGATTGACAATCATGTTGTCAAACATTAGAACTTACGTTTGGGACTACCCATACGTGTATTTGACTATTTTATTGTAACAGTTTATTGAAATACTTAACTATACTCCCGACCTGCATTGTTACTGTCACGTTTATGATATATTACTTTTTATATCGATTGGGGAGTTGGTACTCGCTGTAATATATCACTTACATGCTTCGCTATGTTACTCTGATATTTATACTATAAGATAAAATATAATCTTTCAGATGTGGATGAATGCAGCGACAACAATGGTGGATGCTCTCAGAGATGTGTTAATGTACCAGGGTCATACAGGTGTGAGTGTCACTCTGGATACGTATTGTCTGAGGATGGCAAAAAGTGTGCAGGTAAATATGCAATAAGCTTGAAACAATGGTGGATGCTCTCAGAGATGTGTTAATTACGGAAAGCGAAAGGGGATATACCGCAGAATTTAAAATTCAATGGAGTTTTAACATGGGAGTGATATCACACACCGCGGCCCAGTCAGATATATTTCTGCGCACTTTATTTATTTAATTCACTTTGCACAACGCGCCCCCTGTAATTCATTCAGTGCGCAATTAAAAATTGTTTATGAGTGATATCGCACACCGCGGCCCAGTAAGATAGATTTCTGCGCACTTTATTTATTAACACACTCAAAATATCGCGCTGAAGCTTGTATATGCTGGCGCGATGTAAATATAGTTTTCTGTTAATTAATGCCCAACAAGAAAGGGTAGCACAACGAATTCAACTTTTTTCGAAAGACTGCAGACTTGACCTGCGAAATTGTAATTTTGGATCACAGTGATGCCTCTAGAGAGGATATCTATGAGAATTACAGATTATAGTGCGCAGAATTATAAAGTCAAACTGTACGGAAAGCGAAAGGGGATATACCGCAGAATTTAAAATTTTTTTTTTTTTTTTTTTTTTTTTTTTTATTTATCATGTTTTATTTAATACAATAATATATTTATTAAAAATTTATTTAAAATTCAATGGAGTTTTAACATGGGAGTGATATCACACACCGCGGCCCAGTCAGATATATTTCTGCGCACTTTATTTATTTAATTCACTTTGCACAACGCGCCCCTGTAATTCATTCAATGCGCAATTAAAAATTGTTTATGAGTGATATCGCACACCGCGGCCCAGTAAGATCGATTTCTGCGCACTTTATTTATTAACATACTCAAAATATCGCGCTGAAGCTTGTATATGCTGGCGCGATGTAATTATAGTTTTCTGTTAATAAATGCCCAACAAGAAAGGGTAGCACAACGAATTCAACTTTTTTCGAAAGACTGCAGACTTGACCTGCGAAATTGTAATTTTGGATCACAGTGATGCCTCTAGAGAGGATATCTATGAGAATTACAGATTATAGTGCGCAGAATTATAAAGTCAAACTGACCTCAAAATGGTAGTACACAGTGTACACTGCCATCTTTCAATAAAGTAACTACAGACCTTCGTATACAAAATACCAGAATGATTGATGTAATACCTGTATACCATTTCTTCTGGGAGAAGGAAAGTTCCTATATGTATTCCATGGCCGTAGCTAGCCAGGGGGCCTCACCCCCCTCCCCCTTGCCAAATATTCGTTCAAAATCATGCAGTTTTTCACCATTCTTAGCACTTTTCGCATGATTTTTTGCCATAACTGTCAAAAAGCTCCCCCCTCTTGGCAAAATCTCCCCCTTGGTAAAACCACTCCCCCAGGTTAATCCAGGATACGGGTCTGTATTCTTAGACGAGATTGTTCAAGAACATAAGGTAGACATAAGTGCCACCTGTTAAAAGCTAGGAGATCTTTTCTAAGTTATTAAGTCATCAATCAGCAGACTGGTAATTGTATCCCCCACCCACTTCAAACTCCATACACTAACATACTATTACAATTTTATCTGTGTTTATTTGACTGTAGAAGGTGTACATTCATAGCATTGAATTGCATTTCATTGCATTGTATTGTATTGTATAGCACATCATTGTATTGTATTGTACTGCATTTTATTGTATTGCACTGCATTGTATTGTATTGCACTGCATTGTATTCTATTGCATTATATTGTACTGTATTGCACTGTATTATATTATATTGCACTGCATTGTACTTTATTGCACTGCATTGTATTGTACTGCAGTGTACTACATTGTATTGCGCTGCATTGTATTGTATTGCACTGCATTATAATGTATTGCACTGTACCACATTGTGTTGCACTGCATTGTATTACACTGCATTGTTTTGAATTGCACTGCAATATATTGCACTGCATCATATTGTATTGCATTGCATTGCAGTGCACTGCATTGTATTATGTTGCACTGTATTGTATTGCACAGTATTGTATTGCATTGTCTTGAATTACACTGCATTTTATTACACTGCATTGTATTTTATTGCACTGCATTGTATTGTACTGCAGTGTACTGTATTCTATTGCACAGCATTGTTTTGTATTGCACTGTATTGTATTGCATTGTATTGAATTGCACTGTATTGTATTTTATTGCACTGCTTTGCACTACATTGTATTGCACTGTATTGAACTGCGATGTATTGTATTGCACTGTATTGTATTGCACTGCACTGAACTGCGATGTATTGTATTGCACTGTATTGTATTGCACTGCACTGTATTGAACTGCGATGTATTGTATTGCACTGCATTGTATTGCACTGTACCACATTGTATTGCACTGCATTGTATTGGAATGAACTACATTGTAACTGTATTGTATTTTATTGCACTGCATTGCACTACATTGTATTGCACTGTATTGAACTGTGATGTATTGTATTGCACTGCATTGTATTGCACTGTACCACATTGTATTGCACTGCATTGTATTGAAATGAATTACATTGTAACTGTATTGTATTTTATTGCACTGCATTGCACTACATTGTATTGCACTGTATTGAACTGCGATGTATTGCACTGCATTGTATTGCACTGTACCACATTGTATTGCACTGCATTGTATTGAAATGAACTACATTGTATTGCACTGCACGGCATTGTTTTGCACTGTATTGCATTGCACTGCATTGTATTGCATTATATTGCACTGTATTGTATTGCATCGTATTGCACTGCATTTTATTGTATTATATTGCACTACATTGTATTGTATCATATTGCACTGCATTTTTTGCATCATATAACACTGCTTTGTATTGCATCATATTACACTACATTGTATTGCATCATATTGCACTGCATTGTATTGCATCATATTGCTCTGCATTGTATTGCATCATATTGCACCGCATTGTATTACATCATATTGCACCACATTGTATTGCATCATATTGCACTGCATTGTATAACATCATATTGCACTGCATTGTATTGCATCATATTCCGTATTTACCATTTCGTTACAGTTTTATTACATAAAATGTTATTTATAAGATTATAATTTTCAAACATTGAAAATATTTTATACAATATCAATTAAAAGATATGAAATGGCCCAAAATAATATATTTCCAATGGAACCCTTTGCAAGGGTCACTTCAACATAACGCCATGTGTAATCTGTATGCATACGCCCTCTTTTAATGAACATTATCTTTGAAACCATATTAGAATCGAATCTGATAAAAGTGCGCATCATGGTCCTGGATGTGCTGCGCGCTAGAATCGGGAAATTTCAAAGTTCTCCTCGTTAGAGCCATCAATATTATCCAAAATTGTCATTTCGCTGGTTCACTCCGCAGTCTTTCGAAAAAAATCAAATTCGTGGTGCCACGAATTTTTATTCGTTATTTATTCACACATAATCATTTTTTCATCGCGCACTGAATGCCGGAATTTCTGCGCACTTTATTTTAATTAACTTTGCACAACGCGGCCCCTGTAATTCATTCAGTGCGCGATGAAATCTATCTGACTGGGCCGCGGTGTGTGATATCACTCCCATGTTAAAACTCCATTCGATTTTAAGTTATGCGCATGTCCCCTATAGCTTTCCGTACAAACTGACCTCAAAATGGTAGTAGGCCTACACAGTGTACACTGCCATCTTTCAATAAAGTGTGTGCTACAGACCTTCGTATACAAAATACCAGAATGATTGATGTAATACCTGTATACCATTTCTTCTGGGAGAAGGAAAGTTCCTATATGTATACCATGGCCGTAGACTATTCTCTGGGCTTAGTATAAATAAAAATAAGACAGAGGCAATGTGGCTGGGAACAATGAAACATTCACAAGAAAAAGGGGTGGATATAAAATGGAAATTGCATCCAGAGAATAAAATTAAAATTTTAGGAATAGTATTTTCTGCATCAAAGAAAGTGATTGAAAATATGGATAATCTATTACCAAAATTGGAAAAAATTGAAAACATTATGAAAAGTTGGGTACGAAGGGATTTAACAATTTTTGGAAAAGTGACATTGGTTAAATCATTAATGATGTCACAATTTGGATATATAATACAGGCGTTCATATTACCGGAAGATTTCCTTAACCGTCTTAATACACTGTTTTATAAGTACATCTGGAGTAAAAGTGGTTTTAAAGAATGTGAAATTAAGAAACAACCGGAGAAAATTAAAAGAGAGATTTTAAATTTAGATAAAGAAAATGGTGGTCTAAACATGATAAATATGATAGACTTTCAAATCTCATTTGTGGTAAAATGGTTTTCAAAACTGATTGGTGAGGGCATGGATAAATGGAAAATAATTCCAAAAGCTGAATTTTCCAAGTTAGGGGTTAATTTCAATGTACTCAAAAGCAAGATAGATATGGAAAACTTTATAGGGATTAATGAAGTAAAGAGTAGTTTTTGGAAAAGGGGGTTAGAAATTTGGTTAACAAAATCTGAAAATAAAAATCTTTTAGATTGCGACATCATTTGGAACAATCTGGACATAACTTTTCAAAAAAGAGTTCTTTATGACAAAAAATGGATTAGAGGGGGGATTAATTATATGTCTGATTTTATAATAGAAGGTAAATGTTTAACATACAATGAAATAATTAATAAATTAGGCAGAGGCCCAGATGTTTATATGCAATATATACAAGTAAGAGCAGCTTTGATAAAATATCCAAATAAAATCAATAGGAATGAAAAAATAACTTTTTTAGGGGAAAATATAGAGAAAATAAAAACATGTAATATAAGAAAGAAAATTGTTAGTAGAAGAGGGGTGACAAATAAATCAGAAGCCCATTGGAAAAATCAATATGGTGAGATCCCATTTAAGTTAATGTATAGAGTACTTTTTAAGACAAATGTAAATCATAAAGTAAAGGAATTCATATATAAAGTAATAAATGGTGCAATAGAAATTGAAAGAAGATTGAAAAAACAAAAATTATCTGATGGAATGTGTAAAGTTTGTAAAAATGTTGAGGAATCCCAAGAACACCTTTTTTTAGAATGTAAATTCAAAAATGAATGGGACAATTTAGAAATTACTAATTTAATTGAAAGAGATAAAATGCTTTTTTACTTTAGAGAAGATAGCTCATTAGAAAACATGATAGAGATTAATAGTGAAATTTTTATTACTAAACGGAAAATATGGTTAAAAAGATGTCTAGAAGTTTTTAATTAAGGAAATGTATTTAGATATTAAACTATAATAGTATTACGTACATGGTGGGTAACAGTGTTTTTTTTGGATTTCGCAGATATATTGATTTGTTGTATTGAATGTATTGAAATGTTATATTGAATGTAGTAAATGGATCGAATAAGTGTATTAAATAAATAAATAAATAAAAAAAAAACCATGGCCGTAGCCAGGGGGCCTCATCCCCCTCCCCCTTGCCAAATATTCGTTCAAAATCATGCAGTTTTTCACCATTCTTAGCACTTTTCGCATGATTTTTTTGCCATAACTGTCAAAAAGCTCCCCCTCTTGGCAAAATCTCCCCCTTGGTAAAACCACTCCCCCAGGTTAATCCAGGATACGGGTCTGTATTCTTAGACGAGATTGTTCAAGAACATAAGGTAAACATAAGTGCCACCTGTTAAAAGCTAGGAGATCTTTTCAAAGTTATTAAGTCATCAATCAGCAGACTGGTAATTGTATCCCCCACCCACTTCAAACTCCATACACTAACATACTATTACAATTTTATCTGTGTTTATTTGACTGTAGAAGGTGTACATTCATAGCATTGAATTGCATTTCATTGCATTGTATTGTATTGTATAGCACATCATTGTATTGTATTGTATTGTACTGCATTTTATTGTATTGCACTGCATTGTATTGTATTGCACTGCATTGTATTCTATTGCATTGTATTGTACTGCATTGCACTGTATAATATTATATTGCACTGCATTGTACTTTATTGCACTGCATTGTATTGTACTGCAGTGTACTACATTGTATTGCGCTGCATTGTATTGTATTGCACTGCATTATAATGTATTGCACTGTACCACATTGTGTTGCACTGCATTGTATTACACTGCATTGTTTTGAATTGCACTGCAATATATTGCACTGCACCATATTGTATTGCATTGCATTGCAGTGCACTGCTTTGTATTATATTGCACTATATTGTATTGCACAGTATTGTATTGCATTGTCTTGAATTACACTGCATTTTATTACACTGCATTGTATTTTATTGCACTGCATTGTATTGTACTGCAGTGTACTGTATTCTATTGCACAGCATTGTTTTGTATTGCACTGTATTGTATTGAATTGCACTGTATTGTATTTTATTGCACTGCATTGCACTACATTGTATTGCACTGTACCACATTGTATTGCACTGCATTGTATTGAAATGAACTACATTGTAACTGTATTGTATTTTATTGCACTGCATTGCAATACATTGTATTGCACTGTATTGAACTGCGATATATTGTATTGCACTGCATTGTATTGCACTGTACCACATTGTGTTGCACTGTATTGTATTACACTGCATTGTTTCATATTGCACAGCAATATATTGCACTGCACCATATTGTATTGCACTGCATTGCAATGCACTGCATTGTATTATATTTCACTGTATTGTATTGCACAGTATTGTATTGCATTGTCTTGAATTACACTGCATTTTATTACACTGCATTGCATTTTATTGCAGTGTAATGTATTGTATTGCACAGCATTGTATTGTATTGCACTGTGTTGTATTGCATTGTATTGAATTGCACTGTATTGTATTTTATTGCACTGCATTGCACTACATTGTATTGAACTGCGATGTATTGTATTGCACTGCATTGTATTGCACTGTACCACATTGTATTGCACTGCATTGTATTGAAATGAACTACATTGTATTGCACTGCACGGCATTGTTCTGCATTGCACTGCATTGTATTGCATTATATTGCACTGTATTGTATTGCATCGTATTGCACTGCATTTTATTGTATTATATTACACTACATTGTATTGTATCATATTGCACTGCATTTTTTGCATCATATAAAACTGCTTTGTATTGCATCATATTACACTACATTGTATTGCATCATATTGCACTGCATTGTATTGCATCATATTGCTCTGCATTGTATTGCATTATATTGCACCGCATTGTATTACATCATATTGCACCACATTGTATTGCATCATATTGCACTGCATTGTATAACATCATATTGCACTGCATTGTATTGCATCATATTCCGTATTTACCATTTCGTTACAGTTTTATTACATAAAATGTTATTTATAAGATTATAATTTTCAAACATTGAAAATATTTTATACAATATCAATTAAAAGATATGAAATGGCCCAAAATAATGATTTGCAAGGGTCACTTCAACATAACGCCACGTGTAATCTGTATGCATACGCCCTCTTTTAATGAACATTATCTTTGAAACCATATTAGAATCGAATCTGATAAAAGTGCGCATGTCCTGGATGTGCTGCGCGCTAGAATCGGGAAATCTCAAAGTTCTCCTCGTTAGAGCCATCAATATATTCCAAAATTGTCATTTCGCTGGTTCACACGAATTTTTATTCGTTATTTATTCACAGATAATCATTTTTTCATCGCGCACTGAATGCCGGAATTTCTGCGCACTTTATTTTAATTAACTTTGCACAACGCGGCCCCTGTAATTTATTCAGTGCGCGATAAAATCTATCTGACTGGGCCGCGGTGTGTGATATCACTCCCATGTTAAAACTCCATTCGATTTTGAATTATGCGCATGTCCCCTATCGCTTTCCGTAGTTAATGTACCAGGGTCATACAGGTGTGAGTGTCACTCTGGATACGTATTGTCTGAGGATGGCAAAAAGTGTGCAGGTATTTTAATTCAATAGATAATAAGTTTTAAAAAGTTTCCATTTTTCCTGCTTATAGAAATCCTTTAAAAATTCACGTGTTCTCCGTTGTGTCATGTTATATATTCTAATACATTGTTTTCTTGTTTAAATCTCCTCTGGTTCTTGGATTAACTATATTTGAATCTGCGGATGTTTTAATTAACTTCTGGTTTTAGCAGATTTCCTTTCTTCAAATATAAATGCCATAAATCGTTCACGTAATTTATCTCCTCATTTTTCTACATCCAGTTGTAGACTCTGCTTTATCATTCGATGTTGTATCTTGAGCGTTTTAGTGTGTCAGTGTTATTTCTACATTCCCATTGATGTAACGATATTGACCAAAGAGGATTGGCTCCCAGAATATCGATGTTGCATTTGGGGGCCAACCTCCTTGGATATCGACGATATAACGAAGATGGGAAGTCGTACTAGTATATGTTCTACTGATGAGACGTCATTGATTAATATATTTTCAGATATAAACGAATGTCTTCCCGAAGTGAATATTTGTTCACATGACTGTTCCAACACGCTTGGTTCTTTTTATTGCACGTGCAAGCCTGGGTTCAGTCTAGGAAGTGATCAACACACTTGCTCTGGTAAGATCACTTTTCATAAAATAAGTTAGAAGGCTGTACAAATTATGCTTGGTCGTTGATATATGTTATAAAATTATACGGAATACAAACAATTTATTTCCCCTCTTCTAAGTGCTTTCAGTGGCTGTAATAGGAGCACATTTTCACCATCCAGGCTTTTTGGGTACATGTTCTCTTAAATGCAAATTGTAACATACGCTGTATTTATTTATCTATTTATTTCTGATCTTTATTTGTAAAAATGTATATAATGCATGTACTGTATAAACAATTCCTTTCTTATATATGCATTTATCCTATGCCAAGTAGAGTTTTAGGGAGATAAGTTGGTAAGATATATCCCGTATCCTGATTTTGAGGTTTCCATATCCCGAACCTCCATATCTCCCAGAAAAAATAGAAAAAAATGTGAAAAAAAATAAATTGAAAAAAGAAAAAAAATAGAAAAAAATTTGAAAAAATTGAAAAAAATCAGAAAAATGTGAAAAATTGAAAAAATAAAAAAAAAATTGAAAGAAAATTAGAAAACTCTACTTGGTATAGGATAATCAGTTATGTACGGTCGGTTTGGACAATGGGTTCATTCCTCGTGAGATATGCACATCTACCTTCGGTCCCTACGGTCCCTCAGGTAGATATGCATATCTCCCTCTGGATAAACCCCATATCCAAAACCTCCCAGTACATAACCCTTATATATGAGTGAACCGTGAATACTCTCATATATTTTCACTAAAAAGACATGCTAACATTTACAACATGCCACCATTTAAGATGTTTAGACACCACGTTTCTGTTTTAGATATTGATGAATGTTCATCTGATAATGGGGGATGTGAACATGTATGTACTAATACCATCGGCTCGTATACCTGTAGCTGTAGTGCTGGGTACGAACTAAAGGACGATAAACACAATTGCAAAGGTATAAATATATAATTTTCTTGTTAGAGTAACACCCCAACCAATGGTCATTAGAACTTTAAAGTAATTTTCGGCGTTTCGCGTCTTTTCTTTATTCTAGAATAAATGAACCGGATGAAAAACACCAATTTCCATATATATTGAAGCAATAAGAATCATGGGGAACTCAGGGATCTGTGCATAACTTTGATCCATGAAGTGCATAATGTTATTCCACCGACTCCCCTAGAGTCCCAATTTATTTTCGCCCCATAAAGAGTGAATTGCTTCTATCGATAAACAATTTTTTAGTTGCTCTGTGACTACTTATCTTATTTGCTTCAAGATATGTGTGTTCCAACTCCATGTTTTCATGGCGGAAAATGCCAAGCTTCTAGTGATAGTGGCAGCGACATTTATTGTGACTGTGAAGGTATGTACTGTGGTAATCAGATGAGTAGTGTTAATTTTAAAAAATCAAAATTGAAACTTGTACTTTATAAAGTAATAATGAATTGTTGTATTCTATGGTACTTACCATCAATTAAATAAAATACTCTTTTGTAATATGTATTGATCTACTTTAACAATAGATACAGGATATGAAGGCAAGTTCTGTGAAGTTCCATCGCTGAGCAGTCTATCAGTACCAGGTCGTGTAATGCCATCAGGCTGTTACTTAATCCATCTGACCGGTTGTCCATCTGGGACCAACTTGAATGTCGATGTTCGCCTCTCTTCAACATCATATTGGCTTACTTTAAACATGGATCCGTCTGTTTCCTTCACTCTTGGAATTGTATTTGTTGAAGTGAACAAGTTATCTTTGCCCGTATCCTTATCAGGGATGAAGGTTAAGCAGGAATCTGGCAAATTCGAGATGAGTATTCTGACTCAAGGTATTCACCCATTTGATGGTACTGTGATTGACTCAACACGTGACCCGTCCTGTGACCAGGACATGACTGTTGCTGATATCGCTGACTATATTGCAAACAATGCATTCTTGAATACATATCTCCCGAGTGCCAGTGGCTTCTTGCCAAGTCTCGTAAGCATGCTGCCAACTGGTACCGAGATTTTGTCGTCTAACAAATTACATTCCTGGGTCACAACAGGAGATGTTGTCAAGAGTATCCCTGTCTGTGATGTCGCCCCAGTGTTCCCTGATCGACTCTACTCAGTGTTCAAGTTCAACACTGATACGACTCTTAGTATATTCGGACAAATGATCAATATTGCTGTTGTTGATGGCGAAGATTTTTGTCTCATCGTTGACATATGTAACGATTTGGGTGGCACGATCATGTTAACATTCCCGCCATCTATCGCCAAATCGTTACCAGACAACCGGAAGCGGCGACAGAGCACTGATAGTTCAGCCTGTCGGATATTGAAAAAGATCCCAATGACTGCTGATATACTGGGTGACTTAGATGTATGTGTGAGAGGTTTGGGATTTTCTGCCACAAATGGTTTGAACGTACACAGCTCCAAGAGTTCACTGCAGTTATGGAATGGGGATAACCTAATCAAATACCCGTAAGAGAAATCTCAGCATGAACTTCTTCAAGTATAATAAATTTGTATTTTAGTACAATTTGATTTTTACAATTTGGATTTTATATGAGGTTATACTTCATATTTTTAGTATTTTTCAAAACGCTCATGTTTGGATGATGGGTGAGATGACCTATAAACCCGGAAATAACCGGGCTTTTGAACTCGAGTTTTACGCAGATGCTGATGCTTTTCTGTCCCTACCGAATCCACTAAATGTAAGTAGCCAGCCAAATATTACTAGATTTTTATCTGGACGTTGATAAAAAGCTTGGTTTTTAAATACAAGAAAGCTATGCATGCCTTTTGAAAGGGAGTTTTCTTCAATATGATTAATTTGAGTTTCATTTTGCTTTCTATTAATTAACATGTTGCCATTTCCATGCAGATGTTGACACACGTATTCTTAGATAGATGGAACTTTATGGCAAATATACGGGGCCGTATGGATATGGTCCTAAGGTTCGACCTGTTTGGAAAGAATCACCAACTGAATTTTCCTAACACGGCTTTGGCGTCTCATCTTTTAGCAGACATTGGAGGTATGTGTAAAGTGGATAATGATTTGTACTGTACAGTATGAACAGCCATTTAATATATTCTTACAACAATCCATATAAGGGGACAAATCATGAATCAAAAGTGCAGACGTATTACAACTACAAAAGATTTTAGAAAACTTTCAAAAACTGTCTAAATCTATGATGTTGATTTTACAGAAGGAAATTATGGCTTTACATTTATTCCAGGTTTGGATGAAAGGCGCTACTGTGGTGCAGGTGCAAATCCCCCTGGTGTATTTGCCTCGTTCTACCTTGAAATATCTCCGTTCCTTGGCATTCCTCTCCTCGAGGACATCATAGTTCATCTTGATACTATGGCCTACGGCTACCTTACTTACGACAAGTCGGCAGAAATCAGTGAGATCCCCACATATAGTATCGTTAATGACTTGATTGAACTTGATAAAGTAGTCCAGGAAGCTGAGCAGTTCTTACTTGAAAATATTGAACGATTTAGAAACACTATAGAGGAATCAGTTCATGATGCACTGGCTGCTGTCGAGACAGCTATTCGCCAGCTCAAGGATAAGATCGATGAAATACTAGAAGGCATACGTGATTTAAGTTTTGATAAGATTCCGGATTTAATCAGACCTCTCATTGAAATGATCTCAAGATTAAAAGCAGTTTGGGGTAACTTTAAAGAAGAAATCTCATTTAATATTGAGGCCTTGCAGTCTAATTTCACGGACTTTGTTAACAGCAATATCTACCGAATAGAAAAGAACATAGACAACCTCGCCAATCAGATGGTGTCAGAACTCACAAACGTAATTGGTGACAGCAACGGCTTTGGACTAAGGTTGAAAGTGGATTATGTGATATTTTCCGATATTTTTAGAGACATTTTTCATTACCCTAACGTAGAGATTGAAATTGTTTACTCCGACGGAAAGTTGGCGCAGTGCAGTAAATTTGCCCAGATGTATAAACTTCTTGAGGGCGAAAAGGCGCTCAGAGCACTCGTTGTAATTAGTTACCCGATAAAGATCTCAAATTGGATCCGTGTAGGTGATTATGGCGTTGGCCTTGAAGTGGCATACAGTTCCTCAGATATCTGGAAAAGTGTCGTACATTTTGTGGGCCAAATCAGTTTCCTCGGATTAAACGCCAGATCAGACTTTTTCATTACGAAAGAAGGTTTAACGAGTGTAACAGAAGCTCGAGTTTGGAGTTTATTCAGAGCGAGGCTAGAGATAGAGGCAAAGGTTCTCACCGAGTTGCACAATCTGAGATTTAGAGTCTCTGGATATCTCTTAGCAGGCGGAGATGACTCTTTTGAAGGTAACAGTATTTAGACAGTCTTCATCTTACCCATTGTCTAATTAATGCGTGTTTTCAAATAAATAGCAAACAATAACCTAATGTGAACAACGTATTTTTATAACACTAATGGATAATGGGGTCAGATGCCCCCTGGCGTTTCCGAAGTTGAAGAGGTACAGCAAACACTAATGTACACTGTACCATATTATAGTTCATTCAAAACCCTCGAGGAAGGTATGTCAAAATCTTAAAAAGTGGGTCAAATGAGGTCAAAAGTAGATCAAAGTAAATGGGGAGACTTTTTGGTGTTTTTTATACTTTTTCAATACAAAACAACATATTTTTTTGCCAGAAAGGGGTAATAAATGTGATAGATGTATATAGGTTCTACCCTTTTAGGACAAAAACCGTGGGTAGATACCTTTCTTAGATCTGGAAATGGGTAATTTGGTCGAAAATTTGAAGAAATGAAGTATCGAAAAGAAATTGGAAAGGGGAGACAAAACACAGTCTAGGGCCAAGAATACGGACTAAATTATAATTTTGCAAATGAACATCCTAGAACATACCACAGGCTATGATAGACTATGATACATTTTAATGATTTTGGTATTGGCTGAGGAAAAAACATTTTAGTGGATCTCAGCCTGCGAACTCGAAAAATAAGTATATCTGAACCAGTAGCATTGACCAATTTTCATGATTTGTTTTGCTTCTAATTATAGATGCCATATGTTTCTATAGGTACATATCAAAGTGTTACATAGAATAATTTTTTTGCGTTCTATATTTACTGATTTATGGAAAATATTTCAAAAAAATAAACACAACCGAGATGGAAGAACATTTTTTCTGTAAAAATAGCAATCATATTAAAATTTACTCTTAACTACTTGTTTTTCATATACTTAAAATTACTAGTATACTGTTATATTTTGATGCATCTCGTATATTCACTATTTTGTAAATTACACGCACATTCAGATGGGAAATATTGGCTAAAGTTAGCCGCGGAATGGAAAAATCTTAGGGGGAGTGGCGACAAATTAAATTATTTCTACTATTTACAAAACTAATGAAGATATACATGTAGTTGTATTGTTTTTGCAAACATCTGAAAGACGTGTTCAGGACCTCTCAAAAATATTTCATGGATATATGACCACCACTTATTGAAAAATCATTTTTTACTCAAATTATTTGGACCGAAACGCGAGTCGCGGACAGTTGTGCGCTACAATATGATATTGAAAACATTGTATCTCAGTCAATAAAAGTCCGATTACCTTGTAATATACGGTTATAAAAAAATATTTTTTCATGACAGAAAAGTAATTAGTGTTTGATCGGTTCCAGGTAGTTTTGCTGACGCAATCCAACAAGCCACGAACCGAGCACTTGGATCCGCTGAAACTAGGATCGACCAAGCCAAGGCGGCTCTACAGAAGGCCCGACAAGGAATCACAAAAGCGCAAAACTGGCTAAATTCCAAGAAGGCCGTATTTGATGACGCCAAGTCTCACTTTGACTGGGTAGTTGGGAAATTAAGAGATGCTGAAAATGCCGTTGAGAGCAAGAAGCAGGGTTTTTATGATGCCATGGAAAAACTCAATAATGCACAAAAGGTACGAACAAATTCATATTACATGCACAATGACAGCATCAAATAATTTCGTTCAGAGCGATCGGATATCGATGAAACGAGTTTTTGAATTGTTTTCAACTAATGCTGCATTTGTGTTTCTCTCTAGATCTGTTGGTAAATGATTTTAAAGATATCGAAGCTCTCCTTTGAGAAGCGAAGTTGAACGAATACAAAGGACAGCTACATGTATATATGTGCTATTATAGGTTGTAGATCGACTGTGCCGTATTAGAGATTGCAAACCAATATGTGTACCAGGTTTAAAGTGCGGGATATGTTGGACAGGTGGTTGGGTAAAAGTCCCATATCCTTGTTGCGATTGGACCAGTTGTATGATAAAGGTATTCTATTGATTTATATTCAACACAAAAATATTGTAAATGAAATATGGTATCAAACACTGATAAATAGACTGAATATTTATTATTTTGGAATATATGTTTTCGTCACCAGATGCTGTTAATGTGTGCGTGTGTGTCTATGTTCCAGCTACCAAACCTCCCATGTTACGCACTGAATGGTATCTGCTATGCTATTAGAGCTGCTGCCTATCTAGCGTTAGAAGTCGCCAAAATCTTTGTTAGAGTCGTGATTGTTGCATTTGACGCTGCAAAACTTGCTTTAAGGGCGGCACAATGGGCGGTAGACAAAGCAAAGTACGTATTGGATGTTGCAAAGGGTGCTATAGATATGGCTAATGTACTGTTGGAAGGAGCTAAAATCCCGTTCAGAATTGCAGAGGGCGCTTTGGAAGCTCTCAGGTATGCTTTACGTGCAGCGGTATATGTAGCTAACCTTGTGATAGAGTATGGCCTCAAGAGTCTGATAGACGTAAAGCAATGTGGATTTACGGTTGAAATAAACGATGTTGATATCTTCATATTTGACATCCACTGCGATGTTAACTTGTTCAGACTGGGTTGGAGTCGCGTTGGAATCAAAGTAAACTTTAAGCATATTCTGCAAAGTTTAATTGACGCAGCTATAGAGTTAGTCAAGCGTATATTCAGTGTTGTCGGAGGATCATTGGGCATGCGCAGGAAGAGAGAAGTGACGTTTCAGCAAATGGCCAACGTCCACAGACTTTACAGGCATCTTCGTTCGGTTGATGCCAAGGAAACAATTTTCCCTGGAGATCCAGAGTTTGGTGACTTTTCCAAGAATGGTACATTTGAGGAACTTGAACCAATATTTAACAATCATACCATTAATATAACGACGGACATTCCTGGTTTCGATAACATTGAATCCAATTCGACAGCTTCTGAAGCACGCATTGCATATTTTCGTGCTAAATGCAATGAGTTCAAGCCGATTGATGAATTCCTTAGAAATATTGCTTTGACATTGAATGAGGCTACATCTGCTGCAAAAGAGAACAGAGAGAACTCAAGTACGATATTTGACACGATACGAAACATTCCGATTGGAGATACAGGTGATCTACAAGGAAAATCACTCGATGAACTTGGCGTCAATGTCACGGAAGCATTTAACGAATACAATCTTACAGTTGACCAAATGAACGAAATTGTAGCGAATCAAACAGCGAACGAAGACCCTATTTTCAACGATATACGCGACACACCAAATATGCACATTGATTCAACGATGAAGGAGTTTACAGAGGCTTTCAACAATCCGTTTATAACACAATGGCGAGCAGTTGTAGAGAATGAGACGAACGTGTACTGGCCAGAGGATTATTGTACTGGATTGAAAGACTGTATGCTTGTTACACTTGGACGTCTGTATGAAATGTATGAAGGCGTAAATGTAATTGGTGCTTCTGTGATCAGAGACCTCCTACCTGATATTGAACTAAAATTTCTCGAGCTATTAGACGAGGAGGCAAATGCGACCATCGACGAGGCGTTAGAACTCAGTGGAGACATTCTAACTTTATTAAAACAAGCAAATGATGCCAAAATATTCTGTGCAAAACCACCGGAGATCATAAAACACCCGAAAAATACAAATCTTCTTCATTCAGAAAGGCTTTCCTTGGAGTGTGAGGCGATTTCTGATGTTCCCCTTTCGTATCAATGGCTACTTAACGATGTTTTACTCCCGGGTGAGACTGGATCTGGTCTAGTTATAGAGGCAATAAACAGTGATAATGAGGGGTCATATTCCTGTATTGCTGGGAATCACATTGCTAACATCACTTCTCATGATGCATATGTTATGGTCCTGGAGCAACCAATTCTCGTTGAAAGGCCAACATCTGTTGTCGTTCTTGAGGGACTCCAGCCAGGAGTGACATTCATATGTAATGCTACCGGAAACCCCCTACCTGATATCACGTGGTTCAAAACTGACGTATCATCCGGTGATTTCAAGATTCTGCACAGTGGAACCGTCTTTTTAATTTCAAATCCAGAGATCTCTGATTCAGGAACTTATTGGTGTCGTGTCAATAACACGGCCGGTTCTGTTGAATCTGAAAAATTCACCATTGAGGTCAGGAAAACCGAAGTATCTGCCCCGGCTGCATTCTTCTCCATAGAATACTCAAATGTAACAACCCCAAATCAAACAAACATGTCTGTGCCTGTTACCATGTTTAACTCCTCCAAAACATTCAACGAAAATATATTAATTGCTCTTGAAAAATTGGTTACTGCGACATCTGTGACCGCTGATGATCTTACAGTAACACGACTATCACCTAAAGTGGGCCAGTTGAGGGGAGTTATCATTGGACAAGTTGCTACTGATGACGATTCTAAATCACCCGAAGAGAAACATACCGATCTAAAACAGACAATCACTAATGCATTGCTAGATATAGCTAGTGCGTCTTCAAAGGGGACTATTCTGTTGGTGATAGATGATAGATTGGCGGTGGTTTTGAACGCGCAAACTTTCTCATCAAGACGATTAGCTTCTAGATGTTCTGATGGGTATGAGCAAAGTGAAGTCCCGTATTTGTGTGGTATGTATACAACCTCAATTTATAGGGTTGTTATATACATATTAAGTAGTCTATATATCTTAGTGAAAGTGAATTTTCAGCAATTATTTTGTTTGTATCATAGGATGTAAAAAAACATAAAATTACAGATTTGAAGCGTTTTATTCTTCGAGCAACAAATAAAATAAATCAATAAAAGGTATCACATTTAATTTTAATGTTTCAATGTTTTTCATAATATGTTTTTTTATTTTCAATGTTTCCATTTTTCATGCAGCAATTTGCTTACCGGGGAGTTTTCTTGACGACTTCAGTAAGGAATGCAAACGTTGCTCTAGAAACTCATACCAAATGCACGCTGGGAAATCATTTTGCAATCAGTGTGATTCTGGCTTCATAACTGTAAAAGATGGCGCCTTGTCACCAGAGGACTGCATAGACGACGGTAATTCATACTATGATTAAATATTTCATGTATCCCATATCCCGTTTTGTTTGTACACAATCCCTAAGTACCTTTTGGACCTTGATGAAAAGGGAATTTGCAAGAAAGTGCTACAACTCTATAGTTTTGATCTTTCACACAATTTTACAAAGATTTCAAAACTGACGGAAGGTGAACAATATTTCCTTTTTTGGAAAATTATTGAATCTTACTGAAACTAATATCATGATGACGGTCATGTTACTGTGTAAATACGTAGACACGTTTACATTTTCTAGATGAATGCACCAAAGATAATGGCGGGTGTGGCCAAGAATGCAGCAATACAGTTGGTTCCTACATATGCAGTTGTGGATCTGGCTTCAGATTAACCAACGATAAACATACATGTACAAATCTATTCGAGGGTCAGTAAAGATTTTGCAAAATATTGTCATAATATATCTAGTATTGAACTCTGTCGTATGTAAATGTCACGTGATCAATAAAACGTCACTTTGGAGGTCACATCCTAAATAGTTTATTCCGGGATATCTGTTTGTGGAAATAACTCCTCTAGTAACTATATCTAGTAAATGCTGCCATTGAAAACAGTCATTTTGTATTCTAGGAGGTGTGTGTTTGCCTGGTGACATGTTCATGTACCCAAGTGACTGCTCTAAATATCTATTCTGTAATCACAACCAGTTTATTCTAATGCCATGTGGACCTGGGACCCGCTTTAACAATGCACTGAAAGTTTGTGACCATGAGTACAACGTACCATGTCCAAGCGAGGAAGATCCCACATTAGCACCGACGGACAACAAGGGATCGACAACGCTGCCACAAGAAGGAACCCCAGGCATTGATGATGATAAAGTGAAGGTTGTCAGAGCAGGTGACAATTCTCTCTACTTAAAATATGTTCTTGTTATTTATTTTGTAGTTTGAGGAGCAAGTTTATGCCACCTTCTCTTTTCTAAAATATGATTTTTACATGTATTGATGTATAACTCATTTTTAAACCATGACCAATATTGTCATTTGTATTTGAATTGGAATGGAATATGAGCATTTAATAACGGTGAAATTAAATATATGATTTGTGTGTCATGTTGTTTTTCAGGGGATCCTTGCGAAGCTGATGATGATATGTACAGAGATCCCGCCGATTGCTCTCGATATTTGTTATGCTTCCATGGAACATACATATCCATGCCATGTGGCGTTGGAACTCGGTTTAATAATGATCTCCAATCGTGCGATCTTGCTGCGAACGTCCCATGCCCTTGAGGAATGAAACATTCTCAAGATTTGACATTAAGTACGAATATAGCATTCTCATTCTAATCATTTATGGTTGTTTAGAGAGTGTCTATATATGTCAGTATGATATTATTGAAATACTGTAGTTTTTGACTATACAGGTTTCATGTAGGCTTTTATAAACGTCCCTATTGTAGCTAGGGGACAATGAGTGTGTGAACACCGTAACTCACGCTTGAGCTGCACGCACGGTACCATTCATTATAAAAGAAATTAGCAAATTAGAAACATGGACGTTCATTTTGCATAACACTTTGAAGCATTTAAGAAAAATGGGTTTTGTTTTAATATGTACACAATGATATTCGTTTCACTACAACATTTATTCTAGAAGATATAGTACAGGTCAAAACTAGACATGACATATACTTTCCAGATCCACAATGTGACAGAGAATTTATATTCAAATGTTAATCTAGAATAAAGATCGATACGTGTATAAATACATAAGTATTAAATAAGTCAGTAACGGATATGTAAATTATATAATAGTACAAAGGACAAATAAACTTGAAAAATATTAATATAGTTCGTAGGTCCGTATCCTAATATAGTCCATATACAGCGCCGTTAACGTTAAATCTCTCGCTACAATCTATTGCTTTAGCTTACAATTTTGTTTATTACAAACGTCCGCATTTGTTAGTTTCTTGTATGACAAAATAGTATGATAAGACAATAAAGTAATATTTTATAGATATCCTATGAACTATTTTAGTTGTTCTTTTTTTACTATTTCAAACACTTTTTATCTTTGTTAAATCTTATTTTGAAATTCCCCAGACATATTATAAAGTATACACAATTCCATTGACCTAATACACTGCAATATTATAATTCTATGTAATAGACCTCCTATTCATAATACAATACAATAGTATCATAATCTACAATACTAAAATACTATACACTATACATGTACAATGGGCGTACTATTCTTTAATAATATACAAGGGCTCCTATATTATAATACTATACAATAGGCCTACTGTACAATAATACCATAAAATAGACCTACAATACTACAATTCGATTATATAATATGTCGTATAATAAGACCGAGATTCCATTTTATATATTCTATGTTATAATGTTGTCAGTATATCCAGATTATAATGTGTGATTGTCGGCCCACTCGAGGCGACACCTATCGTGTAATCAGAGGTGTTCATGGTTGGTATGGGTCCCTCAGTGGCGTTTGAATTAATAATAATACCAAACCTTGTTTCGTCACCACTACATAACATACCTACAAGAAACAATACATCTTGAACAATCAATGGCATTATAACAATAGATGATGAAGGCCTCACAAATTAGATGTCTGTTTAGCAGTACCTAGATGGCTATCAATCCTGCTCAACAAACAAACAACGTGTAGTGAATTTAGAATATAAAATATTCTTCAATCGTTTTACAACACATGGACTAAATCGTTAGACCAGTCATGATGTACGTGTACTAAAGCAAACAACTAGGTTTGACATCCTTATGGGTTTTATGAATATGATTTGATATTACAGTCAAATAATTTATCTATGTTACTCCATTTGCTAGACAATGGTTTGCAACTACGTGTTCTTCACATCACTAGTGATCCGCTCGATTACGCTGGTTACCGAAACGGTTCGTTTCGATAACAAAAGTCAGAACGTCGAAGGTACGATTTTTCTTTTTTGCTTATTTCGCTCGTTGTAGGCAGAATTCCCACGACATATTTTATCACAAGCTTATATCAGTATCATGTGTTTTATAAATGGTACATGTTTGCGAAAAAATAATTCAGAAAGACAACAGAATCGTCGATTTAATTCCTCACTTGAGTTACATAAACGGTTTGGGTTAAAAGTGCAGATCTTAACTGTTTTTCGAAATACCGTTTCGGTAACTTAAGTGAGGGATTAAATCGACGATTCTGTTGTCTTCTGAACTATTTGTTCGCAAATGTGTACATTTTCTTAATCATATGATACTGATACACGTTTGTGATAAAAATGTCGTGGGAATTCTGCCTACAACGTGTGAAATAAGGAAAAAAGAAAAATCGTGCCTTCGACGTTCCGACATTTTGTTACCGAAATGGTTCCAGCGTAATCGAGTGGATCACCAGTGCACATGAAAATCTTAAAATAAGCATTGTAATATGCAACTCTTTTATTAGAAATGTTGGAAGTTGTATGCCCTTCTCTAGAATTTTAGGCCATATTGTATCTGAGATAAACATTTTAAACTGGATGTAACGATTTTGTTTTATTTGTTCATTTTGAGGCATAGCACTTTAAATGTAGTTTGTGAACGGTATGTGAACTCTATGCTAACAAAAAGACGAGCAACGCTTAAGGATCTCTTGAAATATCACCACACGTACTCATCGTGACTGTCTTTGAACTAAGTAAGTGACAAGGACCTAATTTCCAATACATTCATGTGTGAGATTAATGATATTATCGCACGAGGATACGCATGAGCCATGCATTTTGTCATCACATGCAAACAATACTCCATTGAGTGGGGGACCAAACGAATTCTTAATTATGGGGCCTAAAATCGGCCATGTGGGCATTATTTGAAAAACACATTCCTTTGATTGGTAAAATCGCTCCGATTTTTTTCTACCAACGCAAGCGCAGGTAGATCAACTTCTGATATTTATCGATCTCATATATGTCATTTTCACGCGAGAACGAGACTTACCAGCCATACATGCCGTCATGAACCCGGCAACGTTTCCATTAATGAGTGCCCGAACGGCAACTTGCGATATATCTGCTCTCCTAGAGGGCGCTATTGCACCAAGGACACCGATTATGATTCCCATTGCGGCAATACTTCCAAATCCACAAAGTGAATATGTTGCTATCATGCCTGAGCGGGCCTGGGAAAAATAAAACTTTAAACATTTAAAAGAAACAAGGCATTAACATGCAAAATGTCACCACCTATCATTTGTTACAGACGCCAATCGCCGAACACTGTCAACAAAAAGTTGGAAGCTATATAACAATGTGACTCTTTTTAAAAATTCTGAGCTCTTGTTTTCAGTTAGTTTCAAAAAATGAACTCGTTTATCTCAATGTCTCTTACCCCAATCAGGCCTTCCTGCATTGCATATCCAAGATCTCTATACGAGATAACCTCATCCACAAAGATCTTGGTGCCAATGAGACTTGCCACGAGTTCCGCGTCTTTCTGCTCGCAACCCATCACAAAAGCCAGGGGATAAAACAGCCAGGAACATATTTTCTAAATAAGATTATATTTAATCAATCAATCTGCTTTTTGATGTACAGAAACTAGAATATGTGGATGATATAATATTACATTTAAGTTGTCATATTTTATTTGTCACTGGACCATTGGCTCACAAGAATCATGTGGCAATCAATATCAAGCAAGATCATAATTTTTATCCCATGGTTGCAAGGATATAGATCGAATATCACACGAAGATATATTTGATATGTGGATCAAGATATCATATTTTAGCCAAAATTCACAAACCATTGAATATCACTTTTAAACTATCGAATATCACGTCTTAAAAAGTGATATTCGATGGTTTGAGAAGTGATATTCAATGGTTTGAAAAGTGATATTCGATGGTTTCGAATTCTTTCAAAAAAATCTTTTTACATTTTTTAATTATTTTCAAAAATATTTAAACAAAATTTCAAAAAGAAATTCAAATTTTTTCACAATTTTTTCAATTATTTTTTCAATTTTTTTCTCAAATTATATTTTTCAACTTTTTTCGCTGATGATGATTTCTCATGGGATAAACGGACAATGCTATGGTTTTTCAAAAATATCAATTATATCCACTCATGGATACAAATATCTTCACTCATGAAGATATCAATATCCACTCATGGATATAAATGATATTTTTTCAAAACCATAGGATATTCCTATATTATCCTACACTTAGTGTACTAAATGTATAATAACATTAAAAAATAAATTTGATATTTATTGGCAAAATGAATATCCGGAGGATATCGTAACGATATACTCCGGGCGGAGGATATCGTGACGATATACTCAAACCCAATATGGGAAAACCCAATATGCGGAGGATATTGTGACGATATACTCCGCTTGTTGATTTCCCGCCAAATTGACTCTATTTGGCATGGTATTCATTTTGCAATGATATTATACATTTAGTACACTCCTTGTAAGTGTAGGATAATAAGAACATCCTATGATTTTTTTCAGAATATCATTTTAATCTACTCGGTGATATTGATATATGCACTCGTTCGCTTCGCTCTCTCGTGCAGATATCAATAACACCTCGTAGATAAAAATGATATTCCTCAAAATCATAGGATATCCTATAAATACTAAATGAGCAATGTAGAAACAAAATCTACAGAAAATATCATACCGGCCAGTCTTACTTTCAAATATGAATAAAATATGAGAAACAGATATATAATGATGAACACATTAATGAAATCCAAATGAAGACACATCCTGTGATGAATGCAATATATGAAGAATTTATTAAAGCTCGCATACAAGTTCATTAAATCCACCAACAATTGAAACAGGCTTAAATACCTTTATGCATTATAAAATATGGTTACCTCTTGATTCTAAAGTGGAACTATTTCTTTGATTAAACATTAACTAATTCGTATTTTATTATCACTAACATCAAGACATGATGAGCGGGGCAAGTATTTCCGGTGATTCACATCCACGTAACAACATGGCCAATTTACCTGGAAGCTCAACTCATCGTAACCGACACCTCTACCAAGATACCCTAGAATGCTATTCAGGAACTCCATGGTCGCTATGAAAGCTATCAGGTTAGCACAAATTGCTCCGCAAAGTTTAAGCGACTTCACTGCTCCAGTACACGCTGCATCAACAGCATTCCGCGCAGTCCTGGAAACAGAAAAGACTCCAGCATGGAGAAATAATTACCAAGAAGATGGAAGGCAGCAAGTCAAGATATATAGAAATTAATAATTACACACCCCTTTGGCAAGGCGACATCATTTTCACTTCTCGTGCTGGAAACCTCGGTCTCGGGATAGTTCAGTTTCGCGAACGCAAGAGCAGCCGGGGCTGACATGATGGCTGCTGTGAGAAGATGTTCGGGAGGCGCCTATAAACATAACATTATAATGAATATAAGTATTTTCTACTAGGGGAAGGAGCCTTATTAATTGTTAAGCATCATTATAATAAAGCATGGGGCCTCAATTCTTCTCGGCTTTTATGGGATCATGTTGTATTAAAACAGAAAGATGTGATGAGCAGCCTATCGGAATTTTACACAAAATAAATGATACATACCAGGTACATACGGGAACGTGTAAAAATGTCCTTTAGACAGGTTCAAAGTAATATTCCGAATATATTGTAAGAAATAAATCAAACCCACAGAACGGAAATGGTGTTTGTTTTTTGTTTTGGATAGCCCTAATGAATTTGGTTAATGTTGGTATACCAGTAGGGTAATGACGCTCTCGCTAAACTAAATAATTTTTCTTTAAATTATAAAAACATACTAGTGTATTGATGTGCATTCAAAATGTTATTACACCATGTACCAATAGAGTGACCGACGGGAGCTGATATTGAAATAAATAATTAATGCTTACCCCAAAACCTATGTACATAGCCATAATGAAACCAGCAACAGTTGCGCATGCGTTCGTCATGATAGCATGGAGCTCAGACATTGTCAGCCTTTCAATGAATGGTTCTAGCATGATCGCAGCTTCACCCTGATTAAATGCATCAATAAACATCCTTCTTTAAAAATGGAGGTACACATATAAGATTGTGTGTTATTATGATAGTGGGTGTTGAAAACAGACATAATTGCATATTTATGCTAATTTAATTAAATAAAATATTGAATGATGTGGAGTTGGATATAAACACAAATGGACAATTTAGATGAACATATGATGACATTGCTAAGTTAACATGGTCTATCATGGTAGCATCATGAGATGGCATACCCAACCGCAAAAGTCATTTCATAATAGAATAGCAGCATGAATGAATCTACTGACCCCACTCAGGAATATGTTAGCGGCCGCATTGAGACTCTCCACTGCCGTTGTGCCAAGTGTGAACTGCATCAACCAAGCTGTCTTGCCAACGAGGATCTGCATGATGCCCCAGTGGTACATGACTGAGACTATGCAACTGAAGAAGATGACGATTGGCATCACCTACAATCATATGCGGTGATACTTTAGGTTCACTAAAAATGTTTATGTTTGTCAACTTAACAGATCGAGAAGCAAAAAGGGGCGGCAGAGGAATACAACATTAAAAATTAATACATTTTCACTTCAGATATACAAAGCTTGTTTATTTTGAAACGTTTGTGTTCTTGGCTAACAAATGTGTGATATCTTGTATTGTGATGGTTCCTACTACATGTATGTTATTTACGGAAAATTATATCCACAATGAAATGGGAAAATACCAATAGTTGCATTAATTATCGGTAATCATAACCATGAAAATAATCATCATACAGATTTACCTTTATTAGCTAGGAAATAATATCAAATTGATTGAACATCGTCATATCTAATGCGAATCTGTATATATTTCAGATAAATCGATAGGCAAGAATAACATGAATAAACTAAATAGTTTTGTTGATACCTAGTATATTATAATGATGTTAATTCATAAATCACATGATGTTATCTTATAACACAAATCTTTGACGTACCATTAGAAAGCTAAAAATCGTATACTCTTATAAATTACAAATATATACTCCTTCATATTATTTAGTTGCACTTTTGAGCCCATGCACGTAAATAGATAGTCTATACATAGATGCACCGTGTGGATAGATACGCTATCAAGTGATTTAGACTAATCAATCGAAACAAACAAATGAACAGTACAAATGCTAACCTTGAATATAAACGGATGCGCCTCAAAAGTATCTCCAAATACAAACTTAGATCCACTATCAGTGTACTCTAGGAAGTATCGCACTTGGTTGCCTAGGAAACGGAACGCTTGATAACCCGGTGGCCATCTTAGTATTAGAAGCCCAAGAATCAATTGTAACCCAATGCCCCATAACACAGGCCGCCATTTTATCTAAAAACGAAAATTGAAACGTCACTTAAAACACAAATTAACACCCTATGCAGACAGAGCCTGTGGGAAATATTGGATGCGGCGCAAATGAGCGGAGGGTGCGGAGCTAACGGTCATTTTTGAATTTAAAATTGGGATATTTCTGAAACTAAGCCGTTTTGGGACTTCAAATATACCAAGATATGTGTATTTGACACCAAATATCAATAAAATTGTGAAAATAGTAGCGCAATTCATTTTATAGCGACGCAGTATGCCTTAAACATTTCCCAGACCTATATATTTTGAGACTATCCTTTTAATACTGCGTCCCCAGCATTCATAAAAAATGGTGTTCAAGATACACTACCCATGCAAATTATTTTTGCATCTTGGAAGCCAGGCAGTATCTGTGTGATTTTATAAAAATTCGGAAATGTTCTTCAGATATGAGCCCCTCTAAATATTGGGTGCGGAGCTACGTTTATGGAGCTGCTCCGCACCCAATATTTAGAGGGGCTCATATCTGAAGAACATTTCCGAATTTTTATAAAATTGTTGTGTCATTAAAGAACAACTTGTATTTTACATTATATTTTATTAGTCCAGTTATATGATAGCACATTTGCTTCCATATCCTATATTCGCTGATAAGTCTACTTGTGATCAAAGAGTAATAAAACCATAAAACTAACCATTGTAAAGACTTATCAGTTAATATAGATAACAACCCAGGTGCTGAGGGGCGTAAGTCAGTCTAGAGATGAACCTCGATTAAGAAACACAATTAATGTTCTTCTGTTCAGTTTGTTAGCCAAATCATGCTAATTACCGACTCTGATACCTATTAGTACCAATCCACAAATCCTCTCAAAGCCAAGCACAACAATTGGTGGAAAGCAGCCGGATAGGATCAGGGAAAGTTTTTGCAGACAAATTGGCTGACGACTGGACAAGAAGATAGAAAAGGAGGAAATTTAGAATGACGACTACAAGGAGTGGCGATACTGCTAACGTAAAAGAACAAGGAATGGAGGTGACAATAACAGCAAATGGAGACCGCCGCACCGTCATTATTGTACAAAAGGAGGCAGTAACACAGACAGAACGGGGTAAGTCACCTTTTGTTAAGAATAGGAACACTCAAGAATGTGAATATTGTGGGAAACCAAGCCACGATTATCAAAGATGCCGCATCCGTAAAGCCCATGCAGATATAACTTGTTTTTCTTGCAATGAAAAGGGTCATATTAGGTACTATTGCCACAAAAGGAAGAAAGATCCTTTAAACTCCAACCTCCAGAGACCATTAGGTTTCGGAGGACAGTAAATCAAAAAAAATATGATCGAGAGCCTGGCGAAAATGTATTTTGGCCTCTCCCAGAATTTTTCTCAAAATTATTATAAACTGTCGAATACCTTAGAATTTGAATAAGTTTTGAAATTGAAAACCTAACTAGTTGAATGTGAAGATTTTTTGCACCTGCTCCCGAAACTTGTTAGCGGTGTTGAACATACCATTGATCTGTTCAAACCAGGCTCTAGACCATTTAGGTCCGTACCATATCGGACTAATTCCAAATATGGAGATATAATCAAGGAAGAAGTTTCAAAGTTATTAGAAAATGGGGTAATAAGACTGCATCAAAAGTAAAAGTATGTAAATGAGGGTAACAAAAATACAAAGGAAGAAATGTTAAGTATAAAATGTTGAACCACAAGAGTAAATGAAGTAAATAAAGTAGATATATGGCAGCTGAGATAGCTCGGCCAGGAAAACATGCAAATATAAAAAAAACAAAATAAAAAAATAAGGTAAACTGAAAACTGTAGTGTGTCGTATGCAACACTATTATATTATTATTGACGGCCCTGGAACCAAAGCAGATAACAATAATGAAAAATAATGCAATGTTTCCATGGCCAATTATATGCATTAATCTTTATATTCTGTATATTGTAGATAATGAAAACGTTGTATACTATGGACAGGACATAAATTATATTTTTGCTTGATGAAAACAGCTAGGTTAGAAGATAAAGGTTCTCTATCATTTCTGTCTTTGATTGAAACAAGTGTATGGTTTTTTTGTTCAGTGGCATTGGTCATTATGTTTTGTCATAATTTTATTACCTGAGAACGTTCTGTTTAGGTACTAGATAATGAAATATGAGGGTCATGGTGGTTATTTTATACCATCTCTGCGCTTGATGAATACCCTTGTAATACTTGTTCTTTTGTATAGCTTGAAATTATAGTTATAGATTACCATTTCAAACCTGGTATTTGCTTGACAAATTAGAAAATGAGATATGAGAAATTATAGGAAAAATTAGTGGTAGAAAGTGCTGTGGGTAGGACGCACACATTAGTAAGAGCAATTGAGACTATATTAAGACTGTATTGAGACTATATTGAGACTTTATTGAGCCCATTTTTTGTAGTATCAACATACTAGAGCCGAATTAGGGTATAACCTACTCCATTCAATTTTGAAGTCCATAGGAACAGCTACCCTGTAGTGTCTTGACATAATCGATGATTTAAATCTGTTAAAAGTAAATATTGATAAAAAACAAAGACCTTATACTGTTTACAGCAGACCGTGGTTGATTGGGGAGGTTATGTCTGTCTTGTTTAATGTATTGAGCCCTGTCATTTCGCTAGGAGCTGTACTGGACTACTTATCAATTTTGAGAACTATTAGGTTAGTACGTTACCCTAAAGGCGTATATTTAAAGGATATTTTGGTAAATGAGACAAGGGACATGGATATATTATGAGGATTTTTCTAGAAGTACGTACTTAGACTATGGTATAAGCTACCTAGTCACAATGATGACCTACTTGGTAATTTGAACTTAGAAGGGCCCGTCTAGTTCAATTTTTCTGTAAAAAGAGATAGACCCAAGTAGCGGCGACCAAAAGGGGGGGTAAAGTAGGTTACGTGTAAAAGTCCAATTACAAACTGTACAACTTACCACTTAGAATTTAGTTAAAACTCCTAATGGTTGCATGGACCGGGTGTTTATGGGGGAGTAGACGCCATAAACAGTATCCCGTTATTAATTCTACATTCCCTTTTTAGATGAAATGGATATATTGAGGCAAAATGTTGATAAATGGATATATTGAGGCAAAACGTTGATATTACAAAGAATGCGAGAAAAGATTTATATTATATGATATTTTTTGTGAATGAATAGGTCAATACCCACAGCAAAACGGTTTATGGTAATTGGTTAGATTGTAAAGTAATTGGTTCATCCTGTCCATAGTACAAACAATTCCAATTATTAGATGCGTCTTACTACACTACATACAACTTGCAGAAGGCAGAGGAGAGACGATGTCAAGCTACAAAATAAGCTAAAATTAATATGAAATCAAATAAAAAATTGAGTTATATTAAGTAAGTACGAGAGTGTTATATTTTTCCAAAGTTAAAATTGTTTCAGATAATATATGATATTTAGTACACTACCGACAAATGAGGTTATTTTTGAAAAGTAAAGTTGTCACAGGAGTTGTTTCAAATTACTTTATTTATAAGTATAAAAATTGACAATGATGATTTTTGGTTCTAAAGCCATTCACACCACATGTGATAGATAAGTTTGAGCAATTGTCAGCATGTCTTGAATATTGTCTGGTTTATGAGTCGGGACTCTCGGATCTTTTATTACTTTATAACTGAATGGAGTGAACATATGCTGAGTGATAGTTGTGTAATTGTTCCTTAACAGGGCCTGATCAACCCTTGGAACAAACACAAGTGTGCATGTAAACTGATATCAATGGGTTATTACCCATTGATTCAGAGCAATAAAGGTTTGAATGTTTGTGATGAAGACAAGAGAGTCCACTCCAAATACTGAGATCTGTTGCATATTGCTTATATGATTTTATTGTGGATCAGGAGTTGTATGTGATAAACTCTTTGATAGTTTTAATGGATATTGACTTATAATTTTTTATGAATTGATAATTATTTATTGTCTCCGAAGTAGCATCAGATTTGATTTTAAAGAGGGGCAGGAAATTAGTATCCATTGGAGATGCAACATTTTAATTTTTTGCATTTCGTTTCAATACAAGACCGATTTTTGACAAAATATATGCAACAATGGGCATAATCTGTGATTTTTCCCCAGTATTCATTTTATGCGTGTTGACTGCGGTCTTGCTCATATGGCTGATTATATTAACTTCCCAATTAAAGCGATTTCATTTGACCCTGCTTGACTATGGGGCAATTTTTTAAGGGAAAGAAAATACCTTTTCTTTGTTTCGACCGACATGCATCAGGTCCGTAAATCGGATTGGTCTTATCTTGTTGGTATTATCTTTTTAGGATATATCTTTAATTCTATCTAAATCTTTATTTTCAGTAGTTAAGCAATTTTTAGTTAAGTTCTGTAAACGTTAAAATGATAATGATATCCCTGTAGATGATGAACCGATAGATGATGGCATTGTCCATGAAGGGTCCACCCTTTCCTTACGAATCATTTACTTCTTTTAACCTACTCTCACTTTCCTTCTTCTAGTGAAATCTTTAATTTCACTTTAGTTAAGTGGGGGGAGAATGTATAAATGGAATATGAATATGAGAATGTGCATATGGAACATGTATATGAGAATGTGTATATGTAATATGTATATGAAATGTGTATGTAGATGGAAATGCGAGTGAACAGTCTGTATTCTGGCTGTGTATGAGAAAGTATTTGTTAAAATATATAAATGTGTATATGTGTATTAGAAGTGGACTATTTTTAAAATATTTTTGCGTAATTATATATATGACTAATTGCATTATATAAAAAAACTGAATTAACTGTTAAAGGACATGTGTCCTAACACATATTTTTGGGTAAAAATAAACTCGTGCTTAAGGTCTCTACAGTTTCCGCTTTTAACTGAAACAAGTAAATGTTACCATGATTGTAAATCTTGCAAGGTTATATGGCCTGAAATTGTAGAGTTATAAAGTAAGTTATTTCTACCCTAATATCTAATTAACAAACAATATTTTTGTGTTTTTAGTACTGTGAAAGCACATATTGTCTCACAGATAGTTTAGTAAATATGCGCATATTTCAAATTTAATTGATAAAAAGATTAAAACCTGAACATGTTTAGATAATAAATTTAATTGGTGGATTGTAAAGTTGTTAAGTGGGGTCCATTTATAACCACTAGAGTAGTCATATAAACATATTGGTAATATAGTTAAGGTATATAACACATTGTAAAGTGCCAATAGAAATCAACTTGAGAATTCATGATTGTAATATTTTTTGTAAAAGAAATGAAAAAATACTAACAGAAACCCGTCGGACATTTAAGTAAACAAGTTAAAACAAAGAAATATCTAAGTTACCTACTAGCTGTAGAAAGTTTTGGCAAAAAAAAGTCATTTTTTGTAGAGGAACAAGCTTCTCAACACATGTCATAAAAACTGTAACTTTTATATGATTTTAAATCGTATCTCTTACTCTCAACAATAGGAACACATAACAAAAGTAAAAAAAACACTAGGCTGCACTCCACAATATAATAGCTAAGTGGAAATTAATATTTACCTTATGGCCCGATCGCTATATAGATCTAGGCATACAGGAAAATAGGAAAAGTGCAAGCTACATGTAAATATATCTAGTTCATGTTGAGAAGTTAAAGTATTCACCATTATAAAAACGTTATGGTTATGCGGTAAGAACAAAAGTGTGACAGAGCTTATAATTTTTCCTCATTTATTAGATTATATTTTTTACTCTCAGTTCATAGAAAGGAAAACAGCTGGTATGTACTCTTACATTTCCTCAGTTTTGTACGTGTCAACTGCGTACTAATACTGTTTACAAGTGCCAAAAGAAGATATCAACAACAGCAACAACAACAAAGCAGATATTTTGTGACCAACAAAGGGTGCATGAACACTAAGGACTTTAAAACACTATATGGCACAAGGGTTCTGTTAGTTGAGTTTAATTCCAAAAAGCAAAATATCTATAATACGTTGAATCTACATTTCTACATTCTTTTGAAACCTAATACTTTTAGGTTAATTTTTGTTGAAAACATATTGATGGCACTAGATTTTTGTGACTTTGTAAAAAAATAGGTATATTATATAAGAATAAACGAATGCGTTACCAAAGCACCTCATACCCCTAAATTAACCATACCAATATTTCCCTTTCCTATGCGGCTCGCAGGGGCTCACCATAGCGAAGTGGGGAGTATTGTTGTGTCATTAAAGAACAACTTGTATTTTACATTATATTTTATTAGTCCAGTTATATGATAGCACATTTGCTTCCATATCCTATATTCGCTGATAAGTCTACTTGTGATCAAAGAGTAATAAAACCATAAAACTAACCATTGTAAAGACTTATCAGTTAATATAGATAACAACCCAGGTGCTGAGGGGCGTAAGTCAGTCTAGAGATGAACCTCGATTAAGAAACACAATTAATGTTCTTCTGTTCAGTTTGTTAGCCAAATCATGCTAATTACCGACTCTGATACCTATTAGTACCAATCCACAAATCCTCTCAAAGCCAAGCACAACAAAATCACACAGATACTGCCTGGCTTCCAAGATGCAAAAATAATTTGTATAGATAGTGCACCTTGAACACCGTTTTTTATGAATGCTGGGGACTCAGTATTAAAAGGATAATTTCAAAATATATAGGTCTGGGAAAGGTTTAAGGCACACTGCGTCGCTATAGAATGAATTGCGCTACTATTTTCACAATTGTATTGATATTTGGTGTCAAATACACATATCTTGGTATATTTGAAGTCCCAAAACGGCTTAGTTTCAGAAATATCCCAAATTTAAATTCAAAAATAACCGTTAGCTCCGCACCCTCCGCTCATTTGCTCCGCACCCAATATTTCCCACAGGCTCTGTCTGCATAGGGTGATTAAGCTAAAAGATTTAACAAAAAGTGATGAAACATATAGCTATAGTACGAGTAAACATGGAAATAAGCAGAATTTTAAAATGTCATTGTGGTGAATAAACTTAGCCTACTTGATTGTTCTGATGAATAATCCTGATAGGACCAAGAAAGTTTGATAAATATTTTGTATTGGTCCTTGTTTGAAGAGATATTCTCATGTAATATATGACTATTATAAGGTTACTTTTGTTTGAAGGCGTTTCGGGCAATGTAAATTTATGATAACATTAGATTCGTTTGGTTATATGCTTACTATCAGAGCGTTTTATGCTTACCTTCGAAACGTTTAATACGCTTACCTTCAAAGCGTTTATTGAGGACTAAATTAAGCTTATTTTTGAGCGCTTATTCAGCCTAGCTTTAGTTCGCTTACCTTTGAGGGATTTGTGGACGTGAGAAAGCCATACATGATGAGGACGACCATACCACCAGCAGACACCAGTCGTTTGGGTTCCTGACCCGCATCCATCACAAGGAACACTACGATCCCCGCCAGTACAAGTAACAAACATACCCTGATGAATTGAAAGTAACATGCTGGACTTTTTGGATGATTTCATGAAAAGAATATGCTTAAATCAAAAAGTAGTGGATCGATTTAATTCATATTTAAACATGGCACACAGTCCAATGGATAGTGGGCGGCCATATTGAAAAACGGCCACCATTTTCATGCATGTTATTTTAAATATGTGACTACTCACAAGCATATACACATTCTTATGACAATCTAGCCAGTGAGTGGCCATTTTGAAATATGGCCAGCATTTTCCCGTGTGTTATTTTACGTTTTTTTGCAAATGGAAAAGTAAACGAGCGATTTTGTATCATTTCATATGTGAATACTTTGACAATTTTGGCTAATAGGTGGCCATTTGAAAAAAGGCAGCCGTGGCCGTTCGATGGGATTTGCTACGCCTAAGTGTTGCTTTTATCTTGTTTATTTAGCAACAGGTATTAAGGCCACATTTGAGACAATGTACGTACCATTTCATGTACTTCAATGTGCGAGCGAAGCGGACTTCACACCCCCGACCACAAATACGTGAATAAATTGTCGTGGCGTATTTGTCTCTGATCTTACCATAAATGATTCCCGTGGTTATGAGTGCCGTCATCACTATACTCACGAGAGCGCCATCTATACTATGTCTAATAGCAAATACTAGGTACACAAACCAAGCGATGACTAGGAAAACGAACACAATTATTCCAAGTGTCTTTTCATGGGTTTTAAAGAAATTCGAGATCCATATCTGAATTTTTTCCAAAACTCCTGACGATTTTGCTTTATCTATATCATAATCTGGAGAATTTTCTGGAGTCATGCTTCGCGCGAAAAGAGGATCGGGAATCATTGGCGTCTCCACATGAATGTTTGGCATAGATTTTCGAAGTGTCCCGTCCGGAAGCAATTCCATTGAGATTATCGTCTCCAATTTCAGATCATGGCGGGACTGTGATGGAGTTGTTGGTAGCATCGCCATTTTAATCCCTTTTATAATTTGTTTTGTTAAATTTGTCAATGAGTTTGCACACTTTATTACACTTATAGAATATCTATCTCGCGCTTTACTTTTTTAATCTCTTTTTCTTTTATTTTCAGAGATTCATTTTTAACTGTCGGTCTCTAAAATGTATCCCACTTCTAAATTGTTAAGTTGTTTAATGAAAAAATAATAGTCCAATGTTCAATTTGCGTTTTAAAGTTTGTTGTGCATTTGCAGATGTTTATGTTGGAATGATGCCGAGCAACTAAACCAATGTCATTCCAATGGTCGCACTCCGATACTTTTAGAAATTATAAGTGTCAGTTTCACCTGGTAATCCTTATATTAATGTTAATCTTTCATTTCCAGGCCCGGGAAGATTCCCTTTACATTGAAATTAGCACCTAGGGATATCAAGCTCCATACCTACTTTCCGGATATTATAAATTAAATCACTGCGCGTATTCAATAATCAACAATCGTCGTAATATCCCAATATGATTATCAATACATATTTGTTTGTTCATATACCTTTAATTCGATTATATTCGTGAATTTTGCTTTGATTTTAACCTTTTGTATAACGACTTACTGGTATTTCGGTGGACTTGATGCTATCGCGGAGTATTTATGGCTCCCGGCACCCTCAGCCAAACAATAGCGAACCACTTCACTCAACGAGGACAAAGAGGTGAACTCTCAACATTCTTCTACAAATTACTAAGACCGTCTTCTTATTCAACATCTTATGCCCAAATACTTAAGTTTAATTAGGATTTGATGAAAATAATGATTTATACGCGAGTTAATATCTTGAGAATGTCGATATCTGCTGCCATATATTAGATTCTATCAAGCGGAGATCTATCGAAAACAATTGAGTGCATGTTTTACAACTTTGGTTCAACTATTATTTCAACTGAATAAATCTGGGTTTTTGTTGTTTTTTTCTTACACCTCAATCGTAAATGTGGTGATTATACAAAAGTCACATGCTTGTAGTAATATTTAAAGACAACTGGCTTCAAAAGACATCTGGGTATACATACTGTACCTGTAAATTGGAATTGAATAAAATGTGACCATTGATTGTACAAAAGATTAACTACGATGCAATCATTTCCAAGGTTTTAGGCAAACCCAGATATGTGACCGTATTGGATTAATTATTATTTTAAAGTGGATTAACGTTATTAACTATAGTTTTACTTCCACAACTATTGGTGACTAGAAAATGTAAGTTTTGAAAGTCATGCTGCACCTCTCATGCAGCCACCTTTGAGAGCGGGAATTTGGGAATAGAAGAGAACTTATCATTATACTCTTTTAGAGATTTCGCTCACATGTGAAACCACAACTTATGTTTATGCATCAATTCTTATGTTCTTTGACCAAATTCCTTGTTTATAAGGTAGATTAGATAGTAATACGACTTCCTGCCAAGTATCACGATGATTCCTCACTTATAAACAACGTTTTATAAGCGATAGATCCTTATGAATGGATAGATCTGCGCGACAGGTGATGACATAGTTCACACACTTATAAGTTATAAACATAAGGAATTTATAAACACGCTATAAGTGCGTTGCGAAATCTCTCTAATTTAACGATTTCGCTTTTAAGTGAAAGCATAATTTATGTTTATGGGTATACTATAAAAAGTCGGCATTTCGAAAATTATCTTTTTACCCTTTTGATCCATTTTTCCAGGTGATACAAAGAATCGCGTATGCTTGCGTTTTCATTGGCAACTTGATCGCGAGTGAACTTGTATGTCTGATTTAATCTAGATAAAAGACAAAAAATAGTAACCAATCACTTTATAAAAAAGACAAAGAGTGTAATAAACAATGGAATTATTGTCAGCATCCGTCGAATTTCTGCCTTGATGTAAAATCCGTGTCACTTTGCTCAGACATGTGATCTATTAGAGCTAAACCTGCAATTTAGTATTGCGTGTTATGCAATTTGCATTCTGCATTCGATACAATTTGTTTTAATTTAGAAGAAAATATTAGCATCGTGTGTGATACTTTAGGAAATGTTAAGGCTTTCATTTTAAGAACAAAACATGGAAAACAACCCTTCAAATATCGAAATGTGTATCGTCCGAGGGCTTTTTTAGAGCTAACTAAATATTTCAAAAAGGCTTCAGTAGAGTCTCAACAAGTAAATTCATGCGGGATAGTATTGCTAGAACCCATCTTTAAAAGTAAGAATATTGTTCTTAAACAGGACATTGGACTCGCTTTTTAGAACTTTGTTGGCTCAATTTGTACAAGTTGTCAATTTCAGAATATTTTGGGACTTTATTCAATCCATAATAGTTAAATGAAAAATCAGATCTACAAAGAGCGACGAAATTGCAAGCAACGTGTACAATATAATCATACAATCCTTTGAATCTCAAATATAAATATTTCCAAAAAGACCACAAAATCACATTGAGTGACCGATTGGAGCTAAACACAATGGGCCCCATGCGCATATAGAGTGACTGATAGGAGCTGAACACAATGGACCTCATGCACACATAGAGTGACCGATGGGAGCTGAACACAATGAACCTCATGCACACATACCGTGGCCGAAAGGGATCATATACACATAGATTCAGGACCGACATGAGCTGAACACAATGGACCTCATACATACTTTTCACGTGTACCAAAGTGCAACAGAAAAACATTAAATTAAATCCATTAAAGTTATGTAACTACATGTATATAAAATAAAAAATACCTCGTTTTTGAAGAGTGATATCACAACATTGGTATGCCATAGAGCTGAACACTCGTCTATTGTCAGTGAAATATTACCCTTTTTATCACACCATCAATGGGATATGAAATATTACCTTTTTTATCACACCATCGATGGGATATGAAATATTACCTTTTTTATCACACCATCGATGGGATGTGAAATATTACCTTTTTATCACACCATCGATGGGATATAGTCGTCATGATGACGGTGTTATCGTGATCGTTGTCCCGCTTTTTGTCATCGCGATTTCAGGAAAATCGTTCATCGGATTTTCTCCAAACTCGCACACATGATAGAGGATATCAAGTTCTAGAGCTGATTACCTTTTGTGTGGTCATCTTATTTTCTGGCGGGTATTTTGAGAGTTTTTCGATAAATCTTGTCATCGCCATTTTAAGAAAACCGCTCGTCGGATTTTCTCTTAGTTCGCACACATGATAGAGGATATCAAGTTCTAGAGCTGACACCCTTTTGTTTGGCCATTTTGTTTTCTGGCGGTCATTTTGAAGTTTTTTCGATAAATCTTGTCATCGCCATTTCAGGAAAACCATTCATTGTCTGGCGTGATCTCGTTCAAGTCATGTGCCTTGTTGCATATAAAGACAAAGAGTGGCTGATAGGAGTGGGGTTGTCCCATAATTGATGCCTAAGGGTCTGCACAAGAGTGCCAAGTCTTTCTGGTCACTACCACATTGGTATCTACATTGACAGTTCGGATGACATCTACCCAAAGTATACAACTTGGAGTCACTTTCATTCTATAGCTAACCATAAAACAATGGCCATGGCTTTTGGCAAATGAAAGTAAAAATAAAATGAAGTGCTGTCGGTATTCACCGAAAAACGAGAATGAAATATTTGTTTCATTAGTCTATAAAATTGTCAACTTCACTTTTCTCAATATTATTATCCCACCTAACAGTTCTGGGCATAGATCCTTTGGCCAGATTAATTCAAAACGACCGACATTTTTCAAATAAAGTTCCTGCCTATTTGATTGATTGAAATCATTGTTACTATGGTTACACAATGTTATGTCACCCAGGACCAATTATTTGTTTCAATAAAAATAAATGAAAAACTTGAACATTTATTGCACTTGTTTTGTATACATACAATTGCCACCATTAGCAATGCATTTTCATTGTTCTAGTAGAACTGATTTGGGGAATTCTGCCTTCACATTTCAAAGGATTTAACAACAAATGTCTTGTTTCCGACCTTAGCATGAGTGTTGCAGCACAAATGCAGTCTAGGAAACAACATGTAAATGATATAAATCATCGATGATTCATTGGCATTGAGATATGTACACTTTCCACACATTGTATTACTTAAAAGAGTGAATTTTTGCAAGGGATAATAAAAGATGGTTAAATGTTCAACAGCAGGTCAACATAAACCCATTCCTTGTCATTCCCTATGAGTGTATGATAATATTTATAAGTTTTCACTCAACTGGCAACTTGAAATTATGTAATCAATTTCACTGAATCTAAAAATTTGGTTGTTGGTTGTAATTTTAAGAATTAAGGATTGGCTAGACTTTGATGTATCTTTTGCATAGCTATGTGTGAAAATGGATTCAATAACAGGGAATCAAACAAAACATATACATTTGAGGTTTTAAAAAATCAGCTCTCTATTGTGATTAAATACACAAACAGCTTACACAACAATAAAAATGTATAGTCAATATAAGTACATGTAAACTCTAAAATCCATGCCCAGATTGATGGTAATTATCATGTATAATCAAATCATATATAAAAAAATGATTGATGGCCTACCCAAAAACAAGCAAGTCATGGACAGTGACCTCAGACAATACATATCGAGGTGATAAATATATTAACTCATTCATATATGAACCCATTGATTGCTCAATTGATTCTTTAGTCCAAATGGCAGTGGGATTATATATACTACTATACTATAGACAACTTTAGAGCTGAATACCTTTACTATTGTACTGTATTGTATTGGTTATGATTTTTTGGGTTTCACCAATTTTTCTGGACTGTTAAAGTGACATTTTAATTTATTTTCAAGTTTAAAAATCTTGCTAATAGGAAGGTTAATCTTGCATACAAAATGAGAAACACATAATCCATTGACCATGTAGCTTTCTCGCTTAAAAGTTCAGCTTCAGTGTTTACGCATGGAACAGGATACAGCATATTCCGGTAAGACACATGGGTAGTTAAATTAAACTGATTTTCTGATACAATCTGAAACAAGCTCCTCTGGTACATCATCTATTTCAGAAAGAATTCTACTTTGAATCGAAATCAAAATTGAAGTTGCCAGCACTGTATTCAATAAGACAGGAGTATAATGATTTCCGTTTACATTTACGTTGTGAAAAACAGTGCAAGCTTAACCTCTCTATTAATAAATGACACATGCACACTTAAGACAGGCAGCCAATCTGGGGACTGCAATAGCTCACTCATGTGATCTAAAACCTAAATTGGCTAGTTATCATATTTGTATGTCCATTTTAGAAAAGTCTATATCCAAGTGGGTATTTTATGGGTGTCCATCTTTCATTGTAATCTCTGCAAAAGTCCCAGCCTAGTTTGCCAAACACCTGAAAGTAACAAAGCATAGCAGAAATATCAATATGTCATCTCAATCGTATGTCATCTCACTTGTACCATGTTACTTGTCATGTTACTTGGTCATGTTACATCTATGCCCCCTCACTAGCCATATCATAATAATGACAAATAAAAATTTCAAATTGAAAGGCATATGCGGTTTTCTTGAATTTTGATGACAAATTCAAAATAGTTACTATGAAATTTACCCATGATAATATAAAAATTGAAGCACTGACAGACTTTAGGCAGAATGTGAACATGTTAAGTCTTACACCCACTTGAGAAAAAAGTGCTTAAGAGAACACTGATATACATTAATATGTACCTCTTGGAATTTCTTCTCCAGGTCTTTAGTAGGTTTATCATCATATTGCTTCTGAAGTGCCTTCAAAGCTCTGCCATAATGTTTAACAGCTAGGCTCATCTTATACAAGAATGGAGCAACCTAAGGTGAAATAGAAACAGTGAAATAATACACTACATGGAGTGGAAGACCCCCTATAGTGGATATTATTATTATCCTGATATTAGCTTGAAATTATTTAATGAATTCCTTTAAATCAGCAAATCGACCCCTCTCTCAGGCGCTTTCATCAATCATAGCCTATATGAGGTATGCTAATACATTTACATGCTGGAGTGAAAATAAGTAACGTTAAGAGGAATATGAGATAGACTGAACACTTGAAAAGGTTAAACTATTGAAACAATCATAACTATTCAACAGTTGAAAATCATCAGGTACCTTACTTAATACTAGATGTAATATCTGTTCATATGCTCCGTTCATATATGTGTTTCAGTAAATATACAGTTGACTTTACTGAATTAACCAAACTGGGTAATACAGACTGAGAAGAAATGTCTGTTTGTTATTACTCAATATTGAAAGTTAATTTTGAACCTCAAAACTTTAAACTACCTTCAAATCAGTAATGTCTATCCAGCGCTGTATATCAGTGTATATTTCCGTCATTGCCTTCACATTCTCATCCTGTTTAAGGTCTTCTTCTGATTCATCAGGGTTGTTCTTTTGCCTCTGTAGCACTAAATCACAGTATGCTGAGCCAGTCTTAGCAAGTGCATCTATTATACAAGATTTCTTCTTCTCCATATCCCTAGCAAAACAAGACATTAATAATGACATAAAATAACTGGAGGGACATTATGTTGAACTATATTGTTGTTAGTGCTGCTGACCTGGCTGGTCACATCACTGCCCAACCAAACTAATTCTAATTATTCTCATCTTGTGAAAATATATGCCCTGATATTGCCAAGATTTTTTGCTTTACACTGAGTCTCTATGAGCATGGGATGTTAACTACCAAAAAATAATGTTAGCACTTTTTCAAAAACTTCATATTGGATCACAACTAACTTCCAACAAAACATATACAGAAGCATGTTTGATTCGGCAGATTTGAGTTTTCGTAAGAGTCTACATTTAGGCCTACAATATGTTCAAAATAAACTTTTTATGAAATATATTTACGTTTTTATTTGGGCAGCATCAGACCTTGTATCAGTTTTTGTCCCATAGTACTGCAGCAATGCATTCTGGTCTATATTACTAACAATCTCTTTACCAAGGTCTATGATTTCTTGGAGTTTCTCACCACGTTTCTAAAACAAAATGAGACATTACGATCTAACAAATACCATCTGAACACTTTATCTAGCATTTGCAATCATTAATGTTGAAAATCTAAAGCATTTTGCCAATTTTTCTAGTGAAATCAAGAGATATGATACATGTTAAGTTCCTTAAATCCACAAATTCAACAATAATTATATGAGCATTATTAACAGTTTTGGATACATATACATAATGACACTGTTTCTTCCTAGTTTTTGGATAATGTTGAACTTGAGCTTGATTCAGTGCATAAATGAAGGACCCACGGTCCTATGCTCACACAGTTTGGAACCTTCAGAGGAATTTATATCCTGACTTTCAAACAAAAATATTGATTTGGATTTGTAGTCTCGAACTTTGAGAAACTTATAGTTGTGTGACCTAGTTTGATGACCTTTGACCTTGAAAATTTTACTTATTCAGAGCTCAGTAAGGACTTTTGTGATTAAGCTGACCAAAATTTACATCCAAAAATCAATTTGAAAAATCAACTTTTTTGACCTTTCGAAGGTTACTGAAGGTCAAGTAAAGGTCAAATCCTAAAACTAATGTCAGATTTGAACTCCTGGTAACTTGTAGATGATTTTCAAAAAAAAATTTGGTCAAATTGAAGCAAGTTGTAAAATAACTTATTTTTACTGTTTTTTGACGTCAAATATCTCAAAAACGGTAAAAATTTGATGCTGACATATATTGAGAAATATGTAGGGAATGCTTAAATCTATTAATGATGTAATTTATTGCAGGAAATGATCAAGTATAAGGCAAACTTTAAGAATCTTGTCAATCACAAAACCTGCCATTGACTTTATACATAAGAAAGTTTCCTGAAAATAACCAAGTCCTACTTTTTTTCAAATTTTATAGAGTAAACACCAAAAACCGTAGTTCCAAGAGCTTTGAAATCTTCAGAGGACATAAGTTGCATATACACCAACTACTTAAAGGTATTTGAAAGTTCTACTTCAACAAAGTGTCTAGTATTTACAGAAAATTTGACTTTTTGACGTCAAAATCCGCAATTTCTCGGAAACCGGGCGAACTTGGGAAATGGCGATGATAGGTCAAATAGGCATTATGGATATGCATAAAATGAATGTGGATAGGACTCAATCCGAATAGCAGTTTTAATTTGTGCGGCCAATGTTGACGGACGGACCAACGGACGGACGGACGGACAGACGGACGGACGGACCAACGGACGGACGGACGGACCAACGGACGGACGGACGCCTGGTCAATCCCATAGGCTCACTGTGTAAGCCAAAAATGGCAAGAAATATCAAGAAAACCTACTTTATCAGAATCTAAGGCATTCAGCCTTGCCACATGTAGAGGTAGGTGACCTGGGTGGGCCTTCTTCATCTCTTCATACAATGAACTACTGTCTTCAAGTCTGAAACAACCAAGATGATAGATTAACAAACTGCCTGATTAAATAATGAACGCCACACCTGACCTGAAGAAAGAATCTTGGAAGAATATTCAGCGGTGCAAATTTTGATTAGGTGTTCCAAGATCACCCATTTAAAGAGTGGCGATAAGTAAATATATTCCACCATATATATCATAGTCATGTGAATCATCAATGTTAGAATAATAACCATCTTTTCACAATTTCAATTTTTTTTGCAATAATCTGGTAGTAATTATATATTCAACATAATAGTTTATTTTTAAAAAAGAATACATACTTTGACATCCAGGTTATCTTAAGGTCCCTGATTGCCTCATTGAATTCCTCCTCTTTTGTTTTCTCCTTCTCTCCCTTCTCTCCTTTCTCTCCTTTCTTTCCATTATCCTTAGCTCCAGCGACAGACTTCTGTTTCTTTGGGGCCTCTGTGGATGTGTACCAGAATGGATAGGTATCCTAAAATAAAACAGAGTAACACACAGTGATAAATATTGCACTTTTTATAAAAATTCAAAATTCCCATCAAGTGATTTACCAACCACCAAAACATAAGAAGATGACAAAACCCAAGATGACAATAAAACTTTCACTTGTCTTTTTTTCATGTCATTTAATTCACTCCAGTAGTTTTGTGCAAAAATGTTATATGATGCCCTCTCAAAATTATTGAAAATTGTACCCTATATTCTTACCACTTTCTTTGCACTATCATCTTTGGGGAAAGATATTGTTCCAGTAAGGAAGTGACCCGCAGCAATTCCTTTAGGAAGCCTGAAATAAACAGATGAAAATTACTAAATATATTTTGTTGGATGTTGTGCTCCCAGTAAAATTCGAATCAAACCCAAAAATACTGGGAGTTCAGTTATAAGATACTTAAATGTCTATCAGATGTTGATGATTTACAATGTACAATGTCAGCTCATGTGAAATAGATCTAGGTTAAAGCAAATGGAACATGAATTGACGAATAGACCCTGCATTGAAACATTTTACTGACCTGATGTTTTGAAACACAGAGCACAGAAGGTGGAGAATAAGCGAGTAATAAAATATACAGATGTGTGGTTAACTGAGATTTTATCTGGTTTATTGAATCTTAGAGAGAACATCAAGTTGTAGGCATACCATTACTAGCATGTTGAGTTTCAGGTTACATTAAGACAATATCTTACTTGTCTTCTGGTATTGGAGCTAGGAACATAGGTACAGTGGAACCTTTTGTCAAAGTAACACTCCCCGTCTTCTTGGTCCCAGTCACTGCCCCATTGTGTGAGGAGTGGCTCTCAACTGAGATTGTACTACCTGAAAACAACCAAGTAAATCATTCAATTTTTCTGAAATAAGAAATAGATTACTTTTGATTTCTACTTTTGCCCGTGTTGTTTTCCTGTTGATCTAACCTATACTTAAATATCAATGATTGCTTTTAACTTATGTCCAGCTACATCCATGTGAGAATATGAGAAATAACTGGTTTAGATCCATTTACACCCAACTGAGAATTTCACAACATAGTGAAATATATTATCACAAAAAAGCAGAACTTTCAAAAACGTTCATACAAAATAATTAAAATTTCAATTCCAGTTGAGAAAAAGTTAAGAGACCAGATAGTACAGAGTCACTGATACAAACCATGTTTATGTAGTAAGCACTTCACCTAATTTATTATGGAGGAGCACAACGGTGTCTTTTAGTTTCTCAAGCATGTCTCGTTTCTCATGTCTCACTTGTAGTTTTAGCACATAGTCCCCTTTCTCAACCTTGGCACTGTACTGAAATCACAATAATATAACACATTAAACTGGCTCAACCAGTGTTGTATCAAAAACTTATCAAAACCTCTGAATTACATGCAAACAATAAAAGACGGGAAGTGTTCTGATGAGGCTGAACTAATTACTACAAAAGCAGACAAAGTCCCTCTGAGAAGGGTGTCAAATGGCAGCTGTCCCTCAATCTATAGCATCAAATGTCATAGGTACTCAGACATGCTATAGTCCTAGATATCATGAGAAGCTTTCAATTCTAGATAAGTGGAGACAATATGATGGCATAGTATTTAACAAAGAAGAAGTTTGAGCTTAACATTTTAAAGGTGTATGACTTTTTTTAAAGGTGTATGCCTTTATTGGGCAGCTCCAGGTAGCAACAACATCATATCATTCTTTGACAAACTGCAAATGGACCGTTGCCTTACCTGGCTAGGATATGCATCCCCTGAGCTGATGAGTTGTTTGTTGCTATCAAATAACATCCAGAGTTGAGACTCAAATTCACATTCATATAGGGTGTCACTTAATAGTGGAACATCAGGCACTATTTCACCTGCCTTACTCTGAAATAATACAACATAATAATATTCAAATTCACATTCATATAGGGTGTCACTTAATAGTGGAACATCAGGCACTATTTCACCTGCCTTACTCTGAAATAATACAACATAATAATATTCAAATTCACACTCATATAGGGTGTCACTTAATAGTGGAACATCAGGCACTATTTCACCTGCCTTACTCTGAAATAATACAACATAATAATATTCAAATTCACATTCATACAGGGTGTCACTTAATAGTGGAACATCAGGCACTATTTCACCTGCCTTACTCTGAAATAATACAACATAATAATATTCAAATTCACATTCATATAGGGTGTCACTTAATAGTGGAACATCAGGCACTATTTCACCTGCCTTACTCTGAAATAATACAACATAATAATATTCAAATTCACATTCATACAGGGTGTCACTTAATAGTGGAACATCAGGCACTATTTCACCTGCCTTACTCTGAAATAATACAACATAATAATATTCAAATTCACATTCATACAGGGTGTCACTTAATAGTGGAACATCAGGCACTATTTCACCTGCCTTACTCTGAAATAATACAACATAATAATATTCAAATTCACACTCATACAGGGTGTGACTTAATAGTGGAACATCAGGCACTATTTCACCTGCCTTACTCTGAAATAATACAACATAATAATATTCAAATTCACACTCATACAGGGTGTGACTTAATAGTGGAACATCAGGCACTATTTCACCTGCCTTACTCTGAAATAATACAACATAATAATATTCAAATTCACACTCATACAGGGTGTCACTTAATAGTGGAACATCAGGCACTATTTCACCTGCCTTACTCTGAAATAATACAACATAATAATATTCAAATTCACATTCATATAGGGTGTCACTTAATAGTGGAACATCAGGCACTATTTCACCTGCCTTACTCTGAAATAATACAACATAATAATATTCAAATTCACATTCATACAGGGTGTCACTTAATAGTGGAACATCAGGCACTATTTCACCTGCCTTACTCTGAAATGATACAACATAATAATATTCAAATTCACACTCATATAGGGTGTCACTTAATAGTGGAACATCAGGCACTATTTCACCTGCCTTACTCTGAAATAATACAACATAATAATATTCAAATTCACATTCATACAGGGTGTCACTTAATAGTGGAACATCAGGCACTATTTCACCTGCCTTACTCTGAAATGATACAACATAATAATATTCAAATTCACATTCATATAGGGTGTCACTTAATAGTGGAACATCAGGCACTATTTCACCTGCCTTACTCTGAAATGATACAACATAATAATATTCAAATTCACACTCATACAGGGTGAGACTTAATAGTGGAACATCAGGCACTATTTCACCTGCCTTACTCTGAAACAATACAACATAATAAATGTCATGGTCGGATTTTAAATAATTGAAAAGAAATAAACAAATCTTCCTATATTAATGACTACAATATCAAATGCATATAACAAAATCAATGTGAAATACAAGCTTGATGTATTTGAATTTTTAGTGTTAGAACTTAAGCGTTCTACAAAGGATCAAGGGCCTACAAAAAAGAATCCCATTGATAATTCATGAGCAAATTTCACAATCACTCACCTGATGGAAATTGTAAGTTAATTCTACTGCATAGATTTGTCGCTCCTGAGGCAATTGGTCCCGTTTCCCTGGTAGACAAACAATCTTATGCTCCGCTGGACGGACAGGAATTGCATGATGTTTAAGCGTGATACTTGGGGAGACTTCAGTGTGATCTAAGCTGGCTGTTACATCAAGCCGCATCACTCCCTGAGAACCATGCTGGAATATAAAATTCAATTTTCGTCACAACACATTCATCACACGCTGAAAATCATTTTTATATTGATAGAGATACATAAATTTTTTCTGAATAAATACTGCTGCAGGAAAATGATATTAACCACAATTTGAAGAAATTAATCCATTTTATTCCACTATTGACATGTTCAATCTTCAAAATTTTCTAAATAATGAAATATGTATTCTATTAATTTGCTAAATCATCAGTTTATCAAAATATTTCAAATATCATGAAATATGAGAATACCTGTGGAGAATACCTGCGGAAGGAATTTAGAGTGAAAAAGTAAATGTTTTATTATGGTCATTGATGATTTTTAAAAAACAAAGTCATAATATCCAGTAACCTGCCATCTTTTAAAATTTCATACAGGAAGTGATGTCATTGAGTCTCAACTCAACCTTGCCTATTACAGTGTAGGAAAGTAGCTCAAAATCACTTTAAGACAAGTGGTTCTTACTTTCCGTGCAAAACTATTTTCAGGGCTTGTCAGCTTGGAATAAAAAATGAGATTTTCAGAAGCTTAAAATCGAAGACAAAACTGAAAAAGAAATTGACCATATGATAATATTTTTCCGTGTTTTGTTAAACATGGACATATACATGATTATAACTCCCAAGTTAGGAGAGAGATGGTCTGGCACAGAATATGTCTTTAACTACATAATCTGGTTGTTTCCAACCACTTACCATGTGATATTTACGAGAGCATGGTTTGACTCCATGAAATGCGAGTGAGTACTTAGTGTGCACTTTCCCTAGACTAGCCCACCATTTTGCAATGCATAACTCTAAGGTTCGATTTTCCTGGAAAACAAACAAATTGTTAATTGGTATATACAGTATGTACAGACTATGCAGAAACTGACATATACATTTTGTACAAGTTCTACAAACACAATGAACAAAAAACTAAATAATTGACAACTAATACCCTTTTTTACATTTTTTATTTAAAGTATATTCAATATTTCAAAAGAAGTAATAAAATATGTTTGAAAAATATGTCATGTCTTGACATTTTGAAATCTAGGCCCATTTTAAATTGCTTATCTCAAGACGTCTTTTGGAGGCTCTTACCATTACTTGAAAGACTTGAGTAGTGCTAGCACCATCATGTTTAAGTGTCACGTAACGTTTAAACATATGTATTTTGTGACGTGTATCACGTTTAAGTTGTAAGGCATGGAGCAAGAAACGGGAATTTTCCTCTTCTGAGCACTCCATTGTTAGCACTAAATAATAATAAGTGTTTTTCAATTACCATTTCAACTAACACTGCTTTGTAGATCAAAAGTTTTGCCTTCAGAAATATGCATGAATAAAAAAATATATACAGGATTTTCTAATTTGTGATATTGGCAAAATTTTTGATCCATGCGCACTAGTTCCTCTCATAAGAAGGGTCATGCCTATTCCATGTTGCAGCGCTCTCTACATAGCTGTTAATTTGGCATTTCACAAGACTAGTATGACATTTTCTTACAAGTGAAACTGTACCATATATGAAACATCAAAGTCTTACCATGACCCGAAAAGCATGTTCAACTTTATTTTGGTCCTCGCCGATTGTGATAAATTTTTCAAATTCAAATTTGCCAAAACTTGACTGTGGCTCCCTCTGCAGGGCATGAATTAGGAACCGGGTAAGATCGGGAAACTCTGTGCCAGAAAGCGTTACAACTGAAAACAGAGAATATTTTCTCAAATAGTGGATCCCTCAACATATTCTTATATAAAAAATTTTAAAATACACATCTCAAGATTTAGATTCAATGAAACATTGTAAAGTTATGATATCAAAGGGCTTTAGTATAGAAATGATGTCTGCATTGTTGCTAGAAGTTTCACATTGTCGTATGCATAAAATATGTACATGCTTTTCGAGACAATGAGCTTTTTGTGTCCAACCAACAATCCTGGGGTTTACTGTATACATACCAAGGATGGCAATCATGTATCAATTTGTTCACATAGTAACCAATCAATTTTGTGAAATCATGTAAAAAGTGTATTGCCAAGCTTGATTACTCATCCTGATATAGAAAATTACTCAAACAGAATTTCACACCCAAATACCCAAATAAAGTAAAAGCCAGGGATATAGATCTGGATTTATGTATACAATAAACTCCTGGGCCAACAATATAGCCATAATGAAAATGTTTAAGTTCACAAAAACAATTGTCACAATAAAAAATTAACATACTCTCCTCATTATTCCAGCAGTAAGAAAAACAGTTACTTTACAATTTACAAACACCTAACAAGTAAACTGAAAAATAAAATTTAATGGACTGTAAGCTGATATTCTAAGATTCTCATAAACATGTTAAGAACATGCATGTTTACTAAATTGATCCATCTCTTTTGGAAATTGTTTTTAAATTCTTACCAGTCTCGATTACCACACCAATATTGTGAGTATACTCAGTAGACTGATAGGAGTGAAACATATCCATAGGATATATACTCTATACATATGATATGTAAAGTAATCTTCATACCTGCCCAAGTAGTTCCTGTGGGGACATCTATAAAATGCCTTCTGATCTGCCCTGGTTTAAAATGCTGATCTGGGAAGACTAGTCTATTATGTAAGGTATCCTCCACTCTAAAATATAAACAGACTCAATTTGACACAGTTCAAAAATGGAAGTGTTACCTTAGTAGTAATAAACAGGTAAACGTTTCAGATCATTGCACTGATTAATTCAAAACCTCTCATTATATGTATTCATTCTCACTCTATTACTGTGAAGTATAAATGTCTAATCAAATGCAATTTGAATATTCAAAACAGGAGAATTTTCATTTTTGCGCTCCTTTATAGTTTGACATATTTTTCAATTCGATTGTTACGTGCAGTTTTCTTAAGGTAGAGCAAGTAGAATGAGCAATCTGATTCATTAACTTTTTCCATATGCAAACACGTCCAAAGCTCGCCCCACTAGGCCCACCTTAATATTCCTGCAAACTATCCATACCTTTCTGGAATTATGACTGTAACAGGGACTCTGAAGACAGGACCTTTACTAGGGCAACTGATGTCATATCCCAGGATCTGGTAAAACAGAGCAAGCAATAAACATATCATTGTATATACACTAAACCTTTGCACTCCTGAACATCAATAATATATATATCAGGATAGAATTGTTAAATAAAACAAGTAAATGAAACTAAAATATAACATGTAGAAATAACATTGGTCTTAGAATGCACTGGAATATCATATAGAATGATCAATGAATAGGCTACATGAATTCAATTGAAGTGTCTTGATATTTGTTTAATAAAATTAATACAGTAATGTTTTAAAGTGTTTTTGTTTTCTAATGTTGCTCATTGAGTTTTATATGGTTTAAAATCAGGAACTGTGTGTCACAGTGACAAGTCTGAAGTTTGGATTACACTTGACTACACTAAAAGTGTGCTTGAGAGATTCTAGTCTTTACAATGTGCTATGTTACATACCTCTGTATAATGGACTCCAGTTGACAATCCTGTAGGATCAACTTTAACAGAGAACACTCTGGCTGCATTCATTAGTTCAAAATGTGCTGGTGTTGAGACCCAGTCAGCCTCACATACTATACTAAACCTTATTGTAAATGCAATCTTCTCCTCTTGCTCTGCAATATAAACAGTAGCATTCATTAATTCAAAATGTGCTGGTGTTGAGACCCAGTCAGCCTCACATACTATACTGAACCTTATTGTAAATGCAATCTTCTCCTCTTGCTTTGCAATATAAACAATAGCATTCATTAATTCAAAATGTGCTGGTGTTGAGACCCAGTCAGCCTCACATACTATACTGAACCTTATTGTAAATGCAATCTTCTCCTCTTGCTCTTCAATATAAACAGTAGTTTCTAAATGAGCGTTAATAAAATATTTCATTAAATTCTATTTAGTAGTATTTACTGTAATTACACAAGAACATTCACATTAAGTGGTAACTGGCAAAATAGGCCCCGGTAAAAAATTGTATTCCCAATTATAAGTCAAAATGGCATTTTTGCAAAATACATGTATTACAATATGCTTATAAAATCCAATTTTAAGATCTACTTAAAATACAATTTCACATCTTACTATAACTAAAGAAAGGCAGTCAAATTAAGTTGGTCTGATAACATGTATACATGTGTCTTGCTTTGAAGAACTGCTTGATATCATGATACTGCACTATCAGCACTATACATTTGTACTTGAGATGATACCATGTCTTGTATTAGACTAACCTGAACGACCATTCATATATTCTGGTTCAATGGTTACTGCATGTATACTGTGTGTTGTGGTCTGGTAGGCCTCTCTAAGATACACCCCTCTACCACTACTGGAACTAACCTGTAAAAATAATGTTTAAAAATACAGTTATTTTAAAAAAAAGCCGGTATATGTTAATTTCACTAAACATTGCCTCTAAAATAGTTTAAAATCATTTTATCATTACATTCAGCATTCATTATTAAAAATATGTGTAATCCATGTTTTAAACTTGTCCAAAAGTACAATGAAGGACCAAGTAACGAAAGATTTGGACATGCTTGCATATTCATAAGGTTCTCCACACAGTGTTTTTTACCCGTCAATACCTAGTATGCAAGCTATATGTCAATATTAGACTAGATGTTTATGAGAATACAGTACAGATTACTCATTCCACTCTGCCTGCCTTAGGCTTTAAAGTGTGCGCCTGACCCGGCTACGTATAGCACAGAGTTTATACTGGCGGATTAGACTAGTTCATTTTTTATATGTGTGTGAAAGCTTTCTCTTATTTGCGTTTTTTCGTTTAGTACGGTTTTGTTATAATTGCCGAGGTCATATAACCGGGATAAAACAATGATTATCGTTGACTGCCCACACACAAAACATACGTTGAGTGAACAGTGTAATTACAAACAACAGGCTTTAGAATACAAAGCGTAGTGTGATAATAAGCTGCACACTACCACTGCTGCATGTACATATTACTAATTTACTAGGGCTCCCAAAGAGTGGATAGGGAGGTTGTGTTTGTCACTTTTAAATTTTACATTTCAAAATTGTCATTTTACATGTCATAATTTGTTGGTTTCATTCGTTTAGCCAATCAAAACATTGTAAAACAATAAATTGTCTGTTACGTACAATCAATTTTGTTCAGTTTTGATTAGTTGTCAGAATAAAGTTACGTTCATCTGAATCCATGTATCAAAACAAAAATCCTATTTTCACTTCAAAATACTTCAGTGAGATGAAGGCTCGGAATTGTCACATGCAATAACTTATTGTCGTATTCGTTATTTTATCTTCTCGATAGTAGCATTTAGTCGCACATTTGATGCCAGGTCACCTTGTCGCGTACCTCTTGGGGAACCCCACATTTATGTGTGTACTCATGGAAGCAAATTCCCCGGTGTAGCCGAGAGCCACAAACTTTTCAACAGGTTCGAAATGACGGCAATTTCTCTCATATATACTCTAAATATTTTATTATTTATCACCTACAAAGTATTGCTAATAACCATATGTAATTTCAATAAGGAAACTTATCTGGCTACATATAAATTCAATATCAACACTAGCTGTTCTCTCAACACGTCCTGGCTTACCTTGTGGTGACAAACCCTGGGTTTTCGCTATTTATAGTTTATCAACACCTGGACGCATGCGCATTTTATACTTTATCGGGCACTTTAACTCACCTTGAATCTGATGTTGTTTTCTTGACTTCTGTGCATTTCAACCAAATGATCAAATGCCTTGTCCACCTGAAGATAAAAGATCTTGTATGCAGCATTCATATTTCACTCAGAGAAATCGTGTAAGAGTCCACAAGTACATCTAAGACATCTAAGTTCATATATACACTATCATTGAAAGAAATAGAAAGAATTATAACTTAAATGATTAAGTACATCCATGTAATCATCTGGATATCCCAAATGATTAAACTTCAAGTTTTTACTCCAGTTCAGAGAGACTTTCTTATATGTGAGCTCTACAAACCTGCAATAAGCCATGTCCAAGAGCAAACACTTCAACAGTGTCTACATTAAGGGCAGTGTTCTCAAGGGATCGTCTCACACTGTATGGGGAATATGGCACATTCTGTTGTTTAAGCCCTGATAGAATTAATGCTGAAACAAAAAGGTATACAATACTTAAACATGTCTTGATGTGAATGCTTTTTTTAGCATTTCAATACAATTTTTTAATCTCCAATGAGTTCCACGTTAAGAAATAAAAGGTGAACATGTCTTATTTCGGCCACATGTCAAAGTGGCATTTGGATTACACAGGTTATAGTGAACACTGATTGAAAATGACTAAAAATGCAAGACTCTTTTATAGCATACCCAAGAATTGTCTATTTGGTACTATTATATAATAGTTATAGTTTGGTAAATTATAAGTTATTTTACAAAACACAACCATTGAACATGATTATCAAATGACTCCTTACCAATTCCCCCGCAAGCATTGGGTGAACTCATACTGGTCCCATTCATCAACTGTGAGCCCCGCAGGGTCCAGTTTGGAACGGAGGCAATAGCGCCACCTGGTGCACTGATACACACACCAAGTGCACCATCAAACCTAGAAATATATGAAACCTAGATAATAAGATCATCATCAAAATGCTATTGATTGTAATAAGTTTAGAATTAAGTGAACTGACCTGTAATAATCAACCTTCTAAATTATATTGAAATGCCAAGAGTGAAGCAGGTCAGTTTACAAACCCATTGAATAATATGACCCTTTGATGACCCAGAAAATTTATGTACAACCTTCATTAAGACCATGTATTCTTACATTGGACCCCTTGATGACCAAGTATACTTATGTTTGACCCCTTGATGCCCATGTATACTTATGTTGGACCCCTTGATGCCCATGTATACTTATGTTGGACCCCTTGATGCCCATGCATACTTTAGTTGGACCCTTGAAGACCATGTATACTTATGTTGGACCCCGGTATGCCCATGTATACTTACGTTGGACCCCTTGATGTCCATGTATACTTATGTTGGACCCCTTGAAGACCATGTATACTTACGTTGGACCCCTTGATGAGCATATATACTTACGTTGGACCCCTTGATGACCATGTATACTGCATGCCTGGAAGTTTTTCCCTGAGTGAATATTCAGCAGCCATCATTTCTGGTGACACATAAGCTCCAACTCCTAAAAAGGAATATCATATTTTTTATATTTATATCTTCATGAGTGAATGCCAAGCTATATAACCTTTTTTCATCTGTGATTATCAGTGTGACACAAAAATGCAACCATCAATTTTTGTCAATATAAATGGTATATTTTAGCCTTGTGTTCAATGGTTTTGGGATTATAAGAAATCACTTTCCCACTAGACATGTTCCAACATTAGGTTATTCATCAAGTTTAAAGTTAAATTGGTTGAGCAGGTTCTCTGTCCTGTACTAAATGTTCTCCCCTGGAGCCCCCACAGTTGAGAGGGTAGGTCCATTGTTCAAAGATGTCATTTACCTATAATCCCCTCTACTGTTCCCCCTGGAGCCCCCACAGTTGAGAGGGTAGATCCATTGTTCAAAGATGTCATTTACCTATAATCCCCTCTACTGTTCCCCCTGGAGCCCCCACAGTTGAGAGGGTAGGTCCATTGTTCAAAGATGTCATTTACCTTTAATCCCCTCTACTGTTCCCCCTGGAGGCCCCACAGTTGAGAGGGTAGGTCCATTGTTCAAAGATGTCATTTACCTATAATCCCCTCTACTGTTCCCCCTGGAGCCCCCACAGTTGAGAGGGTAGGTCCATTGTTCAAAGATGTCATTTACCTATAATCCCCTCTAGTGTTCCCCCTGGAGCCCCCCCGGTTGAGAGGGCAGGTCCATTGTTCAAAGATGTCATTTACCTATAATTCCCTCTACTGTTCCCCCTGGAGCCCCCACAGTTGAGAGGGCAGGTCCATTGTTCAAAGATGTCATTTACCTATAATCCCCTCTACTGTTCCCCCTGGAGCCCCCACAGTTGAGAGGGCAGGTCCATTGTTCAAAGATGTCATTTACCTATAATCCCCTCTAGTGTTCCCCCTGGAGCCCCCACAGTTGAGAGGGCAGGTCCATTGTTCAAAGATGTCATTTACCTATAATCCCCTCTAGTGTTCACCCTGGAGCCCCCACAGTTGAGAGGGTAGGTCCATTGTTCAAAGATGTCATTTACCTATAATCCCCTCTACTGTTCCCCCTGGAGCCCCCACAGTTGAGAGGGTAGGTCCATTGTTCAAAGATGTCATTTACCTATAATCCCCTCTACTGTTCCCCCTGGAGCCCCCACAGTTGAGAGGGTAGGTCCATTGTTCAAAGATGTCATTTACCTATAATCCCCTCTACTGTTCCCCCTGGAGCCCCCACAGTTGAGAGGGTAGGTCCATTGTTCAAAGATGTCATTTACCTATAATCCCCTCTACTGTTCCCCCTGGAGCCCCCACAGTTGAGAGGGTAGGTCCATTGTTCAAAGATGTCATTTACCTATAATCCCCTCTACTGTTCCCCCTGGAGCCCCCACGGTTGAGAGGGCAGGTCCATTGTTCAAAGATGTCATTTACCTATAATCCTCTCTACTGTTCCCCCTGGAGCCCCCACGGTTGAGAGGGCAGGTCCATTGTTCAAAGATGTCATTTACCTATAATCCCCTCTAGTGTTCCCCCTGGAGCCCCCCCGGTTGAGAGGGCAGGTCCATTGTTCAAAGATGTCATTTACCTATAATCCCCTCTACTGTTCCCCCTGGAGCCCCCACGGTTGAGAGGGCAGGTCCATTGTTCAAAGATGTCATTTACCTATAATCCCCTCTACTATTCCCCCTGGAGCCCCCACTGTTGACAGGGCAGGTCCATTGTTCAAAGATGTCATTTACCTATAATCCCCTCTACTGTTCCCCCTGGAGCCCCCACAGTTGAGAGGGCAGGTCCATTGTTCAAAGATGTCATTTACCTATAATCCTCTCTACTGTTCCCCCTGGAGCCCCCACGGTTGAGAGGGCAGGTCCATTGTTCAAAGATGTCATTTACCTATAATCCCCTCTACTGTTCCCCCTGGAGCCCCCACGGTTGAGAGGGCAGGTCCATTGTTCAAAGATGTCATTTACCTATAATCCCCTCTAGTGTTCCCCCTGGAGCCCCCCCGGTTGAGAGGGCAGGTCCATTGTTCAAAGATGTCATTTACCTATAATCCCCTCTACTGTTCCCCCTGGAGCCCCCACTGTTGACAGGGCAGGTCCATTGTTCAAAGATGTCATTTACTTATAATCCCTCTACTGTTCCCCCTGGAGCCCCCACAGTTGAGAGGGCAGGTCCATTGTTCAAAGATGTCATTTACCTATAATCCTCTCTACTGTTCCCCCTGGAGCCCCCACGGTTGAGAGGGCAGGTCCATTGTTCAAAGATGTCATTTACCTATAATCCCCTCTAGTGTTCCCCCTGGAGCCCCCACGGTTGAGAGGGCAGGTCCATTGTTCAAAGATGTCATTTACCTATAATCCCCTCTAGTGTTCCCCCTGGAGCCCCCCCGGTTGAGAGGGCATGTCCATTGTTCAAAGATGTCATTTACCTATAATCCCCTCTACTGTTCCCCCTGGAGCCCCCACTGTTGACAGGGCAGGTCCATTGTTCAAAGATGTCATTTACCTATAATCCCCTCTACTGTTCCCCCTTGAGCCCCCACAGTTGAGAGGGCAGGTCCATTGTTCAAAGATGTCATTTACCTATAATCCTCTCTACTGTTTCCCCTGGAGCCCCCACGGTTGAGAGGGCAGGTCCATTGTTCAAAGATGTCATTTACCTATAATCCCCTCTAGTGTTCCCCCTGGAACCCCCACGGTTGAGAGGGCAGGTCCATTGTTCAAAGATGTCATTTACCTATAATCCCCTCTAGTGTTCCCCCTGGAGCCCCCCCGGTTGAGAGGGCAGGTCCATTGTTCAAAGATGTCATTTACCTATAATCCCCTCTACTGTTCCCCCTGGAGCCCCCACTGTTGACAGGGCAGGTACATTGTTCAAAGATGTCATTTACCTATAATCCCCTCTACTGTTCCCCCTGGAGCCCCCACAGTTGAGAGGGCAGGTCCATTGTTCAAAGATGTCATTTACCTATAATCCTCTCTACTGTTCCCCCTGGAGCCCCCACGGTTGAGAGGGCAGGTCCATTGTTCAAAGATGTCATTTACCTATAATCCCCTCTAGTGTTCCCCTGGAGCCCCCACGGTTGAGAGGGCAGGTCCATTGTTCAAAGATGTCATTTACCTATAATCCCCTCTACTGTTCCCCCTGGAACCCCCCCGGTTGAGAGGGCAGGTCCATTGTTCAAAGATGTCATTTACCTATAATCCCCTCTACTGTTCCCCCTGGAGCCCCCACAGTTGAGAGGGCAGGTCCATTGTTCCCAGCACTGGACACAAATATCACACCATGTTTGTGTACTGCTTCTCCTAAGATTTCACTTACTCTCCTGAAAATAAACGTAACATTTAGAAACACTGCCCTAACTTTAATCCACATGTAAATTGGTAATTCGATCTAATTTGATAAGGGATGGTGTTTGGTAATGAACAGTTGACTGTACTGAAAGATCACACATAATTTCAAAATACAACATGCAGATAGATGGTTAATAATTGCAAGTTATCCTACCCAGAGTTAGGTATATGGGCTGCCTCTCCATAGCTGTAGTTGACAAGGTCACATTTGTACTCAATGACACGTATCATCTGAAAATACATTACAACCTGTACTGGGGATACATTTATATGAAGCAACAAGAAAAATATTGGAGTACATTGTACATATAATATGTGAATTATTTCCCTGGGATGACTTCTACTTGACTCAAGGCATTATAAAGCAATTTTCCATTTCAAAACCAAGACCAGGATCACAATTTTCACAGTAATTAGTACTAGAGCTTTTGATCTATTCAATCATCTACGATGTATAGTCTTGATTACATTTCTATATACTTATTCCTTGTTAATCTACTCCTTTAAGTTATATTGTATCACTTACAGCTCTAACAAGGGCAGTACCAGTTTCCATAGAGCTCAGACGTGTGTCCCCAATCTTAAGGGCCAGGATCTGTGCCCCAGGGGCAACACCATTCTTCTCTGGCTGGTCAGGGAAATACCCAGCTGTTATGCCAGACACATGAGTGCCATGGGAACCTAAAGACATAATATACCAGTACATGTATAATTTCTGTGTCTGTATGGGTGCCATGGGAACCTAAAGACATAATATACCAGTACATGTATAATTTCTGTGTCTGTATGGGTGCCATGGGAACCTAAAGACATAATATACCAGTACATGCATAATTTCTGTGTCTGTATGGGTGCCATGGGAACCTAAAGACATAATATACCAGTACATGTATAATGTCTGTGTCTGTATGGGTGCCATGGGAACCTAGAGACATAATATACCAGTACATGTATAATTTCTGTGTCTGTATGGGTGCCATGGGAACCTAAAGACATAATATACCAGTACATGCATAATTTCTGTGTCTGTATGGGTGCCATGGGAACCTAAAGACATAATATACCAGTACATGTATAATGTCTGTGTCTGTATGGGTGCCATGGGAACCTAAAGACATAATATACCAGTACATGTATAATTTCTGTGTCTGTATGGGTGCCATGGGAACCTAAAGACATAATATACCAGTACATGTATAATGTCTGTGTCTGTATGGGTGCCATGGGAACCTAAAGACATAATATACCAGTACATGTATAATTTCTGTGTCTGTATGGGTGCCATGGGAACCTAAAGACATAATATACCAGTACATGTATAATATCTGTGTCTGTATGGGTGCCATGGGAACCTAAAGACATAATATACCAGTACATGTATAATTTCTGTGTCTGTATGGGTGCCATGGGAACCTAAAGACATAATATACCAGTACATGCATAATTTCTGTGTCTGTATGGGTGCCATGGGAACCTAAAGACATAATATACCAGTACATGTATAATGTCTGTGTCTGTATGGGTGCCATGGGAACCTAGAGACATAATATACCAGTACATGTATAATTTCTGTGTCTGTATGGGTGCCATGGGAACCTAAAGACATAATATACCAGTACATGCATAATTTCTGTGTCTGTATGGGTGCCATGGGAACCTAAAGACATAATATACCAGTACATGTATAATGTCTGTGTCTGTATGGGTGCCATGGGAACCTAAAGACATAATATACCAGTACATGTATAATTTCTGTGTCTGTATGGGTGCCATGGGAACCTAAAGACATAATATACCAGTACATGTATAATGTCTGTGTCTGTATGGGTGCCATGGGAACCTAAAGACATAATATACCAGTACATGTATAATTTCTGTGTCTGTATGGGTGCCATGGGAACCTAAAGACATAATATACCAGTACATGTATAATTTCTGTGTCTGTATGGGTGCCATGGGAACCTAAAGACATAATATACCAGTACATGTATAATTTCTGTGTCTGTATGGGTGCCATGGGAACCTAAAGACATAATATACCAGTACATGTATAATTTCTGTGTCTGTATGGGTGCCATGGGAACCTAAAGACATAATAAACCAGCACATGCATATAGTTGTGTGTCTGTATGGGTGCTTTAGAATTCAGAACTTAAAAATTTGTTCATGTTTGATCCAATATCATGTCGAGATTCACGATTGGAAAATACAATGAGAAAATTATTCATAAAGAAGTAAGTCTGTTACTAATCCAGGGATTATTCATAACTTTGAGGCATAGAAGAAATCCATAATTGCATCAGTTAAGTCTAGAGCTGAAGCATTTTAACATATTTTCACAAAACACATTCTTGACCTTTTGAAAATATTTTGAAAAATTGGAGCGTCTTTTATTTAGTGAAATGAGAATTTGGCACAGCTGAACATACCTGCATTTGTGACAATTTCCAAGACATTCCCTTCATTGTATATGTTAACACTGTAGTTGAGCATATCTATAATACAGAATGAATAAAAATAAAATAAAATACAGAAAATATGAATATACATGTAAGTCCTCAATGTTTTCCGCTTAAGGCACTTGATAGTTTTTCAAATGGGTTAGGGCTCCGATGGATTCATATGTTTATCAGTTCTGTTTTACTCTTTACTTATTTGGACAGTTTTCAGTGCAGTTGTTGAGTTCTTATCACATTTTAATGAAATAAATCAGATATGAATCCAAACTGACACTTTATGATATATGATACTTCATAGAATGGCCTTGAACTAAACAATATTGTCATTATGTAAAATTAAATGTCAATTTAAGTTGTAAACTGCTTTTCCGTAATATCATTCAGAGATGGGTTCCATCCATATAGAATCTCTCTTATATGAAATTATCATACACGTATTCCTACAAAGTACTTAACACCATAGTACTAAATTTTAGAATTTCAAAAGTTTTTTTGTAATTTATTTCATGTAGCAAAACAAAGATGGTGAAAATTCACTAAAATAGGTGCTAATCATGTATCTTAAATCACAAAAATGAAGATTTTCACTTGTGACAACATTCACATTTCCCTTAAGCAAACAGTAATATCTGACCAACTAACTTTTCAAGCAAGTGTAGTGTATGTATGCAAGTGTATATGTACCTATCTTGCTAAGTGTTCCATACTCGTGTTCAATGCTGTAAGGTGCCAGAAGTTTACATTGCTCAAGATCACCACTCTCAGATGTGTCTACGCAGGCTCTAAATATACCAATATGATCATCAGATTTAAAATGGTAAATACAATGTTTAATATGATTATGTTATATTTGTCAATGCACTATTGATTTCTTCAATCTAAAGTTCTAATGAATCAAGCTTTTATAAATGTTCTGTATTGATTATCTAATATGTCCCTACCTCCATATATTGTCATCTTGGAAGAGCACACAGTCATAGACAGGTCCAGGGTCATTGTATTTCTTATTAAGCGAATTTAATGCATCAATCTTGGCCTGGAGATCTTCTCTCACTAATTTTTCTTCCTGGAAAATAAGAAACAGTTCTCTTGGCTAGTTTCCTTAAAACATTTTGTACAACTTTGAGATCTAAGTCATATTCAAGTCATATTCAAGTGTATTGTTATACTTCTTCTGTAAAACCACTTTCCCATATAGTTTTTAGATATTCCAGTCATTTCAAGATTAAATCGGTTTACATTTTACATTATATTTTTACGAAAAATGGTAACCATTTTGAATTGAGTGGCCATATTGAAAATTACTTCTCGAGCAGAGGTTCCTACCCCCATAAGGCATAAGCCTATAAAATTTGAATGAAATCCGTCAATGGGTATTTGAGTTATCGCCCGGACAAACGAATGGACAGAAGAATGGACAGACTGACGGACTGCTTTCCTAAATTCCCCCCGTACAAAGTCATTTGGTATGGTAACTATTGGTGAGTGTTTACAATTTTTCTTTATGCTTCTAATCAGGCATCAAAAGGTTATAATATCACTTATACCAGATAATATTGGCAAACACGTAAACATATGTATCATTAAATACATGTATATCAAAAGATCTTAAAATTATATATAAGTAATACAATATCTTCAAAATCATGTTAGCAAAATTAAAGAGTTAAATTAAAACATTAAAGGGGTGATGGCCTATATATCAAACTTTGGTGTGATAATAAAAACCTTTTGAGAGTTATTCAATTGTGATCATTTATAAATGACGTTTAATTTTTAGAAAGTGTCAACTCAACCTGCGCTATGGTAAAAGGCAATATGCGCAACTTCACATTTAACCTGTTAGACCACGTGCCTTGATGGGTCTTCAATGAAAAAACATAAATTATAGTTTATTAGAAATGTTTATTGGACTTATAATAAGCATAAAATAAATTCTTCTCTACTGTGTAGGGTCTATTCCATGCATGACAAACATATATTACATCAAAATGATTATATTGATTTCTGTTGAAAGCATGATGTTCTTTTTGTCCAAGCAGAATCTACATTAATCATAATTCCTGCCATTATAAAACCCCATGAGTATAATCATTGAGAAATAATATGCCCTTGGAATATCAATACTATTTTTATGAAATACATGTATATCTCAAACAATTTGAGATACGTGTGTCAAGACATGAGAAATAATATTTGGGTGTTAAATAATAATTTCAAACTTTGCAGAAGGCATTTATGGATATGATCGTAAAGTGCAGTAATTGGATTAAAAAAATGATTTGCTGACACAGTGTATGTAATGGGAGTAAAAGTCATATTGCGGTATACCTCAATGGATCAAGATGCATTCATAAAAGATTTATTAGCACAATATGGAATTCTCCCTATTCAAGTTGTTTACAACTTGGACGCATTATCCACTATGATTGCTATAACAACTGAATGATATTTACATCCTGGTTTTCTCTTCTCTTTTCTCATTGGGTTAAAAAAGTGAATGACCTTGATAATGCAAGAATTTATTGCGTATTTATATCACAGCATCAATTTTTGTAATTACAGTAAAACCTGCGAACAGGGAATGCTCTTGGGACTGGAGGAAAGTTTCCTTGTTCAGAGGTTTTCCCTATAGAGAGGGGCCGCACTTTCAGCAAACTTAAACTTGCCGAATAAGCATATTTGTAAATATATGGGCATTGATTGATTGTACCAATGCCGACTCCATACTTGGTTGCTAGACCTTGTTGTAACATCTTGCAAGATGTATGAAGGTCTCCCATCTCCCTCCATTGGCTGAGGGAAAGGAGCGTTCTCCCTTTGTTGATTTTAGCTACTGATGCTGGTGTCTGATGATGTCTAGTTGATGTAATTATTGAAATGATGTGTACAGATATGTTGCTAAGAACTGATTTCAAGTTTCATCAACCCCATTTTATATAATTGATAATCTAGAAGTTTGGATCAGTAAAAGATTTGGCTCAACATGACACATGTACTTATCTAGGTGTAATCTTCAGAAAACAATTGTGTCAGTCCCTATGTAGATTATCACAACTGATTTGATGTAATTAATTTATGTTTGTTGAACAGAAAAATTAGTGTCATGATAATAAGTAACAGATTTGTATTAGTTTTAAAATATATCTGGGTAATTAACAGTGGGTGGGATGCTACATCATGTAAGCAATTGGCTTATCTTAATCTCAATCATATTAATCCAAGCTTTTTATATTCAGATATTGGCTTAAGACTTTCACACCTCTGAAAAATAATGGAATATACAGTGTCACCAATATTCCATATTCCTTGTTCACAGGTGAATTTTCATAATTTGCCCCAAAATAGTGTTCCTTGTTCCCTGTTCAAAGGTTTTCCCTACAGAGAGGGTCCGTTAACATGTAAGTCAATGGAAAAATATTTGGTTCTTTTGAAAAGCATTCCTTGTTCATAGGTTTTCCCTACAGAGAGGTATTCCATCGGACAGGTTTTACTGTATAAAGAATAAGATCATCTCGCTGCATAAACTGATGCATGTATGTCGCTAATAGCAACCCGAATAAACAACAAAGAGGGACGAAGAATTGCCTGCTACTCACATTGAACAGTTCAAACATATACGGTAATCCAAGAATCTTAATCAAGGATTGACTATTAGAAACTTAAATTATAATTGAGATAAGAAGATAGACTAAGAAATGAATGCTAATAACATTGAACGCTCCTATCAAATAATCACCAAACTTTTATTGGAGAAATAAAGAAGAATATTATAAACTGGATATCAAATAATATAATAAGGGAAAGGGAAATTTAAACATAAAAAGAGGATAATCTGCTACATGCTTTATAGAGAGTTAAATATATTTAAGAGACGCTTGTATTATTTGAAGTTGTAAACGGAATGTTATAAAAACCCTTCGACCTTCGACCTGCACCTTCGACCTTCACCTTCGACTTACAGGGTGTCCAAAAAGAAAATATTATAGAAGCTATTTTTGCCGATCTCAGACCACGCAAGAGTCACTTGATTTGTGGTTCACAGGTGAGATCATTAAGATCTTAAATTGTAGCAACGTTTGCAGTACTCTAGGTTTAGTTACAGGGGTGAAATAGCGTTTTCATGTTATCAAATTAAGATTCTGTTGATGTTGATCGGTTTTGATTCGATTGAATCGAAGTAAAATTAGAGTAAGTAGCGATCAATTACTGTTCTATTTATTGAGTTCAAATCATAGTCTTGTTGTGTGATCAATATTAAAACGGGATATGGTGTCAATAACTTGTTATTTAACTTTGAAATCTTGTCCGAAAAGTGATGACGTCACCAGGCCTATAAAGTATTTCGCCGATGTAAACTCAAGAGATGACAGCTAGCTTTCGACGAGGACAGAGCTTCGTTCAATTTCATAATCTATGTGAAGTTGGACTTAATCGTTTTTCAAAGAAATATTTTTGGACTTTGACAATTTTCATAAGAAAAGTCAAAGGTGCAGGTCGAAGGGTTTTTATAACTTTCTTTTTGGCCCGCTTATTAGGCACCCTGTAGGTCAAAGCTGAAGGTCGAAGGTGCAGGTCGAAGGTCGAAGGGTTTTTATAACATTCCGTTGTAAACCTGCTTAAACCACCACTAAAACATTTAAGGACTTACTGAAATAATGGGAGAAGTGTGCGAGAATGTCTTAATGAGACTTGGTGCCTTTGTGATAACCAGTATAGAATTAGCAGTTGTTTGGTTGGGTTATTCTTTGAGGAGTTTTCTGAGATATGAAAAAAACACAGTGAAGGTTCTTGCTCCATTTTCATATTGTGATCAAATTGATCTTGAAAAATGGATTGTTGATTCTGACACGACAATAGCCTGTTTCTTGATGCTGCCTATTTTAGCATGTTTAGGCACATTGATTGCGTCTATTTGCACTTGCAAAGAAAAACACAATGAGTGGCTCTTATTGGGCTTGGCATTCCTCCTATGGTATCCCTTCTTCATATACATGTACATTGCAATAATGCACTATTTTATTATGATTTGCACTGATATCAGATATTATTTTAATGGTATGTTATACATATTCTTGATATCAGCAGTCTCTACATGTACAATAAAAATACTTATTATATCAGTGTGTGTGGTAACAAGCATCAGGGATATTAAGAAATGTAAATGTTCAAGCTGCACTGCATTGTTTGTGTACTTTGCATGGCTTGTGGCCTATATCCTAACTGTTGTCTTTTTTGCCCTGTCTTTGGCTATGCCACTGAATGAACCGACAAAACTACTGGAGAATTGGAACAAAACTGAGCTTTACTTTGTAAAGAAAGGAGCATTTAATGACCAGACTGAGTACAAAGTGGCTAATAACATTTCCATGGATGCAGACTGGTACGACAGTGCTTATATTGTCAACAGCAGTCAAGTGCTTTATATTTCTGCTTTGGAGAAATTCAATGACAAAAATAAAACACACTATATTGTATGCGGTGGAGTGATAAAGTTAATGCCCAAACACTTCGATGACAAACTGGATTATCATATTATCACTCTTTTTCTTCAAATAATAAAAAGAAAGAATCAACATTATTTCATAAAACCCATAATACAATACAACATCCAGATTGCATCAACAACTAGAAAAACAGCAACTGGAAAAGAACCAATATTTAGATACCGAAATATGTCAGATATGGGCTATGAGTTGCATCTTTTAGTGCATGAGAGGAATTCTACCTTGGGCAAAAACAAAGATGGCATTATTCTCTACAGGCCGCCATCTGACCAGTTCAGATTGTTAAATCGTAACTTCACTAGCTGTGACAAAATTAATGCGGACAATTTAGATCAGCTTGACTTTTCTCTAAGTGATGATATTTGGTAAGCATTAAAAATATGGATTGGATCAAGTCACACTGGGAAAAACCTTTACAATGGTAAAGTCAGATACTGTTGTCACAAATGGCGGACATAACCGTCGCTTCAATTAGATTTTCATGAACTGTATGTTTAATAGAGCACCTAGACTAAATTCCTTTGGAACAACAATCAATCAAAGTGTCTTTATACTCATTGTACAGTTAATAATGTTCTACCATCGAAATAAAGTCTTTAATTTAACCGATCAAAATGAGACAATAGACAATATACGAGGGGTGATCAATAAGTAATGGACACTTTTTTACATAGATGCTTTTTATAGACCAATCTCTTTCATTTTATCGCAAGTGATATATCATTCAATTTTCTATCAACTCTGAAGATTTGGAGACAAAGCATGAAATATATTTTGATATATCTTTATTTCTGTGAAGGAGGTACAGGTACCCCGGGACCGACGTAATGTCACACATTCTGAAGCTAATTAAGCTCATTTAACATGCAATGCAGTTTAATGCAAGTTGAACAAAACGAACCATGATGGTTATGAATTACACAATTTCGATACGCCATAATTGATTTTGAATATTTTGTCATCACTTTGTGGCATTCATGCCACCTTCATTTTACAGGGCCCTTTACATAGGTTCCATTAAGTGCTACACACTCCTCATTATCCTCTTAACCCAAGATTGAAAGACAAGGCCGAATCCATTCTCTGACATGGTAGCAAGCTGCAGTTACACAGCTGGTTCTATTTCACCAATATCATTAAACCTGCATCCTTTCTCAACAGAAATAAGTAGTATAGAAATAAATAAGTCATGTATGACCAGATATGGACTAAAGGCTGCATGGGCCAAGGACTTCATGTTCAGGTCCAGTGATATTGTATCCTGCATAGTTTGAGATATTTGGGCAGGGGCATTTGATCGAAATTGGGATTTCATATGATATATCATCACTTGAGCTTAACACATGCACAGAATTAGCGAAGATAAAATCCAATGAAATGAGGACAAAGTGATTGAAGAGTTGAAGCAACGGTTATGTCCGCCATTTGTGACAACGGTATCTGACTTTACTGTTGTTAGGCTATTCCGGTGTGAAGTGTAATGGTTTCATGTAAAATGTGGATTGGATCAGGAATACATAAAACATGAAATTTTCTGAAAGTTCATGAAAATTTTACCATTGATCTTATACTAAAATGTTGAAATACCAATTCTGACAGAATATAAATTATTCTTTCTAACAAACAAAACCAAGCTTGGGCCGGTAGCCAGCTTTTACTAGGGAGGGGGGGGGTAACCGCTCCCTCTGTTCCTGGCTACGGGCCTGAAGATTATGTTAGATTTTGAAACTTATGGCTCTCCAACGGAGAAATGGACAGCTGAATAATAGTGACCTTTGAAACACGAATTAAGTTGATCTGGGGCTTACTTTTGTTTTCTAACTATTTCATACATCATTATCATCCTTCCGTGCAAGTATTGGAGCGCTGAAATACTTCCTTTTCGATCAAGACTTGTAATTGTTAGTCGAGTGAATGTTTTTTCTGCCAAATTTTAATATGGCGTTTTCTGCTCAGACATTTTCGTAAATCTCCGGAGGTTGTCCGAACCTAACCCATTCTCAAAAATCATTTCGTTCATTGCATATCTCGCTCCTAGCAAACCGCCATATTGAAAACGGGTCGAAAAAACATTCACTCAATGAACAATTTACATGTCTTGATTGAAAAAGAAGTATTTCAGCGCTCCAATACTTGCACGGATTGATTATACTGATGTAAGACACAGTTAGAGACCAAAAGTGAGCCACGGATCTCATCATTCATGTTTTAAAGGTCACTATTATTCAGCTGTCCAAGTGTGCCATGGGAAAGTTTACTGTACGAGGGGTAATCCAAATTCCAAGTCTTGGACGCCCTGCTCTAATTTTGTTGGTTTTTGATAAAATTACTTTAAACTTTCCAATAATAAAGACCAACAACCTAACTACTTTGTGTATTAATTTCATGCTGAAATAATATATTTTATGTAGTTTTCTAGATAGTTATTAATAGAGTGACCCTGCCACCCGGAACGGTATTTGCACATGGCAACTTTCAGCCTTAAATGTTGCCTCTATTTGACTTTTTTTCAAGTCTTGACCATTATCTTTCCTTAAATTTGGAATCGTTAAACCATGTTAGTTTACTTCCTTTGTTACTAGGCAACCAATTAATTGTGTTTTAATCATAATGTCACATATGGCGATGGCCGTATATGTCAAGTTCTAAGAAAATGACATCAGACAATCAACCCTCATTCTGGTGTCATTTTTGCTCCAAGATGGCTGCTGAAATGCAGAACATGAAAGAAATCAAAGTGGAACAAAGAATAATACTATATATTTTCACTATTATTGACATTGAGCAGCTACCATATGCACAATATAGTCTAGATATGGCTCCGTGTGATTTTCTTCCTTTTCTCCAAGTTGAAAGGAGCCGTTGAAAGAAAATGTTTTTTTACTCATTGGATGAGATTTAGAGTGGCACTTCAGCAGCATTTGTATCATATAGGCAATGGCCATTTCATAAATGTCTTTTATTCATTGGTAAAGCGGTATGAAAAATGTGTTCAAATTCATGGAAAATATGTTGAAAAGTAGGTCTTAATATGTGAAGATGATGATGGCAGATGACACTCAGACTGAAAATCGGAAATTTTCTCATATCATGACTGGTGTTAGGTGGTGCACCTGCACCTAAAGTATTTGCCATATTGTAACAGTTGTGACGTGATTTGATATATTTAAATACCGTTCCAGGTGGCAGGGACCCGATATCAAAAAATATTTAGAAAAGTAGCTAAAATTTCTGTTGAAACTTATACACAAAGTTGTTAAGATGTTGATCTTTATTATCTGAAAGTTTCATGTAATTATATTAGAAAATAGCAAAGTTAGAGCGGGGCGTCCAAGACTTTTGGATCACCTCTCGTATATCAAAATCCATATAGCTTTCGCAGGAAGTAAGTTCAGATTAGATAAGACAGGTTAATATTTCAAAATTGTATTATGAATTGTTTCTGACAGTCTTCATGTGGTAGCATCAATGTTCAATTATTATGATATAATTAATCAACATGCAATTAAATCTTTTTCCAAAAGAGGTTTTTTATATAATCTCATTGAAGTCTTGTTTTAATAAGATTTCCCAGGGTTCTCGCTCGGCTTTTAGACTCTGGCTCTCTGCCATCTCCCGGGTCCCTCACTTTTTTATATTGAACTCTCTGATTGACCTTTTTGTTTACACACAGTATTCAGAATTTGCAGGTCTAATCTGGGATGTAAAAAGAAGAAAGCAGGGAGGTCATGGTGACCTTTAAGATATAGAATTTAATACAATCATGCAAAAGTCTGCAGTTGGGAGCCAAGCCAATCATACAATTGTGATCCCACAAAAAGCTGGGGTCTCAAAATTTTCTGGTGAGAACCCTGTTTGCATAAAATAATTCTATAAAACCTGAAATATGTTGTTCATTTGGTTAAACTGTCTATAGGGATGTAATAATTATATCATACATATATATGAAGCTTTCATATTAAAACTTGTATATAATGAGAGGAAATAAATCTAAAACAGAATTAAAAATTAAATTAATTATTTTTGAGTTGATTTTTATTTGTTTCCATTCCAAAGGTGCAACTCCAATTCTATTCTTAACTAATGCCCTCTCCTGGTACTGTAAGGATTTAAATTAAATTTTGCAATCAACATTATGTATGTGGCATTGTTGAAAAGGCAAAGCAGGTCTACATATTCACCTGACATCTATCAATGTAAGAAAAAATAAATTTGGATTTAAGTTGAATTTTGTCCTTACTGAGTGGGGAATAACTCTCAAAAATGTCCCATAAGAGCTAAATATTGGGGAAAAAACAAAGTTCAAATCATCCCCTTCTCCCCACATTAAAATACTTGTTGCAATGATTGAAGGACCAAGTAGTGTACAAAATTCACAAAATGATGATGTCTCAATGAACAAGGCACAGACGTGAACAATATCGTACCTAAAACACAGCATTGTGGTCTTGTTGACCAAGAAAGCAAGATGGCTGCAGAAAAGTTAATCAGCTCTAGAACTTATCACTGTGTAACATATGTAAAAAATTTGAACGGTTTGGCTGGAAACCTGTAGACAAGCCTCGATAGGCAAGATTTTAGGACGGAAAAAATCTAAAATGGCAGCCTTAACATTTACCCAGAATGCCCAAAAACTACTCAGTTCTTGACGTTGATATCTAGAAACATCCCTGAAATTTTCAGATGAATCCCTCAAATGGTTTGGCTGAAAACCTGTAGACAAGTCTTGAAAGTGAAGATTTTAGGACGGAAAATCCAAAATGGCCACCTTAAAATTTACCCAGAATGCCCAAAAACTAATCAGTTCTTGACGTTGATATGTAGAAACATCCCTGAAAATTTCAGATGAATCCCTCAAATGGTTTGGCTGGAAACCTGTAGACAAGTCTTGAAAGTGAAGATTTTAGGACGGAAAATCCAAAATGGCCACCTTAAGATTTACCCAGAATGCCCAAAAACTAATCAGTTCTTGACGTTGATATGTAGAAACATCCCTGAAAATTTCAGATGAATCCCTGAAATGATTTGGCTGGAAACCTGTAGACAAGCTGAAAAGTGAGACGCCGCCCGCCCGCCCGTCAAGCTGACTACAATATCGCACCTCTTGTTAGGTACGATAGAAAGAATGAATACTTAACATTTTGAGTTTTTAAAATTAAAGTATTCAAAATTAACCTGCCATATTTTTAATATTTTCACAAAACTGTCATAAGATTTGGTCAATAAAATATTTCACAACCAACAAGGTTAATTCAGTTCATAAATCAGTGTTTTTTTAGCAGAGGTCAAATGTCTCTAAGGTATCAATATAACCAAATCCATTGACGGTATTTGAGTTATCAGCGATTTTCATCTATTATGAAAAAAATTGGGCATTTTAAATTAAGCAGACATATTGGATATTCCTTCTTGGAAAATTGAACAGACAGAAGAGCATATGTTTGTTATATTCCTTACTCATGCTTCATTCGTTGGGATAATCAGGTTATGAATTTGAATTTGCATAGTCCTGGAATAAGAAAATGCAGCTGAGGTATCAGACAAATGTGTAAAAGCATACAGATTTTGTAATTTTCATTTTTTAAATAAAATGGCAGCCTCAAGGATCTGGAACAAGGCATTAACATGCAAAATGTTACCACCTACCATTTGTTACAGATGCCATGTCACTTGTTACAATTTGTTACATACACCGACCATTGAAGTCCTAACACCAACCAGCGTCTTCAAAAATTGGAAGCTATAACAATATGTCGCAACTTGTGGCAGTGACATAAAAAGCCAACACCAAGGATGAAGTTGGTGAAAATGAAAGACCCTAAATTGAAGGAATTAAGACAAACCTGATTGGGATTTGGATATTTCACATCAAACTTTTCCAGCTCAATTGTTGCAGTTGTAAGTGCTGCCCTCTGGTGTGGGTCCCAGAGTTTTTCCCGGCGTTCCTTGAAAACACGATCTTTGAGACCCCTTGGATACAAGTCAACAGCATTTTTCAATCCTATATGAAACTTCCCAGATGGATTAGTCCAGGATTCTGGTATCTGAAATTAATAAAATCATGTCAAGTACTCTGTTTTAAAGCTTGGTTATTATGGTGATGAGGCTAAGATATGTAATGATGTCTTGATTACAAATTAAACTCTTGATCAAGATATAACGTATCATATTTCATTTTGCATAACCACATTTCTATTGCCTGTAATCATACGTCATACCATTCAATTAAAAATGTCTTGCTTAGTTATATCTTCTCAATTTTACAAAACATATGTTATTCCTTGAGGCTCATTCCTCTTTGTAGAATAAGTGGACACTTGCCTTCAAAGTCCGTCCACTGAGTCCTGTTATGGTGCCATCTTTTGCTTCAACAATGGTTGAGGTATCCACATCTCCTGACCCAGTGCAGTCTATTATGTCAATAATCTTTGGACGACCGTCTGATGTCACCTACCCAATATAAAATGAATTATGAACAGCTATTGTAGGTGCATAATATATGAGCTAAAATTGATGTAACAGTTCATAACTGTCAAGACAAAGAATTGCCACCATTTTTCCAAATGGCATTGTTGTTTTATTTAATTTTAGTAAGCATTTAAAAATTGAATGATAAGCTGTATGTTGTTATCAAATCTGTCAATAAATTCAAGTGCAATTCAAGTGCATCCTTGCTTCTATATACTGTGGACACAACTACTTTTTTGTACGTGGGTAAATTAAGATCTATTGTGTCTTAGATTCATTAGACCTGTTAACCTCAGACAAACTTCTTATGTGACGTTCATTGAAGCCCGGGGGGGGGGGCTCATTGTATATAAATCTTGACGGGGATCCTCGGCGCAGATTGGGTACATTTTTTTACATTTGGTATGGCAATGGTTTGTATTTTACATTTTGTGATGCTGTAATTGTACTTTACAACTTTGTATATTTCCTATGAAGTAGTTAGTTTAGTCTTAGTTTAATTTTGTATATTGTAGTTTGTAGTGACTAATATGTCATTGCAATGACATCAGAGAGTCAATAAAAGATATATATATGAAAATACCCACAAATTATGACTTTTGAGGTATGGTAATGGTCCACTTTCTGATCTGCGAATGTTCAATAACAATATGTTGCCTCCCAAGACGTTTCTTCTTGGGTATGGCATTATTCTTATATCTGGACATTTGGTATTACATTGGTCTTATATTCAGATTTTTAAAAAGGGCATGAAGAGCCAGAGCATTTAACCATTATATCCAAAAACTCTTGATAGCAACATGTGTTCCAATATGATGAATAAAAGTAGCCTCAAATAAAAATGTAAATGAATGAGGAGGAACCACATTCTAAATGAGATAGTCTTGACCCAAGTCCTTCTGTACCCATTGACGAATACATTCTGAACAAGATAGTTTAGATAGCCATTATTCACTCTACTAACATAAACACATTCTGTAAAAAGGTAGTCTTGACACAAGTCCATGTGTACCCCATTCACAAACGCTGAACAGTCTCACATCAAGCCCACTCACAAACAACATAGTCTCACATCGAACCCTTACTCACAAACACTTTATACATTTAGGCCCTTGTGTATGAGAGCAAACCGAGTGGCAAATATTCATTAAAATGAAAATATGAGTGAAGCCTTGCAGTCTTAGGGGAGCTAGGCCAATACACAATTATGATTGATATTTCCACAAAACAATTAATTTCGCAAACCATATTAAACAATCAAAGAGCGAGCTACTAAAGGAATGTCTTGAAATTAATGTTAAAAGATCCCTTCCATGGTTCACAAGAATCAAAACTGTAGTAAATGATTTAGACGATCAGCTCGACGTGGGAGTATACATTGATAGATCAAACGATGAATGTTTTGATGTGAATCGACTTTCTCTCTCCCTAAAATCGATATGGGAATCATATTGGTCAGAAACACTTAATAAGGACTTGAGAGATCCAACTATTTCTAACAAATTGTCAACCTATAGAAAATTTAAAAAGTTATTTAGTTTTGAAAACTACCTGTTGGATGTTAAATGTTCACAGGCAAGAAAAGCACAAGCTCGCTTTAGAATTTCAAACCACAAGTTATTGATCGAAAAAGGAAGATACACCAGACCAATTATTCCTCGAGCAAAAAGGCTATGTGAAACATGTGGTTTAGTGGAAGATAAAATACATTTTGTTTCAAAATGCCACAAAAACATTTACCAGAGAGAGTTCTTAAAATTTATGCTGGAAAAGACGGCACCCAAATGCTCAAAACTTGATAATTTTAATTTTTTCCTTTATAGTATGACTTGACAAAATCCTGACAGAATCATGGAATATCTCATCAAGGAGCCCAGCCAGTTCCATTTTAATTCATGATTTAATAAATTTATAACACGATGGCCAGGGCTTTTCAAATGGGTCACGGTGTTCCAGATGAAATTACTTCTAGCCAAGAATTGGCTAGAGACTCGAGTAACTTGGGGCAATTGTGTGACCTCTACAGTTATCGAATTCTACGACCACTTTAGATTGTGGTCGTACGTGCGTATAATTGGGCAGTCAATGTTTTTACAAAGTTGGAGAAAATACTACGCATTGCACACCTAAATGACCTACCTCGATACATTCCTTAGTATTTTAGAATTCTTTTTATGTAGTTGAATCGCCAATTGTAATGGGTTTATCGGCAGAACGAAGAGGTTTACGTTTTTGATAGCAATATTTGCGTGTAATATTTAACTTATTCAGCGTTTTATTTAATGTTACCAAAAAGTGGGTCCTATGGACCCCACGTTAAAAAAAAATGGAGTCCAAACCCAAAAAAGTGGGTCCGAAAAATTAAAGGCCTGAAACTAATTAAAAATGAAATTTTGTTTTCCTAATTACTTTGTTTTTTAATGTTGACCCTTGTTCCTCCTCACTCTGATGTAAATTAATAAACTCAATATTCCTTTCTGATACATTTTCAATCTCAATGAAATATAAAGATCAACATTCAAAAGTCTAGTTTGATATGTATTTTTGACTTGTAATATTTTTTTTTTTTCAAATGTTGCCCTTTGTGCATCCTCACTATCATGTAAGATAATGCCATAAAGATCAATTGTATTAATTAAACAGCTTGTTATCAAGTTTATGTGTAATTGTTAATAATAGTATCCTTGAAAGTTGGCAGGACAGTGATAAAGGTTTTTTGCTACTGACCCATTAATCTCAAAGCAATGAAGTTTTGGTTTTAGAGGTCAATCAAAATGGCGGCCGAATTACGGTAAGATAATTATCTCAGTGTTTCTCTAAAACACTGCTGATTATCTGGCTATTATACTTAGATTTTGTCTTCACAAGGTAGGCCAATTTATATTCTTTCATTTGATATGTTTAACTAAATTGAAGGCCGGAGATTTTCGTCTGAAAGCCGGAGAATTCACTGTTTGAGTGTTCTAAGAGGTAAGATTTTTGGAAATTGCTGTTGAAATAAAGTGTGTCCAAGGGACTCGGGATTTTTTATTTTTCCGTCCAACATTATTTTTTGGGGTCCATCTAATGTAAGGACGGCGTTAAATAAAACGTAGTTATTTCAACCGTCAAATTCCTCCATTCAGTTCCCGGCATGCACCAGTCATAAGGGAAATCCCTGGGGAATTCCCCTTCCGACATTTTGAAAATTGCTGATATATTTCCGATGTAAAAACTAAAATCTCTTCGTTCTGCCGATAAACCCATACAATTGGCGATCTAACAACATAAAAAGAATTCTAAAACACTAAGGAATGTATCGAGGTAGGTCATTTAGGTGTGCAATGCGTAGTATTTTCTCCGACTTTGTAAAAACATTGACTGACCAATTATACGCGCCTACGACCACAATCTAAAGGGGTCGTAGGATGCGATAACTCTACAGGTCTTACTTAGTTTACACAAAGTTATCTCCTGAGAAACTCGATATTCCCAGCCCATGTTAAAGGTCTTTTACAGAAATATTAGAAATTGTGGGAACACTTACACAAGTTACTCGAGTGTATTACTATATTTTGCACATAACCATCTTTAGATAGATGGCTATGTGCAAAATATAGTAATACAGGTCTACCAAACAGCCATCATAATAGACGGTGAACACCGCCTCTAATGCGTTGGATTGTCGTAAGGACTTGCATTAGAGGCAGTGTTTATCCTTGTAAATTCATGCCAATCTAAGTTTTTCTTGATTATTTTTGACGGTTCACTTTATCTTCTGCTTAGAATCTCTGCGTCATTTACAGAGAAATATAAACAAAATGGATACATTGATGATTTATACAAAAAATTACCATAGCTTTGTGGTTGTAGAAGGTTGAATTGTGCTAATTTTGTAGCAAAATCGCCGTTTGTCGCTACTGTTCACAAAATCTTTATGGCGGCTTTTATTCTCACGAGATTTGACGAGAGTAGCCATTGAATATTGCTGCCATCTATTTAACTATACAGAGTTTATATCATTCATTCGACCATCATGTATTCGATGGAAGAAATCAATGATCTCTATTCGCATAACATAAAACAAAAGTTTGGATTTGATTTGAAGCCAGAACAGTTACAAGACGTGATAACAAACATATTGAATCAAGAATCCACTGGTTTATTGGAAAGGGACATTACAACACGTGATCATCAAATTACGTCACGTCACGTGATCATCACACTGATTTATGCAACGCATGCGCACTTGTTATTAGGTCAGCGAAAATGTCAAGAAGACCGGTCAGAAATGCAATTTCGTCTTATCTGCAACGATTACACATAATTACTGTAATAAAGCGAGGCATTTATGGGTTCATTTTGAAGATTTTTGGTCCCGCTATCCAGTGGTGAAAGAATTTTCAAGATTGAGGTAAGATCTTGGGAGAAAAGTCAAAAACATCAGATCCGGACTTTTCAGCATTTCTTAAATTTGATAAATTTACATTGCACGTTATGCACCCCTGGGGCCAACACGATCCTCAAAGACCCAGAGGGTGAATGAATGCACCTACCATCATAATTGATTGAAATAAAGAGGTCTGTATCTAGAGTTCAAAATGAATGACATTTTAATCTGTTTGGCTCAGGTTGATTTATTTAACAAATGCCTGATTCACTTTATGATTCAGAATACATCATCATGAGAAAAAATGACTGATCTCAGATCTGAACTCAAAAAATAAAAAATGCATATGTTTACAAGCTGTTTACCTGCAATCCGGGGGCTCCAGGGTCAACCCCGGTGTCCATAATTGCGACAAGTGTTCCCCTCCCATCGTACTCGGGGTATTTACTCAGGAAACTCCATGCATTCGTTTCTTTCTTCGGTAAAAGTCCAAATATTGGAAATTCAGAATCGAATGCCATGTTTACTTTCAAAACGAGGCTTGTGGCGGTCAAAGTCTGGTGATGTAAAACTAAATACCTCATTCATACAGTAGTAGAAGTCTGAAAATAGAACATGAAAGAAAAGATAATAGAAAAGAAATATGTTTACATTAGTTTTTATGAACGTATTCACTAATTTTGCTTAAAAGTCTAAAAGTTTTTGGCGACGTTTCCCCTTATTCACTACAGCAACATGACAACATCCGGTTTGCAGGTGCTCTGAATAAATTCTGAAAATGTTCTGAATTACAGTTTATAAAAGGGTTACAAGATGTCGACAGTGGTGCTTAGGAAGACAAAAGATCCTTTAGAATTATTAGAGAGAGCTCTAAACAAAACTACACTCACTACTCAGAGGGCTCGACATGGTCATATCATTGGTGAGTTTTTTATTTAGACTCTAGCCTAGCCTAGAAAGAATGAAATAAAAATTTTCAAATTTGACTAAACTTGAAATTTCAACGTTGACACACGTCACTGATTTTTTAGGACCAGGTGAACTCTGTCAGAAATCTAGAGGCTTTACCAAATCCCTTGACTACTTTTTACATGTCAAATGCCTTTACTTTTCAAAAACTGATAGATCTAGCTTACTTCGGTCCAAAGCCTTCTCTATATTCCGGCTTTGAGGAGGAAGATTGAGCTGCCTTAGTATTATAAATATTGTAAATCATTGTGTCAAACGCACAGTAAATATGGCATAATAATATGAAATATACCTTTATGTATAGATTTGAAGAACATCAGCTCACATCCCCGTCTGAATCTATTGTTATATTTGATTTCTTTAAGCGAGAATAATTTCAAATGTTATTCACGTCCAGAACCGGAAGCCATTTTTAGCTACAGCGAGAAAATTTCACCATTTGTCAAACTCCGAAATGAAATTTTGAAATATCTAAATCCAGACAAGCAACGCTTCATCCTAAATATTATTAATATTCTTAAAAATATTTATAAAATTTATTAAAAATGAGTTCTAGGTGCGTGTAGGTGCGTGTAGCACATTACATACGAAATCAATGAAGTTTCGTCTAGCTGTAAGCTAGAGACTCGAGTAAGATCTAGCTGTTCACTGACTTTACTTTTTAGGCAACCCATAGCAAGACTATTCTCCGTCTGCAGGTCAGACTGAATCTCTGCAAATTCAGACTAAATGAGATTCCGTTGGATACATAGTACGTACGCCCATAGTCAGGAAGGGCAAAATTATGCAGTTTTCACCATACTGAACACTTTTCAAGTGATTTTAGTCATTTAGCCAAATTTGTCAAAAGTGAACCCCTTGAAATTTTTTAAAATGTGAACATAGAGACTAGATATAGTCTACTTAAAAATGTATATATTCTAGATATTGGCAATGATGTTGAGAAACATGTGACAGACACACAACAGTCTCGTTTACAATGTGCTGTCAACTTAGCTGTACAAGAAGCAGAAGAAAGGGCTGCAAGGGAAATGCATGCAGCTTTACGCAGAATGAGACATAACATGAATGATGAAAAGAGGCGAGCATTGGATAAGCAAAAGCATGTATGTACTTGATACAGTAAAACCTGTGTTAGTGAACACATCTCTCTAGTGAACACCTTTCAACAGTGAACATTTCTTTCGGCAAAAACTTTTTCCCCTATTGACTCCCATGTTAAAGTACAATCCTATAGTGAACACCTACCTACTGTGAACAGTGAACATTAAATCTTGGCAAATTTAATTGAATTATCCTGTCTCTAGTGAACATTGAATCTGATGCATAAGATTTCTTGCTGATTTTCTGCAACTGCCTTATCAGAGTTAAGCAGTTAATGTTTATATTACCTGTAAAAAATAATTATTAAAAGGTCAATTTGAGATTTTGATCTCTTGTATCAGGTGTGACTAATTATAATTCTTAGTAAGCTTTGTTTTTGTAAGGCAGGATATGTGTTTAGCAGTGTCTAGAAGCATTGATTGCTTTAATTGGAGATAATCTGGTTAACTATTATTACCTCTATCTCTATCTGCTAAGTCCCAACTAAATCTTTTTCTCATCTCCATCATTTTAAAAACCAGATAAGGTTAAAATTATAAGATCATTCTTAACTGACTCCATCTTGTAGTTTAATTAATTCAATCAAGTCCTTTAATTGACTCAAATGTGTTAAGAATTCCACTATTTAAAGAATTATGAAGAGATTAAAATTTGACAATAAAAGGATGAACCATTCAGGCAGTCTAAAATAAGTAAGTTTGTATAACACAACAAAAAAACAAAAATTTGTTGCAAGTGTCATGGGTTATCATAGGTATAAAATACAAATTAAATCAGTTATTCCCTCCTCTATTATTTAGGCTCGTTTAATAACTGGTCTCTTAAATATAACATGGCAAAATGCTGCGAAATCAAATCCTTGCTGTAGTGAACACCTACCAATAGTGAACATTTTTCTTCGGCAAAAAAATGTTCACTATACAGGGTGTCAAATAAGTCCCGTCCCCCCCTCTACAGCCAAAACCAAGATATATGGTACCAAGTGTGATACATCATTGGAAAGGTCTTCGAAAGTTACGTTGATTAGCATATATTATACACATGTCAATCAATCTCACAAATTGTTACATTGTATCAATTGAGGTGACCATAGGCCCAGAAACATGCCAATTTGGTGTGTTTTGCGTGATTTTAAGAATCGGTATAAGAAAAGTTAAAGGACCTGAAGATAACTACATATGTATTAAATGGCAATGAATTTAACCAATCTCTGGGTTGGGTTGGATGTGTAGAAAATAGAGGTTCAAGGAAAGTGGTGAAAACCATTTTGTAACAAGTAGAATGCGAAAAAGGTTAACTTTTTGACGTATTTCTGAGGTCATATCCTTTTAATTTTGATGCAAAAAGCTGCTTAAACGAGGGTACGCTAAATATAAAGGACATCATGAAAATATAGGTAAATTTCATCCAAAATACTTGAGAGTTGATGAGTTAACATAACTTTGGATGATCTTTCCAATGGTATATCACACTAGGTACCATCTATTAAGGTTTTAGCTGTAGCAGGGGGGACAGGACTTATTTGACACCCTGTATACAGGTTTTACTGTATTTTAACATTAATCAATACTTTTTGTTTGCATGATGCTTAACTTCTCTTGTTACTGTATTTTTTGTATTTGACTTAAACTTGTTAAGGACTTACATGAAAACAGAAACTTGAATCCCCAGATACCGTATAAAATAAGACACATGCTCTTTGCTTTACAGTATTATGAGACAATGGCTGATAGACTGGCAAAACAAAGGGATGCTTTAGAAGAAGAAAAACTTAAAGAAAGAACCAAACTACTCCAGCATGACAAAGAAATGTCAATGAGGAAACAATGGGAGGAATGTCAGAGAATCAAACAGTTAGCAGTTACAGAAGCATGTGAAAATTTGTCTCGCAAAATGCGTAATGAATTTGCATTTGAAAAAGAGACAGCAATAGCAGAAGCATTAGGCCAAGCCAGGGTAAGTATTCACACATTAAAATTATACATTTAAATACACCTGAACTAGTCAGCTACTGGTATCTGGCTATAATATACACATGTAGTAAATTAGAACAATTGCATGCTAGATATATACTGCATCTTATAGAAAACCATGCATGGTAAGGGTAATTATGCATTTAAATGTATCACAAGAAGTAATAATGTATGTTAAGGAATACCATGCATCTTCAGTGTAACCATTTCATAGTTTCCTTCCATCTTCATCTATCTATTTTGATATCTTAAAAAGAACACTGCATGCACATGTTGTTTGACACTGCATGACACATTTTTACTTCAAACTTAAGTTTGCTGAGGCCAGAAGCATGTATTCAAAACATTAACATGGGTGTATTTAAAGATAGTTTGAGCACAGGCCCGTAGCCAGGATTTGCCAAGGGGGGGTTCAATTTTCAAAAATTTCCAGGGGGGGTTCACATTTGACAATTTTGGCCCAAATTAGGCTAAAATCACTAGAGAAGAGCTCAAAATGGTCAAAAACTGCATGATTTTGAAAGAATTTTTGGCCAGGGGGGGGGGTTCGCCCGAACCCTGCTAACCCCCCCTGGCTACGGGCCTGGAGCATGTTATCATAAATAGGCGAGGATGGGGCCAAGGCCACACATTTGACTTGTATTCACTTAGGGGTCAGCTCAATACAACAATGATCATCTTGCTCATAATTTTCTGCAATGTTCTGCTATTGCTATCTCTTTTTATATACTAATTAATGAAAACACAGAAATAAATCCTGTGCTAAGGGCTGATGTGAAAAAGTCAGTGGGGATCAAACCCACTTGGATGGACTGACTTTTTCATATCAGCCCTTAGAAATAGATTTCATGGGACATATTCAAATTCAAATTTTAATTTAATTCTAAAGTATCTATAGAATTCATCTCATTTTGATGGACAACATTGTAGAAAGTAAATTGATTGATTCTTATCATGTATTGTCAAACATTATTTGCAATATAGGATAAAGCTCATGTTGAATATTTGTACACATGTTCTCCTATCCAAACATGTTGACATTATTTGATGCACATTGAGGATTTGAGCTCACTCCTTACATTTTCTATGAGAACTATTCCTTTTAAATTCTTAATTTATCTAACAATATCACACAATTAAGGATGGCAAAGTAAGTAGAGAATTTGAATTATAAAACATTTAATATTTTTATGTATGTACTACATGTATTTCAGTTGGTCTATGAGAGACTTGTTATGGTGGCTAATGGTCCTATATGCAGATCTACATGTTACACTCTTAAACTTTGATGAAGCAACGAGTTTGCTAGCATTTTTATACACATTTAAAGTGTTTTTATTTCTTATATCATATCCAATTAGGGTGTCCAAAAACTGTCCATTGTAATTCATTTGCACTAAGCATTATTGTCATTTCATCAAGGAAATAAAAAATAGACACCCTATGCAGACAGAGCCTGTGGGAAATATTGGGTGCGGAGCAAATGAGCGGAGGGTGCGGAGCTAACGGTTATTTTTGAATTTAAATTTGGGATATTTCTGAAACTAAACCGTTTTGGGACTTCAAATATACCAAGATATGTGTATTTGACACCAAATATCAATACAATTGTGAAAATAGTAGCGCAATTCATTCTATAGCGACGCAGTGTGCCTTAAACCTTTCCCAGACCTATATATTTTGAAATTATCCTTTTAATACTGAGTCCCCAGCATTCATAAAAAATGGTGTTCAAGGTGCACTATCTATACAAATTATTTTTGCATCTTGGAAGCCAGGCAGTATCTGTGTGATTTTATAAAAATTCGGAAATTTTTTCAGATATGAGCCCCCTCTAAATATTGGGTGCGGAGCAGCTCCATAAACGTAGCTCCGCACCCAATATTTAGAGGGGGCTCATATCTGAAGAACATTTCCGAATTTTTATAAAATCACACAGATACTGCCTGGCTTCCAAGATGCAAAAATAATTTGCATGGGTAGTGTATCTTGAACACCATTTTTTATGAATGCTGGGGACGCAGTATTAAAATGATAGTCTCAAAATATATAGGTCTGGGAAATGTTTAAGGCATACTGCGTCGATATAAAATGAATTGCACTACTATTTTCACAATTTTATTGATATTTGGTGTCAAATACACATATCTTGGTATATTTGAAGTCCCAAAACGGCTTAGTTTCAGAAATATCCCAATTTTAAATTCAAAAATGACCGTTAGCTCCGCACCCTCCGCTCATTTGCGCCGCACCCAATATTCCCCACAGGCTCTGTCTGCATAGGGTGATAGATAAAACAATAAAATACATTACATTTTGAATCTCAACATTATCCCCAGTCCACCATGACAATTTTCTTATTACCTACCATATACTATATATGAATAATTAATATTTGACATTAAGCTTAAATGCTTTACAAAGATTGGAATCTGTAGATTAAGTATTTGTCTGTACTTTATAATACAGCAAAACCTGTAGAGTGAAACACCTTAGAACATCTTCTTAAGTGGAACACTTTTAAGTCTGGTTCCTCATTACCTGATGCAAAATGAACCTACCAAATGGAACTCAATTCAAATGTGTTTTACTTACACAGGTTCTACTGTATGCAAATTGATTCTTAATGATCGTTGAAATTATTGTCGTATTTTAAAAAATAAATTACATAATTTTATTTGTTTACAAAACATAAAGTAGATCATTTATATGTACTTTTGAATTATGAGCTCTATTTGTAACTTTAACTACAAGAGGTTAAGCAAATTGATTTCTTGTTATAATGTGGATTCTCTTTTGGCAACTTCTCTTATCTCCTACTGTCCATTACTTACATTACCCTGTGTGCATCATGCAATCTGTACGAGGAATATGATTTAAGAATTTAAAGTTTTATTTGTCACTGTTTGTGTATTTGTTGTAATCTGTATGTTTAATCAAATGGTTATTTTGGTGTACTCTCATTTTTTAAACTTCCTCCGTCCCTATATAGATTAGTAGATAAATGTCCCATTACCCCAGTGTCATTTTTAAAACATTGATATGATAGCATGTGATATATCTGATATTAGCAGTTAATTAGATGCTCGTATAATTTAATTGAGCAATCTAAAATTAGTATTTAAATAAAATCCAAAACTTTTATGTGCTCCTTCTAAAAAATGTTCAATATAACATTTTTAAATACAAGCTCATACATCTATCACAAGTAAAGACATATCTTATGTATTGTCAGGCACAGGTCAATCATAAAGCCAATTAATGATTGTTACAGGATAATTTCCAAGATCGTCAAAGGGAGGCAATAGAACGCACCAAACGAGAATGTGATAGAATAGCTGCAGATGAACGTGCCAAATTAGAAAAACAACACAGAACTGAAATTGACATGCTCAATCAGAAGTAAGTGTCATATTAAAAAAAAACACAGAACTGAAATTGACATGCTCAATTGGAAGTAAGTATCATATCAGAAAACAACACAGAACTGAAATTGACATGCTCAATCAGAAGTAAGTGTCATATTAGAGAAACAACACAGAACTGAAATTGACATGCTCAATCAGAAGTAAGTGTCATATTAGAGAAACAACACAGAACTGAAATTGACATGCTCAATCAGAAGTAAGTGTCATATTAAAAAAACAACACAGAACTGAAATTGATATGCTCAATCAGAAGTAAGTGTCATATTAAAAAAACAACACAGAACTGAAATTGACATGCTCAATCAGAAGTAAGTGTCATATTAAAAAAACAACACAGAACTGAAATTGACATGCTCATTCAGAAGTAAGTGTCATATTAAAAAAACAACACAGAACTGAAATTGACATGCTCAATCAGAAGGAAGTGTCATATTAGAGAAACAACACAGAGCTGAAATTGACATGCTCAATCAGAAGTAAGTGTCATATCAGAAAACAACACAGAACTGAAATTGACATGCTCAATCAGAAGTAAGTGTCATATTAGAAAACAACACAGAACTGAAATTGACATGCTCAATCAGAAGTAAGTGTCATATTAGAAAAACAACACAGAACTGAAATTGACATGCTCAATCAGAAGTAAGTATCATATCAGAAAACAACACAGAACTGAAATTGACATGCTCAATCAGAAGTAAGTATCATATCAGAAAACAACACAGAACTGAAATTGACATGCTCAATCAGAAGTAAGTGTCATATCAGAAAAACAATACAGAACTGAAATTGACATGCTCAATTGGAAGTAAGTGTCATATTAAAAAAACCACACAGAACTGAAATTGACATGCTCAATCAGAAGTAAGTGTCATAAAAACAACACAGAACTGAAATTGACATGCTCAATCAGAAGTAAGTGTCATATTAGAAAAAAACACAGAACTGAAATTGACATGCTCAATCAGAAGTAAGTATCATATTAGAAAAACAACACAGAACTGAAATTGACATGCTCAATTGGAAGTAAGTGTCATAAAAACAACACAGAACTGAAATTGACATGCTCAATTGGAAGTAAGTATCATATCAGAAAACAACACAGAACTGAAATTGACATGCTCAATTGGAAGTAAGTGTCATATTAAAAAAACAACACAGAACTGAAATTGACATGCTCAATCAGAAGTAAGTGTCATATTAGAAAAACTACATAGAACTGAATTTGACATGCTCAATCAGAAGTAAGTATCATATTAGAAAAACAACACAGAACTGAAATTGACATGCTCAATCAGAAGTAAGTGTCATATTAGAAAAAAAACAGAACTGAAATTGACATGCTCAATCAGAAGTAAGTATCATATTAGAAAAACAACACAGAGCTGAAATTGACATGCTCAATCAGTAGTAAGTGTCATATTCAAGTTCTCTTAATTATGACTGAATTTCAAAATGTTACAAAATCACAAAAAAGTGAAATTACTTTTCTTGTATTGGGCAGATATTTCTTTTACTGGACATGTTTTTATTTGTATAACTATCGGATACATAAGGATTTTATGAGAATTGATCCACTTTAACTGATAATATTCAAAAAGGGAACTTTCTTATATACCTGCCATGTTAATTAACCCGAATCAAGCACCTGGTGGTGAAACTGATAACTACCTACTCGCATCTGGGTCATTCATGCACACTTCCAAAAATGACTGATGTTCTCAGAGATTAATCACATCGAAGCAACAAAATCTAGTATTAAAATCCACCTGCAAAAGCCAACAGGCACAATTATGTCTCTGAAGTAAACAAATACATTGTATAAATCTTGGATCCTCTCGGTTTTCAGATACAAAAGTCTGCAGCAGAAATATTTCAAAGATGTTCAGTATATCCAAAAGATTGAAGGAGACTTTAAGGTAAGTCCAATTTAGACTTAAAATTGGAAAGATTGAGGCTCACCTATTGATATTGTCTCACATGATTGGGATGGATGTTTAAGATGCTTTGATAATATTATTGTACCATTATATGTACACTGTACAGTATATTCTGGCAATATTATTATACACCAATTTGAGAAATCAGATAGGAAAATTATAAACCAGTAAAATGGTAAATGTGAAATTCCTATGGGAATTCAACATGGTATGTGTCCATTGTATAACAACAATTGTAGGATGACATGTAGCACTATAACCATTTGCTTCTTTCCAGAACCTGCAAGAAGACTACAAGAGATTTCTTGATTACACAGATGGCCAGTTCCATTCTGACTACCTCATGGTGCTACGTGACCATGGCCAGAGAATAGACACTAAGAAGCAAGCCATGGCAATACACGAGAATGTAAAAAGTCTCAATTTAAGAAAATAGCCTGATACATGTTATTATGCTATAATTATCCCAACGAACGAAGTTCGGTAGGGATATAGTGAAGCCCTCCGTCCGTCCGTCAGTCCGTCCGTCCGTCCGTCCGTCCGTCCGTCCGTCCGTCCGTCCGTCCGTCCGTCTGTCCGTCCGGAAGATAACTCAAATATTAGTTGACGGATTTTCTTCATATTTGGTGGAAAGATGTATATTGATAAACAGTTTTACGCAAAAAAAATTTTTTCAAGATGGCCGCCGCTTTAAAAATGACGGGACTTTTTCGCAAAAATCATAAATTTTTCATTCTAAACCAAAGTAATTAATATTATTGTTTGAAATTTTGGTAGTATATTCGCAACATCTATGTATTTCACATATATTCCGTGTTTTTCATCCTGACCCCCAGGGGCCGTGTATGGGGGGTCAGGAAAACAGAAATTTTCGCTAATTTTTAGATCTTTCTGAAGTATAGCTTTATTATACTCAAATGAAAGGCAATTAAGAGTAGATTGCAAATATTGTATCTTTTTTCTGATTCGAGCCTCGTAAAATTCAAAATGGCCGTCTAATGTACGATTTCGCAATAATTTTTCGATCCCTTCAAAGTATGGCTATATAATACTCAAATTGAAGGAATTTTGGAGTAGATCACAATTATGGTAATATTTTTCAGATTTGTACCTCAAAAAATTCAAAATGGATTTCTTCAAGATGGCCGCCGCTTTAAAAATGGCGGGACTTTTTCGCAAAAATCATAAATTTTTCATTCTAAACCAAAGTAATTAATATTATTGTTTGAAATTTTGGTAGTATATTCGCAACATCTATCTATTCCACATATATTCAGTGTTTTTATCACACCATCGGTGGGATATAGTCGTCATACTGGTCGTGATCGTGATCGTGGTCGTGATCGTGATCGTCCCGCTTTTTGTCATCGCCGTTTAAGGAAAACTGCTCATCAGATTTTCTCCAAATTCGCAGAGATGATAGAGCATATGAAGTACTAGAGCTGATTAACTTTTGGGTGGCCATCTTGTTTTCTGGCGGCCATTTTGAAGGTTTTTTGAAAAATCTTGTCATCGCCATTTCAGGAAAACCGCTCATAGGATTTCCTTCAAATTTACACAAATGATAGAGGATATCAAGTACTAGAGCTGATTAACTTTTGGGTGGCCATCTTGTTTTCTGGCAGCCATTTTGAAGATTTTTCGAAAAATCTTGTCATCGCCATTTCAGAAAATCCGCTCATCGGATTTCCTTCAAATTTACACAAATGATAGAAGATATCAAGTAGTAGAGCTGATTAACCTTTGGGTGGCCATTTTGTTTTCTGGTGGCCATTTTGAAGGTTTTTCGAAAAATCTTGTCATCACCATTTCAGGAAAACCGCTCATCGGATTTCCTTCAAATTTACACAAATGATTGAGGATCATATACTAGAGCTGATTAACTTTTGGGCGGCCATCTTGTTTTCTGGCAGCCATTTTGAAGATTTTTTCGAAAAATCTTGTCATCGCCATTTCAGAAAATCCGCTCATCGGATTTCCTTCAAATTTACACACATGATAGAGGATATCAAGTACTAGAGCTGATTAACTTTTGGGCGGCCATCTTGTTTTCTGGTGGCCATTTTGAAGGTTTTTCGAAAAATCTTGTCATCGCCATTTCAGGAAAAGCGCTCATCGGATTTCCTTCAAATTTACACAAATGATAGAAGATATCAAGTACTAGAGCTGATTAACTTTTGGGCGGCCATCTTGTTTTCTTGTTCTTGAAATTTGTTAACATAATAGGAGAACAGTTTTCCTGGTTCATAGTGTCTGCCTATTTGATGGTGTGATCTCGTTCACGTCATGTGCCTTGTTCATCCTGACCCCCAGGGGCCGTGTATGGGGGGTCAGGAAAACAGAAATTTTCGCTAATTTGTAGATCTTTCTGAAGTATAGCTTTATTATACTCAAATCAAAGGCAATTAAGAGTAGATTGCAAATATTGTATCTTTTTTCTGATTCGAGCCTCGTAAAATTCAAAATGGCCGTCTAATGTACGATTTCGCAATAATTTTTCGATCCCTTCAACGTATGGCTATATAATACTCAAATTGAAGGAATTTTTGAGTAGATCACAATTATGGTATTATTTTTCAGATTTGTACCTCAGAAAATTCAAAATGGTCGCTTTGCAGGAATTCGCAATTCTAAAATCTAAATTTTTCAATTTTAACCAAAGTAATGAGTATAATTGATTGGAATTCGGTAATTGATATTTTGTTCGTTGGGATTTGGTACTCCTCGGAGTTGCCATCATCTAGTTTAAATTATGAGTAACCTTTATCTGATTTTGTCAAAATACCTCAACATTTCATATTTTTACAGATATTGCTAATATATTTTCAACATGGTGACATTTTTAGTTCTCAACATGGCGTGGCAACCAGTTGCACTTATGCTGGGGAGATCACTTAAAATGTTTTCTCTCAGATATTTGAATTTCACAAAATGATTGTCTGGTAACCTCAAGATTTAATGATTTTTTGAATAGATTATAATAATTGAAAAGGAATATGCATTTCAATTTTGATAATATCTTACTCGGGCACACATTTTAGACAAAATGTTAATGATCAATTTACAGAATGCAATACAGAAGAACACAAGTATGTGAACACAATATTTAGGGATGTTCATTAATTCAAAATTGATAAAGTGAACACTAATGTACTATAGCTAGCCACTGTAGCATTCACCTTATGGAAGTTATTGTAATTACCAAAACATTGTTATCTTGTCTGTACCAGTTCTAGTCAATTTGTCAGCTGAATGGATGTCAATCTTTCCCTTAGTATGAGTATACCTCCAGTTTAAAGATTTTAAATGATCAGGTGATCTGTTCATAGCCAATGAGAGAGTAACATTCCAATTCTTCATTATAAATGTGTGCTCTGTAGACTGGGAGATTATTTGAGTTTGTATCATTGTTCATGTCCATCTCTGATTGGTCAATTGAACATGTGCTATTTCTATTTATTTATGATTTAAATAGGTATATAGTAGCCGAGACAACACAAGTCCCAAGTCTGTATATTTACTCTCATTTCTTCACTTTTAAGAGTTAAGTCACCACATTTTGCATGCACATTCCTTGGAGAAATCCTAACATAGAATTTCATTGGTTTTGATTATAATTTATTTGATAAATAAAGCGAAACAATTGATTTTGATAGGTCTATAATCAAAATTTTCCATTTTGTACAACAAATGCAACATTTTGACGTTATTAATAAAACTCCAAGTTATAAATGACAGATACAATATGGTGTCTCTAATCTTATTGACAATAACTATCACTAGTTATTATTTTTTGCCAGTCATCAGATCGTGCATTGGAAGTGTACCTCAATGAGAAATACATTCATTGATTGTGGCAACTAGTAAATTGTCAAAAGAATGTTGGAGTTGCAACATTATTTTGTTGCATTTTGGTGCTTCTTTTTCCATTTAAGGTCGTTTTGGTACCACTGTGATGTCATAATATATGATTTGATGTCATAATATGGGTACCAAATTGAGCACACATTACAAGCTGCTTTAAGATAATACCAAATATGTCATCATTCATTTGATTAAAATGGTAACTGGAATAAGCTCAAAAAGTATGCCACTCCCCTACCCCATCCATTTTCAGGCCACTGAAACATGCCAAAATCTCAAATAATGCAGGCATCTTCATGGGTCGTTTTTGGCCCCGTTTTATTTAAAATTCATGTTTCTGCATTCCATTTCTTCTCTGAAATGTCTTAACTACTACCTAAAACAGTTACATTTGTGCTGAATAAGAAAACGTTTGGTCAATTTGGAGTTATTAGACCAAAGGTAGATGCTTTTACTAATTTCGTCAAAATGTTGCATTTGTTACAAAATGGCAAATTTTGGTTATAGACCAATCAAAATTAAATGTTTCCCTATTTTATCAAAACCAATAAAATTCTATGTTAGGATTTATCCAAGGAATGTGCATGCAAAATGTGGTGAATTAACTCTTAAAAGTGAAGAAATGAGAGTAAATATACAGACTTGGGACTTGTGTTGTCTCGGCTACTATGTATAAATTTATTTATGAATAAAAAATAAATTACTTGATGAAGACATTGTCTATTTAGTTTTTTACTCTCTCACATTTGTTCAATGTGAAAAGATAAATGGTTATTTCAATGGTTATCAGATGATGGGAGACTAAATGCACAAATGGAATGGAAACAACCAGAATAAACAATATGAAATAACAAGTTATTATTTTTTATAAGGGTTTATTGCAAATGTAAATAATTCAAAGTATAACTGATCTTAACACAATATTATAATAAATATTGGGCCTACTGATAAACCCTATTTAAGTTTTTGAGAAATTCTGCAAACTGATGATTCCCAACATAGATATCAAAAAGATCTAAGAAATTTGAATGTAAATACATTGAAATGCCACATAGAAGTTTGGAATTATGCACCACTAAACTGTAACATGCATACATACATTATTATAAAAAATAGATTACAATGTACAAAAAAGCCAATATAGAGCCAATTTTGCTATATTTCGTATATGAATAATGTGGATTAGTTTAACTACCCTACATTCATTAAATAATGTTTGTGAAGACAGTATATTTACATTACATTATATCAATATAAAGGCACCACCACATATGTATGTATCTATGTATGTATTATTTAAGTAACCCTATGGGTTATCAGGTTATATATAGTTATTCTCAGCAGTTTCTCACTTATGCATTGTCTTGGCAGTCAAGGTTGAAATACAAAATTAAGAGTCATGCATGCGTCAAAACCCTGTACATACTACATACCCTCCACTTTTCTAGGATTGAGAGGGGTAGAGGTGCAAGAATTCATTTCTGGAAAAATTGATTTCAGTTTGATAAAACCACCTTCCTTTCTACCAATAAAATTCATATTTGGATTGATCCAAATAACAACTTTACGATAAAAATCAGTTTTATACATGTACATATAGTTCAGAAGCAGAACTCACAATTCAAAACATTTCACAACATTTTTAACTTTTAAAAATTACTTTTGTCAAAAAATTGCAGGGTGTCTGAAGAGCTGAATGGCACCAATATATGTTAACCTTCGAGAACTACTTAAAACAAAGCCTTTGAGCATAAATATTCCCAACAATGATTCAGTAGTCAACACCATTGATTTGGTATTGGTCCCAAATCACCCTGTATATTCCTTTTAGTATAAATTATAATTTAAGCACCATAGTATTTTGGCCAGATGCCAGAAGCTGGAAGAATGGCAGCCAATTAAATGATAAACATAGATTCACTCATATTTAGTTGAGACCTCACATGAAATATCTTTGAATTGAAATGGATGATCCTTGTACATATGTTAATTTAATATACATATTAATATGTATATGTCCTTCCTCGATCATTTATCATAATATTAATAACACAAAGTCCCAGATGTCCTCATTTGATCTGAACATTAAATCCTCATATAACGCCAACAAAGTAGTCATTTGAACATTATCCTCACTTATTTAGTCCTCGTTTGAACATTAATCCTCACATGAATCATTCTTATATTGTTTTCACATAAAAGTTGAGTCCTCATAGTTTTGTGGTTTAGATTTGGATCTAGCATCAAACATCTCACGGATCAATTGAGCCTTTTCCCGTTCCAGTATCGAGATTCTTCCACTTTTCTGGCCAACTTCCTGGAAAATAATCAAAAACGTTTCTGCATAAATAATGCATATTGTAATAATTGTGTTGAATTCTTAGCATTTCACATTGTGGTACATATTGTACTTTGCAGAATCTACTACATGTGATTGTTTCTGTGATTGTTCGTACAGGTGGAAAATCATACCTTGGGGATTAACATGACGAAAGGCACAACCTGGCTGCAAAGTGGTCAAAAATAAACATTACTTGTAGCTACTTTATATATTCCATTGGTGCAACAAATGGTATGTTGCAATTGTGGAATAAGATGCCCCTACCTGAGTCAAAAGTCTGTTTTGAGCTTTCATCATTTCCAGTGCATTGGGGTCATAGTTCACTTGACTTTCTGCTTTGTGAGGAACAGCAAGACCCATGTGTAGAGGAAACCCCTGGAATATAAATATCAGAATTGCTACAGCAACTAGTAGTATCCATTCAAGTGTACATGAACATCATTGAGGAGATAAGCCGAAGTTCATAGTTGAACTTATAATTATTCCACACGACAATTCTTGTTTCTCGTTTTCCACCATCTACATGTATTATTGCTACAGATGGCAGGGCCGGGGTATGTGATCGCACCCCTGGCTACACCTATGCACGGGTGCAATGTTGAATGTGAATTGTCCACATTAATAGGAATGTGATCAATACATGCGCTGATGACGTAATTAAATGTGATTGATGTTGAGCAATGAATTAGAAGCTCATCTTTATATCACATGACCATGGGTCAAACAAAAGTATTCCAAATGCAGACTCCGAATTGTTTGAATCATTTAGTGTAAATGCTGCACAGTGGTGTAATCGATAGTGCAATTAGTGCACTTAATTTGGTAATGCAGGATAATATTGATGTAGTGTTTAAATCCAATATTTATATTACAGTTAAAACTTGTTAGACTTTAAAATCATTGTTTAATAAAACACTTGCATCCCACCATTTGGTCAACATCACCATATTTCCAATGCACTTGAAGAGAATTGAACTTTTGGAAATAAGGAGTGTCAAAAACTGAAGAAAAATGTTTTGAATGCACTGGCAGAATTTAAATAACAAGGTTGACTCAACATACACATGCAGTAAGAACTGTCAAGTAAAACACCTTTGTAAGTACAATACCTAGCAAGTGAAATACCTTTGTAAGTACAATACCTAGCAAGTGAAACACCTTTGTAAGTACAATACATAGCAAGTGAAACACCTTTGTAAGTACAATACCTAGCAAGTGAAACACTTTTGTAAGTACAATACCTAGCAAGTGAAACACCTTTGTAAGTACAATACCTAGCAAGTGAAACACTTTTGTAAGTACAATACCTAGCAAGTGAAATACCATTGTAAGTACAATACCTAGCAAGTGAAACACTTTTGTAAGTACAATATCTAGCAAGTGAAATACCTTTGTAAGTACAATACCTAGCAAGTGAAATACCATTGTAAGTACAATACCTAGCAAGTGAAACACTTTTGTAAGTACAATATCTAGCAAGTGAAATACCTTTGTAAGTACAATACCTAGCAAGTGAAATACCTTTGCAATATACATCAATTTAACACCTTATTACATACCTTTTCAGAACTGTCTATCAAAGCTTGTAGCTGTTGGTTAACTTCAAATATTCGAGATGTTTGGAAGTTTAGTCTTTCTTGTGCCGCTTCAACAGAATTGTCCTGGAAACAATTGGATCAATAAACATTTAAAGTTATTTCTTAGTTTGAATCATGCTGCCATTTTTGAGGGATCCAATTTTAGAAATACTGTAAAGATTTTAATGCCAAACATAACATCGCAGACAATTGAAACTGGGGGCCTTGCTGTCCAGCTGTGTAAGACCAATCTAGAAACAGGTGTACATTTCTTCTAGGCCAAGGGATGGAATCTTTATGTCTAATATTACCTTCTAGACTTATTGTCAATAATTTAAGTGGAACAAATAGAATTGATTGAAAGTGAAAATATGAGCAGTCATTTATATTGTTCTAGTGTTGTCAAACATTCAGAAAACAAGTCTGTTTTCATCTGTTTGTAATTGTATTCTCTTTTTGATACCTATATTGGGACTTTTAGAACAAAAATGTTTGTTATATTCATAGAATTGACATAAAAAATCTATGTTTGATATGACCTCTTTCTCTTGTCATTCATTAAACATCCACGTAGCAAAGCATCATGGATGTTTAATGAATGATAAGAGAAAGAGGTCATATCAAATCATATCAAAAGTCAACTTTTTTTCCGTCCTGTTTTTAGAACAATTTTTGCACCCAAATTTGCCAAATTGGATGCATACAAAAGAGTTAAAACAAACGCAGGTTGTGGATTTGCTAATAGCATTTTCAGTCACTTTTATTAATGCATTATCATCCCAGGAAATGATTATACTATGAGTGATGTCAACACAATAAATACTAAATACAAGAAATTATAACTTTTGCATTCAGCTCTACTTACAACAGTGTTTGATTTTCCAATATATTTTTGCTTTTCAGTTACTATATTTAATTGTTCGTGGTACCAGTCCTTGGCCTTTTCTGCACATTGTAGACCTTGCATTAGAATGTCTCTTTCCTGTTCTAACTGCTTTATACGTTTTATCTGCAACACAAATATTCATCACGAGTCTGTCATTCTTTGGTTGTCACATATACACCAAGCCCCTGCTATGTAAAATTCCATAGCTGGATGTATCTTTAGACTATATATTAACCATCCATATAAAAATAAATCTAATATACCACTAATACATCACAAATAGATCACCAATACACCATGAAAAGTTATTTAGTCAAATGGATTGTAAGTTATGTATTTAAACTGGCAATACTCAACTAATGCACCACTGTAAGTTTTTTTTAGGTGGAGTGGTTTGTAAGTTGTGTATTAAATCAATTTTTTCTGGAATGGTCTATTAGCAGTGTATTAAAACTGATCTCTTAGAATAAGAAACCCCTTTTAACTGGTGGAAATTGTTAAAATGTGAGGGAATTAATTCTACAATGAAATGTAGCATTACAACCAGAAGGGTGACTGGACTTAATTGAATCTTGCTCAACATAATCATAAAGGTAGAAGATGTACATGTTGAATCTTATTCAGATTTCTCACTGCATTTAGCACTATAGGGATTTTGCACCTTATGGATGTATAAAATTCTGAGATTTCAGGAGTGATTTGTTAGTAGTCATTTAGACTAGTAATGGTGTATTAGTGGTGTATAAGACTTCAGTGAGTGATGTATTAGTGGTCTATTAGTAATATCTGAGACTTCAGGAGTGATGTATAAGTGGTGTATTAGTGATCTATTAGTAGTGTATTACATGCTCTCTGATTGGTCAATAATTTTCATCTCATTTGCATGGTAATTTTTTCAACTAATAAACCATCTGTTAAGTCAATGGTAAAAAGTAGTCTGTTTACAAAAATCACCACTAACAGTACCAGTGGTATGGCAAGCTGTTTTTTTTTACTCGGGATGCAAGGATAAACAAGCATTCCCATGTGGCAGCACTGGCTAAGCCTATTTGCTTTCATTTGCTGAACAAACTTTCATTTATTTTTAGTAATTATGTACCATATTGTAATCAACCCCACTTGACAAGGTATGACGTCTTGCCTCACGTTTCTTCACAGAATCTCGTCTTCGGACTGCGACAGCCCCACCTATTGGCTCTTCAGCAGATCTTCCAGTTTTATTTGGTAGTGCCATATTTACATGCTCTGTAAAATATAATTATTTATTTAAGAAATTTATGAACAAACAGCCAGTATCTGTAACTTTGACCCTAAAACACCAAAAAGATTTAAAATTCATTCATATAATCAGGGCCAGTGATTGTACAAAATGAACGGAGGGGGGATCAGCCCATTTTTGATAGAAAATTCAACAAAGTGGGCGGGATAATGTACCTTGCATGATTAGTGCATAGCCAGATAGCAGACTTTCTTTTCTGATACTAGTATCAAAACTGGACTTAAAATATTGAATTTGAAATGAAAAATATGGGAGTACTTTATTTTAGAACTTGCCATGCTGCTTATTCAGTTAGTAAGCAATTCTTTGAAACATTTCAGAAAAAGGTTTGTACCTAAAGGATGAGGGTCGCAGGTCTCAATTATACAGTTACTCTGTAATTATATCAAATTGGTCATTCACAAAATGTTGATTCTTTAATTGAAAACTGTATTAGTACCATTAAAAACAGATCTTGAATCTCTACTACTTGCTGGAATGTCATAGGGCTGTTCATCTCTCCTTGCTGGTACGCTACCCAATCGTTCCCGAGGTTGACTATCCTTATTTGGTATTGGGTTTACATTATTCATTGAAGGAACAGAATTGGAAGGCAATTGTGAACTAGACCTTGCGGATTGGTAAATGTTGGCATTCTGGGGTCTATGTTGAACTGAATGAGGCTGGTAATCATTGTTTTTGTTCAGTTGTGGCATGCTCATTGTGCGTTGCTGAGGGGCAACCTTTTGAGGGCGCACAGAAAGCGTCGCTGGCTGTCTATAAGATTGGAATGGGCGGGGTTGTTCAGGTGGATTATCACTGCGATTTGTGTAAGGTGGAGGTTGTTGGTATCTTGGTGGAGGAGGGGGAGGCATTTCCTGATCTGAGATAAGATGTCTCCTATGTTGCTGAGTATATGGTCCATCCTGGACTCGGTCGTGGCTTCCAACTGAACTTCGACTCATAGGTGGTTCATTCTTGGAACGTAATATCGCAATTTTGAGTCCGCCAACAAATCTTTCAAATGATAACTGTCCATTTGGTGGTGTCACTTTATGTAAAGCTTCTATAATACCCTTAGGTAATCCAACTATCCCATCGTCCTGTTGGGACCATCTACTTTCAATGTCGCTTATGTTCACAAAACCTAGATTTTTGTCGTCTAAAATATCAAAAAGTGTCCTTAAGCTTGTAACAAACTGTTTGGGTAAACTATCCAAAGTCGATTTAGGCTGAATAGTCATCATTTTGATGAAGTAATCCTCTAAAAAGTTTTAATCCTCCATCAAAGTTTTGAAAAATTCAATTAGGGAGTTTCTAAATTGACCTAGTTTTTAGAGCCCTTGATTGGCTATTGTAAAAAAGGTTTCTAGATACCATAAACTGCATAAAGCCTCGAAAAAAGTTTTTTACTTTGTTCAACTAATTTGATAGTTCTTATGAAATTCTGACATTTGAGAGGACGAAGTATTACTATATAGTTATACTAAGTAAATAAAATTATGTTCATTTACAAATATTCAAGTATTTATTTACAAATTTTCTAAAACGCTTTGAGACTAGCTCGTTTGTGGCGCCATCTCGTACCTGGAAAAGTGTGAGTTTTAATTTCACTATAATTTGATAATTTTTCGTCTAATTTAGCATATAATAAATAATTATAAAATTATGTGTCTGTATAGTGAAAAAGATGATTTGCAATTGTTCCATGTTTTCAGATTGCAACTTATCTCTTGGAACTTTACGAAATGTTAATCATTCTGTAGATCTGTAGTCTACTTTTTTGATTTTTAAAAGTTTTTTGTGGCAGTGCTGCTAGCCAAGTCTTCAACAAACACTGCGATGGGCAAATCTTATAATCTTAGTCTCAGCTTACACTGTAGGAATTGGGACATAAAATTATGAGTGAATGGCTCTTGTCTTATGCTCATGACTTTCTAAATTTCAAACAAATTGATTGTTTGCATTGTATGTAGGGCGAAGGCCCGGGGGTTTCAATATACTTCTTAATACCTATGTGCCGTGCTAAAGACCCCATTTCTTCCATGTATATTTCCTTACAAGATTGAAGGTTTCCATGTTAATTCCTCTGGAGCCTTATAAATGTCCATTTTATTCCTTGCAACTTCATAGATATGTCGAGCTGGGACTAAATTTCCTAAAATATCAAAAATTGACTAAAAATCAACTTTTCTAGTGATTTGTCCCAGGTCTCAGCAACTGATTTAACAAATTTAATACAATTTTTGAAGAAAAGCTGAATTGTGACTGAAAAGGGGTACTTTCTTAGACAATTTTTCCATGTCTTTTCCTCTCAAATTGGCCAATTTGCATATTATATGCTCAAAGCCAAAATTGGCCATGCTGCACATATATACCTACCCAAATTATTTGGGAGTGAACTAGGAGGCAAAGGGTATAATGAGATTTTATTTTTTCCGAAAATAATTCAAATTTCCGCAGTCTGCTGTCTTGGTTTATGACCTTGCCTGTTGGAGATTTCACTTTATTATTTAAGTTTCAAAAAACAAACATGGATTGAAAATATTTTAGGTTCAACATTGAAACTTCAACTTGACCCTAAGACCTAACTTATTTACAGTTCCAATTCCTTAAAATGCTTTGTAATCAAAAATTAATATCAATGAAACTCATTTTTGTCAATTATAGATAATTTTTGGAAGACAATTATTCATTTTGATATAAGCTGGGTCCTCCGTCGAACATCGACGGATGGGGTTAATTTGTTCCTGGGCTGTGTTGACCATAAGGCTATTATATCGACATTGGCTTATATTTTCAATTTACACAGTCCACCATGATTTTTTTCAGAAATTTTCAAAGATATATCAAAATCTCCAATCCATGGGTGAGATCTTCATCCAAGATGACTGAATTATTAGCCATGGTCAAAATAATCCCATGACGAAGTAACAAACCCCATACATCGAAGTTTGCTCAGGGCTAAGATAACTCTCCTTGTAACCTATGGCATATATTTCTAGTTGCAGATACTGATCAGCTTTAGTTATGTCTATGTATCGCAATCAAGGGGGATCACGTGATAGAGGTATCATGGGTCGTGATAGAGACCGTGCAATGGCACCCCCAATGTCTCAGGATCACAGAAGAATGGGAGGTCGGGAAGATCGCACAAGGCTGGATCGTGATACTCAGGATCGAGGCATGATGGGAAATAACAGAGGCATGATGGGTGGACAAACAAGTAGCGCAAATCGTATGTCAATGGGTGGTATGAGCCAGAACACGATTATGAGCAATGCCGCAGCAGCCACACGTAGCATTCTTGGGAGTCCTTCGGGAATGGGTCATCAAGGTGGAAACCCAGGGTTGCTAGGTGACACTCCACAGCAACAGCGTATGATGAATCAGATGCAGCAGCAGAACCTTGGCTCATTTGGTCTCCTTGGAGATGGCCCTGCACAGGATCAATATGGTGGATCTAATATAAGAGGGGTAGGAATTGCATATTTGATTTTAGTTTGAGAAAGAATGATTTTCTTGAAGAAGGCTGTTCAGGGTATCAACAATTTTGGTAACCATCTTGAATTTTCATCAAGAAGGAGGTTGGCATTATTGACCAAAAGATTGCCCATATTAGTAGGCATGAATGTGCCAAATATCGAACAGTATAATTTTTTTTTCTTCATTGTAAAATATTTTAGTATTGTATGTTATTTACGAAATTCATTATTGTTACTTACAGAATTCTGGAGGTTCTAAGGCACCCATGGGCAATTCAAGTATTCTTGGGTAAGTTTTATTTCACCATCACCAGGTAGCCATGACCTCAATATTCTCTTGGTATTGTTGTGAAAACGTTCCCCCTGGCTAAAAATTAGGTACAATCCTGCAAAGCATTTTATTTTATTCGTGCCCATAACATCTCAATATGTCACAATTTCTTAAGTTTTCAACATGGTTTTAAACTTCATAGGATGGCATGTAATTCACAACATCTTTAATATTGGAGATCATTGAAACACATTGCCTGCTATAGTTTATTAATATGAATGAATCAGCTGTATAAATGTTGATCTTGTTGCAGCAATGGCCCTTGAAGTCACCCACCCCATTCAGACCTTAAATTGATTCACTACCTAACAAAACAAAACAGACTTGGTTGTGATCATATTATTACTATGTAAAGAATTTTCAATATTATACTCGTCAAGGCTGAACTGGTTTTGGCAAATATTTATATTGATGGAGCAATCTGCCAAACTGCAAAATAATATGCATACTGAAATGATCTCTGTTATTAAAAGCCCTGATATATTTACTTTGCCTGTATGTATTCCAGGAATTTCAATGGTTCAAATGAGAGCAAATTTGATTCATCCTACAACACTCCGTCTTCAAGATCAAGTAAGTAAAATATCTGTATATCACTACACTATTTTCCAGTTATAGCAAAACTCATAATATAGCGTGTTTAAAACTGCCATTTTTCAAGAAGTTCACTATATTTTTTATTTAATTAGATTTTGAACTAATTTTTGGAATTAAAAACATTAATATTACAGTTTTATAGTTGTAACTAAAATACTACTCTAAGATTTGCACTAAAATGGCAATCATATTTAACCAGTGGTTATTTTCAAAATTGGCTTTCCAGCAGAACATGCAATTGGCATGTGTACACTAGTAGTACAGAAACAATATTGGGTATTTGAATTATTGCCCAGACTGGCTAATAAAGGGTTCAAATGTCAGCCATTTTCTATGAAGGTCCTTCGACAGTTTCTACTTTAACTGGAGTTTTTTTGTCAACTTGTTTAAAGGGTAGGTATTTGAAAAAATGGTGGTGGATTGAATTTGTTGATAAATTATATGCCTATGTATAAACATGCAAGAATGACGCTGTATCTCTTGGCTATACATCTATGATGGCCATTTTGAGACATGATTTCAGTGTTGTCTACACTGTTCAGTGGGATTTGCTGCACCTTGGGCTTACTGTTTGTGTTATCTAGTTGAGTCAGCACATAGTTGTGGAAATATGAATCATCAAAATGATAACTGCCAATGTTAAATGTTAATCTTCAAACATCCGTTGGAACTATGTGTACTTGTACCTTTGAAATTTGCCATTTTTTAATAACATGTTTTTTGGCCATTGTAGCCTCATGTTTTTTCATTATCAGACTGCCAATAGTGGAGATAAGTTTAACTAATATATGGCTTATTTCTTCAACCTTTTGTTGTTCAGATCAGTCTGCAGGACCTTTATCAACAACTCAGTTGGAATATGCTGCCAACCTTCTTAAGGATGCCATCACTGTCACACAGAACAAGATCGTAGGAGAACAACAACAGGACATGCAGGTTGAAGTGCGCCACCAGCAGAAGCTCATGCAAGAAAAACAGCGACTTCAGCAACAACAACAACAAGACTTGCTAAGGCAACAACAACAGGTACTTGGAGCAGTGTTGTAAACTGCATTTATATTGAATTTGTGAATTACCAAGATTTTTTATGGTGTTTTGCGTATTAAATAGTTAATTCCTTCCATACAAGTTTGCAAGTCAATTGCTCGGTCTTCAGCTTGGAAAATGTTTGATACTTTTTAATGGATTATTGTTATCATCTCAGTTTACTGGTCCCTAAAGTACACATATTATGAAAGATTCAACATTTTGTTTTGAGACTGTTTTGAGTGGTCCACGACTTCTAAAAAGGCTGTGGTGTGTACTTGTATGCCTATGTATGGGTGCACTTAAAAGAACACAGGACTCCTCCAATGAGGGGTTTCTGGGTCTGTCTTTCAGGATTATTTGCGTCAATTACGACCCTGTACATATACGGGACATACCCAAGAGGTATTGCTCACCTTCATTGATGTTAAACAAAATACAATACAAACTACAAGTTTATTCTCTGAGACTATTTCCAGGAGGCTCTGAGACAACAACAGCAAGAGGCAGCATTACGTCAACAGGAGATGCAACAGCAAATGAAGATAAAGCAACAACAGCAAATGCTACAGCAACAACAAGAGCAGATGCTGCAACAACAAAGAATGCAACAGCAACTGCAACTGCAGCAAAACATGCAGGGTTTCCAAGGCAACATGCAGCAAAACATGGCAAGAAACATGCAGCCTAATATGGGTAAGGAACACTGTCTTTATGGTGATGTAATATTAGATCGAAATCATTAAAAATTAAAGTACTCATTGGACACTTTATGTATCTTTTAAGAATAATCTTGGTTACATTTTGTTTAGAATATTTGAATCGCTGTTTTAATGGAATTTTTAAGTAACAAAATTAACTGTACATAAGATATCCAATGTATATAATGTAGCTCGTCAGTATTAAAATAAAACAGTGTGATTCTACAAAAGACACTTCCATGTTCCTGTGTAATGCAACTCATGTTCCTGTGTAATGCAACTCATGTTCCTGTGTAATGCAACTCATGTTCCTGTGTAATGCAACTCATGTTCCTGTGTAGTGCAACTCATGTTCCTGTGTAATGCAACTCATGTTCCTGTGAAATGCAACTCATGTTCCTGTGTAATGCAACTCAATCTCTTGTAGGTGGGCCTGGCATTCTGGGAGCAAAACCCCTATTTTCCCCATTGGAGGCGGAGCGTGCACGGGCAGTGATACGTAGTCGCCAGGCTGACAAACGTGAGCGTGACCGTCATGGCAACATTATTCGTAGCCCTGGGCGTGATAACAGATCCAGAGGACGCGATAATGATCGTAGAGATAGAGATCGGGATCGTGGAAAGCGTCCACATTCTCGAGATCATGATTCAAATAAGAGACAGCGTCGTAGCAGTGAGGTATGAAATTCATTGTCATAATAATTTACATTACATTTTCCAGCTTCATCAATTCCACAGGGAAGGGCTCCTAGTTAGTTTTCCCATCTATCATCGTATGTACATGTATATTTTCTCTCATTCTAAATGCTTATATTTGAAAGGTGTAGTTTTTACATTACACTTTAATGTTTTTCATGTGTAAACATTTGTACAATCATTAACATTTTTCCCCTGAGATGACTGAACCAATAAATTCAGCATCAATGAAATTGGATTCATGGGACTTCATATCGTCTTCTCTGTTGTCTTGGATCATGGGACACACTTTCTACTCTGCCTGCTTCTGCTGTAGAAAAGCTGTAAAATTTCATGGATTACAAAAATACATGTACTGTACATGCAAAACAACCAAATGTATCGTGTATCCCATGCTAGCTCCACAATAATCCTTAAAATGTTATTTTCTCTAATATTGTTGACTTTTACTCGTCATGACATGAACTTTCTTTCCTATTATATTTCACATTTACTTTAACAGTTTTCGGTGTTTAAAAGAGTTGAGTTTAAAGTTCAAATACAACTTGCTCATATTGCTGTGCTTTGCTTGTCATTGGTCTATTCGTAGGAATTCTACTCATTGTTCAACACTTGCACTTTGTTATAAAATTGTCACATAATCTTGTAAGCAGCACAATGTTTCTATAAATGTTGAACTCACTTTAGTGTTTCTGTGTTTAAACCACTCTGTTTGAATTTCTGAAAGCTATGTTTCATTATGAGAACTCATCTGTTGTCTATTGCATTATGGGATTCCATCTGCAACTGTTATGTTGCATGATGGGACTCGTAACAAACAGAATGTAGTTAACTTTATTCTAGAGATCCCCATTGAAGTTTTGTAACACAAATATCCTTTCCTATGAAATGAAATTCAATGATCATTATTTCGTTAATATTTTCCCACTTTTTCTTACAGAATTGCAGCATTTCTGAATGTATGTGGAACTTCCTTACAAATATTGTGATTGGATGTGATACCAAAGTGATACCAAATCTGTTGAAGATTTAGGAAATCAATATATTATTTGTCTTATATGATTGAAGTGATGACCTTTCCCTGTTATGCATCACTCATTTTCCTCCAATCCATTTTTACATTGGATGAAATTAAACCGTTCCCTTGTTTGTATTGCTCCACAACATGCTGTCCCTCATATGATCATTTCAATTGCATTACATCTTTGAAAGATGGATTATCTTTTGAAGATGGATTTTTATCTCCGAAACTTATTTGGACTACCAGCTGCCATTACATTCTTGGGGCTGTGCCATTTGACAATTAGCTGGATATTAGCTGGAAAAGGGAACAAAACTGCAATATTTTGAAATTCTGAATTCTTTCAAAATGAAAGATATCTGAAGCCTGACTGCATTAACCAAAGTGCTCGGAATAAAAAATAACTCTTCCCCTTATAATAGCCAAACCTGATTTGCAGATGGCATGTTTACATTTATTTTTAGATTTGATGAATCTCTCAAGCTCACATGTTAAGCCCCTATTCATACTCAGCTTGTGAAAAATAGATGGGAATCATAACCCCAAAGTCCCATTTGATACTTGGGCCAATCTCATACATAGATGACATTTTAACCCCCCTTTTTCAAAATGGATATATCCATATGGTCCCTCAAGGGGTGTCAGCTTTTTGTTGTTTCCTTGTGATGTAAGCCTTGACATCTTTGGTGCAGACGACACCTTGCCTTGCCATGGACCCCTCTGTTACAATATGACCTCACCTATATCTTCATTATGAATGGAAGAGTCCATTTATTCATCATATTTTCCACAGAGTCGAAGAAATGATCGTGATCGACGTCCAAGTCGCAACCGGAGTGCTGATCCCAAGAAGGAAACTCCTTCCAAGAAAGAAAAGACAACACCAGTTAAAGGTTTAGTATTATGTCAAATCTTCTCAACAATCACCATAGTATCAATCACCATAAAAATGGTTCCCATAGTAACAAAACCTGCTGCTAAGAATACATGTCTTCTCGACAACTGATGTCTTTTTCTGCATTTACGTGTATAATCTGGTTGATTTGTATATGTTGCATGTCTAAATTTCTCACAAATACAGATAAAGGTAAACAGTCAAAGTTTATTGCATCGTTATATTAACTTGAGGGATTTTAATCTCATCCCAAAAGTATAAGCACTCTTTCACAAATGTCAGCGGATTGCATTGTGGGATATATTTAGTTCTCATCTACAAATTTCAGCAGGACTGGTTGCATTATGGGTTAGATATTTCTTCTCAAATGCAATTAAGTTGCATCATGGGTAAATATTTCTTCTGGTTCCAAATTTTTGAGGTTCGGATCAATTCATTTTCTTTAGATATGTGGTTAACATTTACAGTAGTGTCAATGGCTTGGCTTCTTTAGATTATTATCCTCTTGGTAAAATATTGAGAAACAAGTGCGTTGGTTTCCAATGTCCAAATAATAAAAGTCACTAAGTCAGATGTCAAAAATGCATGATGAAATTAAGTGATTATCTGAAAGATGTGTGTATTCCAAATTATTTGGCAAATGAGTCTCCAATGAGTTGTTCTCATATGACTAACTAAGGTTTGTTTTAATGATGCTGAAATGTGATGCAATTCTCTTTGGTCTCGTCCATATAATAGACCAATGCAATGGTAATCAACAATGATGTGGTTTGTCCCTTTTATGGTGATGCATTATACTGCTAGTATTGTATCCAACTGAATGCCCCCACACACACCTAGCTGATGATATGAATTAACATTTCTATTCTACAATAAAGCTGGAAGTCTTCTCCTGTATCTTCTTCTGATGGTGGACAGCTGGACCATGTACCTTAGTTAGTCATATGAGAACATGTTTCCCTTGTCTAGAGTCACACTGTTTCTTAGACTCCATTCAGTTGATATTGACACACACTGTATTCACATATTCTTTTTCAGCTACCAAATCCTTCATGATTTTATAGGCTCAAGTATATAATTATTATTGCAAGAATTAAGCCTCAGTCACATTTACTCCAAAGCGTGCATATGGCGGCCGTAGCTTCACAGAATCGATATTGAAAATCAACATTGTACTGTTTATCTCTTTACTTTATACTGCATATTTCTCTCAATTGTAGGAAGCTATGGCTGCTGTATGGTTGCCGTAGATCAAATGTGACTGAGGCATTACATAAACATTCATGATGTCTTAAGATATAGACTGAGGTTATTTGGATGTTAGTGCATTGGCACCTCTAAAACTGAGTAATAAAATATGTATAACTTATTATTGTACATATGGGATACTCTTTTATATTATGAAATACAGTATTACAGTCTAATATGCAGTCCCAACAAACTAGCAATAATCCAACATTTGAACTATCTCAGGTGTTCTTGTGTCTGTATTCTAGACTGTGCAGACAAACATGTTAATAAAAGAAATTTGTTTTATATTTCAGAAGAGAAGGAGTATGACCCTGAAGAGCCAACTGATGATGTTGAGGTATGTTCAGCAGAATGTATTCAAAATATAAAGGAATTAAGATACAAGCCTGTTGCTAGGCTTTGACATTGCCCATGGCATTTTTCTGTAGTACTTGTAATTTACTGTATTCTAACTATAGTATAAACCTTAAAATGTTCAAAATGAAATCTTTACCTAATGTATTAGAACATTCTCTCACTGGTTCTTCACATATACATGTATAACCTTTTAAGCATTATTAAATTTATAAGTTATTCAAATTATGTCGGCATCAAAATGTATTCATCATGTCCATGTGAAACGCGATGAATGCCAAGTGTATTGTGATTGATTGCTAAAGTTTAATACTGTCTTCTACGTCTCCATTAATTTATTTCAAACTATTTAATAGGATGCCCCTATGGAGACATCTGAGGCCAAACCAGAAGACATCAAAGTCACTGTAAAGAAGAATTACAAGGAACGCTCTGTCGAGACAAAACCTAAAGAGGAGAAATCTTCAGAGAAGAAGGAGGAAAAGTTGAAGGATGATGAAAAAGACAAGAAAGATACTGGTGACAAATCTAAGGCTAAGGAAGAAAAGGTAGCAGAGCCTTAATATATTATATGATTTTATTTGTTAATGAAATATGCAGTTTCAAACTGAAGGCAGCACCTCTCACCAGAATTTTGCTTTTCAAAAGTACTTTGCTCTAGCATGTTTATGTAGAAATTCAAATTCAATATTCTCATTTGACTGAGTATATATTTTTAACTGTTACGTTCTTTTTTTCTCAATTCCATGTGACTCAGATTACTATTTAAATGTTTTCACGCTGATATACTTATTAAAAGTGTCAAGTGTTATTATGTATTTGATTTAAATTTAGAGAATGAATATTTTTAATTAAAAAAATGAAAAAAAATGAAAGAAATATACAAAATTATGATAAGATTCCAAAAATTAGATGATGTTTAACAGTAATATTTATTTACAGAGTGACAAGGGCTCACACAAAAATAGCTGTTCAGTAGTTGATTAAGGTTTTGTAGTCAGTGGTCCCTTTTCAAAACACATGATTCCATTTTAGTTAAACAGAGAAAGATGACCTTCACTGCAGCTTATGCTTTCATTTTTTTGTTTAAGGAGAGTGAGCCACCCAAGCTGATGATGGAATGTCATGCCTGCAATGTCAAGTGTGATGAGGGTGTAAGTATAACAAATGTCATGTCATGTTATGTCATGCCTGCAATGTCAAGTGTGATGAGGGTGTAAGTATAACAAATGTCATGTCATGTTATGTCATGCCTGCAATGTCAAGTGTGATGAGAGTGTAAGTATAACAAATGTCATGTCATGTTATGTCATGCCTGCAATGTTAAGTGTGATGAGAGTGTAAGTATAACAAATGTCATGTCATGTTATGTCATGCCTGCAATGTCAAGTGTGATGAGAGTGTAAGTATAACAAATGTCATGTCATGTTATGTCATGCCTGCAATGTCAAGTGTGATGAGAGTGTAAGTATAATAAATGTCATGTCATGTTATGTCATGCCTGCAATGTCAAGTGTGATGAGAGTGTAAGTATAACAAATGTCATGTCATGCCTGTAATGTCAAGTGTGCTGAGAGTGTAAGTATAAAAAATGTCATGTCATGTTATGTCATGCCTGCAATGTCAAGTGTGATGAGAGTGTAAGTATAACAAATGTCATGTCATATTATGTCATTACAGGGAGTGTTATTATTATTCCCAAGTGTCTCAAAGCTGTTCGCAGTGGCATTTTAAAAAGTCTATTTATCATAGTTTCACCACTTTTAAGCTACAGTCTTGGTATTGTTTGCTCTCTAAAGATTAGTTCCATATTATTCTCTATGTATTCTCCACTCTTTACTAACAGCACTTTCAGTCAGCATCCACAAAGTAAAACCTAATACTATTATTGAAAGGTCATGCTTCTTATTCTTGATTATACTTGATTTTAGAGCTTCAAACGCCACATGAGTGGCCGACGTCATGCTGAAAAGATGGCGTCACTTGCAGGAGGCAAAGATCAGAGCAGCGATAACTTGTCTGCAGAAGAGCAGAAGAAAAAAGTTGCTGAGCATCTGAGAGAAGTCGAGAAGAAATATGCCAAGAAGTAAGTTTTAGAGGATAGAGGTATAAGTGCCAGCCAATAGTCAAACATGGATATAGCAGATTTTCAAGCAGATAGAAAATAACTTGCTTCAATTTTAACCAAGAGGCTCAAAAACTTTTTAAAACAGTATAATTGATGAGTAGAAATTGAGTAGATTTCTTTGAGTTTCTTTTCAAATGTTCTCAATAGTTTCCACTGTACTATACTTTTAAAAATGTCAACAGAAATGCAAAAAATCTAGCCTCTAGGACAGTTTACACATGCAGGATATTTCATTATTTTTATATTTTACTTGCAGACCTTCTCCTGGTGAATGTGCAATTTGCCAGAAACACTTTGGTGTCCGAGGCCTCCAGCAACACTACAGAGACTCTGAACATAAGGTGAGACATTCTCAGATCTTTACGTTGTTTTCCCCAGGATATGTCAGTTTGGATGATTTTTCCTTGTAAATTGGTTTTCAGGCAGTTGCACGTGCAGTGAAACTAATTGTTCGGATTAGCAGGTGTTCACATTTCAAGGTTTTATATGTCAATGAGAGAAAACATATTTTGGACCAAGAAAAGGAGTTTACATTGTTGAGAGGTGTCTGAATTTGAGGGTTGTTTGGATGTACAGTTGCTCATCGGTTTATAACAAAGTTTTGTTAAATACATATAGGTAACTAGTCCATAATGTCATTTCAACCACTTTCTTCCAAATCCTTAGCTAAGCCATGATTTGTTTAACAGTTTATGACCATTTTGTGTTGCAGCGAAGACAGAGACTATGTGATAAGGGTTGTATTCTGTGTAAGACTGGCAAGTTTGCCAACTACTCTGTCTACTGCGACCATCTCAACACCAAGAGCCACAAAGATGTAAGTTACAAACACATTTATTCAATAACCAGCTGATATGTTACTTGGGTACATTTATAGTCGCTTCAAAAGTGGTTGTGAATGATTTTGATTTATATAGCTTGGAATGCAATATTATGTTTGTTCTGTGAAAATGACAGTAGGCTACAGGAAGTTTTACTCAACAGAAAAATGATCACTGGGTTTGTTGTGCTACATTTGCTGTTTATATTTTTAAAAAATTGACAATATTTTATATGAAAAACATATTTTGATGGGTTGTTAACTCTTTTAAGGTTTCTCAACAATTTGTAATTTTGTTTCAAATCTTACAATTTCTGATCTGATTTATATATAAAATATATAATATACCAATAGCTATATCTCTAGTGCTCCAATGCATCATCATCATTAATAGTAATACTAATAGTTAAGTCGTTTTTTTACATGTAAATGTCTTCTTTTTCCTTCCTTTATAATTGTTATAATTTTTTGTTTGTACATGTACTTGACCCCAAGGGGTGTGAATGTACTTGAAGAATAAATAAAATATATAATATAATAATGTTATAATACATAATATTCATATATAGTACTATGTATAATATTCGATCCATGAATTGAAAAAACTATTATGTAAAATCACAAAAGTGTCAAAATTACAACTATATACAAACAAATTAGTTTTGTAAGTTATGAGGTTACTATTCATCAGTATTAATGGCTCCATATTCAATCCTTGCTTCTGATTGACGTCTTTTACACTTCAAGTATGTAGCCCCTGTTGTTACCATAGCAACCAGTATCAAAAGAACAAATAGTACAATGTATCCTGCTGGTAATGTGTAACCGTGTGGAATATTACAATTTGCTGTTTGATTTGCATAACGGTACAGAGGAGTGTTTCTTAAAGATTGTGGAGTGAAGCACTTTGTATGGGTTGAATTCAGGATAATACTGTTGTTGAAAATCCATTCTGCAAGACCTGCAAGTTTGCATTCACAGTTGAAAGGATTTACTGAGATATCCAAATTGGTAAGATGAAGTTGTTTGAAAAGCCTAGCATCTAGAGTTGTAATAAGATTGTTCTGGGCATATATAACCCTTAATTCTGTCCTTGCAGTATCAAATATACCAACTGGTATAGTTTGTAGTCTATTTCCAGAAATATCCAAATAACTCAATGATTCTAAGTTCTGAAAACTGTCAACATCAAGCGTTGTAATTCCGTTACCTCGTAAATTCAATTTTTGTAGCTTCCTCATTCCAAGCAATTGATCTCTCCATTTTGTTTGTTTCATTGATTTTAATGATTTTGCGAGGCTTAAAATATTCATGTTCAACAACCCAGAGAGCAAATTATCTGGCATATCTGCAATGCTGTTGTCAGACAAATCTAATTCTTCCAACAATGTTGAATGAAGAAATAGATTTTCATCAACTCCTAGTAAATTGTTGCTGTTCAATTTAAGTAACGTCAAAGAATATAAATCTGAAAATATACCTTCTGGTAATACACTAAGATGGTTATTTTGCAAGTATAAGATCTTTAATTTTATCAGTCCTTTAAATGCATCTTTCCCTATAAAGTGGATGCTGTTTCTTTGCATATGTAACTCTGTTAGATGTACTAGTGGTGAGAATGCAAGTTGCCCAATGGTTTTAACCGCCCCACCTGAGAAATCAATCTTCCTCACTCCTGACTTCTCTAGTAATGCCATTAACTCGAGTGTTATTTCCATTTCATGGTAATTAAAGTAATTTTGAAATATCAATTCTGAAATATTCACGTTCTTCAGAGAATTAAGTACAATTTCAATGGGAACCAAAGATTCACTAAAGTCTAGCAATTCAATGGGGGATATTTTCTCAAACACATTTGTGTCAATTCTTAAAATATAACAACCTCGAAAATAAATTCTTGATAATGATTGGCTGCAATTTTCGAAAAAATCATTTTCAAGATAATTGAGATAATTCCCGTTGAGTATCAACGTTTCAAGTTGAGTGAAGTATTTGAGTGCATTGAGTTTGAAGATAACTTGGTGTTGCATATTCAATGCAGATCCAATATCCAAAAACTGCAATTTTGTTGCTAAGTAAACGCCCTGTGTGATGGCCTCTAGGGATTTAAATTGGTTCCCATTTAGATTCAGATGCCTCAATTGGAGCAGTTTTGTTGCTATGTTTGGTTGTAGGCTTGTGATCCAGTTGTGGCTCAAGTCAAGTGTCTCTAAATGTGAGATGTTGTAAAGCATGGGGAAGACATCTTTGTTCACAAGGTTGTTGTCACTCATGTTCAACAGGTGTAGATTCCACTGGAAAATAGTCCAATTGTTAGTGTCCCTTCTGCAATTGCTGGGGGTTGCCAGAGATGCAGGATTGACAATATGCTGAGGTGAAAATGTTTGATATATAAAACTTATTAAGGCTAAAGCAAGGTTTAAGGATGCCTCAGCCAAATCTCAGTTAAATAGAATTGGGACAAATGGTTGTCATGTTTTGAAGAAGAAAATAAGTAAGCAAGGAACTGTTGGTTATACAGGTACATACAGAATTAATTTATATGTATCTAAAAATCCAAATATCTGTTTTATTTATTTCTTTATGTCACAATTGATTTATTGACAAATTCCAACAGCAGACACATCTTTGTATACACTGGATCAGTGTAAAAAGACATTTGTTGAATAATAATAGCATATTAAAAATAAAAAATAAAGAAGAAGCAATGTATCAGCAATATTAGCATCTCCTGGATATGTGAAAAGGTGGTGTAAAATCTCTTGGTTGAAACTCACCAATGGGTAGAAGGCTTCATGTGCCTCATACAACTGGAGACTCATTTGTGACATCTCTAATTCCTGGATGTTTTCCAAGCCTGTAAATGCCCTGTATTCTATAAATACAGTTCCTTCATGGTCTGGTGCATTAAGATTCTTCAATATAACACTTGTTATATTTCTTGGAAGACCTTGAAATGTTTCGTTGTTTACTGTCCTTATTGTGCAGTCAAACATGAGGAGTTTTTCAGTCCCATCTGGTAATATTGGTATAGATGGCACTCCAGTGCAAGCAACTGTTGCATGGTAACATTGGCAATGTTTTGGGCAGTTCTGTGTTGATATGTGTTTCAGTGTTGCCATGGAGACAAATGTAAGTAATGTAAGCTGAAGGGGAAAATTTGTAAAATCCCACATCTTTGATTTATTGATCAAAGTTTCCTTTATTCCCTTTTAATTTTCAACAGAATTATTTGTATGTGTAACTTCCTCTCTACTGCAACTGCTTGTGCTAATCTTGAAACTCCATTTTACCTTTCACCTTCTTAAAGATTGAATGTCTCTAAGAAAGGCATCTTGGTCCTAAAAGGTAACTTGAAACTTTACTGAAACTTAAAACACTAGTTGTTGGGAAATTTGTTCTGATCCTAATAAAGCCCCCTGAACAGGCAAATGTTCTTCTGATCTACTAAAATGATGTTTGTTTGTTTAAACTTGATTACACTATGTTAGTGTTTCACATTATCCTGTTTATCCTCTGTGCATATCAGCATTGTTTAATGTCTGTTTGTTTATGTTGTTACACTTATTGAGGTCATCTTAAGGCTAACTGTAATACAATATCTTGTGTCTTAGGTTACCATAATTAGGTTCTATGTTTAGCATCAGATTTTTAGAAGGTTGAGGATTTTCATTATTTTCTGTCTGAACTGATGCAATATGATAGGATAATGGTTTATTTCGTAAATGCTGCATTGGACTTCTGTTCATTATTATATACGTGGAGTTAATTTATAAGTTGAGAATGCTAAACATTCTACATTTATATTTACAATTGTTGCCCTAGGTTGTGAAATAAGATATTAAAAAGATTAACATGTAGGCTTTACTGTTGAGATTGTGTAGGCAAACACCAAGTGCTTAAAACAACACTGTAATTGTCCTTAAAATCTATTTTATGACACTTTTCTCAAAGATTTCAGACTCATTGTTGATAATATAAATCTGTGCAATTAGATTGATTTTTTCCTCCTCTTATTTCATATTTTAATATGAATTTGACATTCAGTTGCTGAAACCCCTTGTGAGGGTTTGCAAAATACATTTGCCTGTCAACATGATGAACAAAATATGCTCTTTTCATATTTTTGCATTCTGACCCAGTCTTGAGAAAAAGAACTGTTTTGCAAGGACCATTGAACTTTGTACCACCATTCATTGTAATATAACATTACAAACAAAACAGTAGATAATTTATTTTACTCTTTTGAATGATAAATACTCAGTTTCAGTTTAGTGTTACTGAATCTAATTTTAACTTGTGGCTTACTCCATTGACATTTGCAGTTGAATGTAAAGGAACGCATCATATCCTGTCTACCCAGATTCTAACACAGTTTTCTCTGTCATGAAATAAGTAAGGAGAGATAAGAGAGTAAAGAGACTTGATGATAGGTTCTCTTTCGACAACCTAGGTGTCTGTTATTATGTCACCACCAAAAGTGGTGACATATTGTTATGGTCTCCGTTTTTTTGCGACGGCGGTTGGCGTCCGGCGGTTGGCGTCCGGCGGTTGGCGTCCGGCGGTTGGCGTCCGGCGTCTGGCGGTTGGCGTCTGTAACAATTTCTTACAACTTCCTATAACTTAACAAATACTGTTTAGACTGACTTCAATTTTTTTCTAAATCATCTACATGTTCTCAGAAGTTCAAATCTGACTTTAGATTTGACATTTGACCTTCAATGACCTTCTCAAGGTCAAAAAGGTCTTTTTTCAACTTGCTTCACATTGACTAAATTTTTTTTCAAAATCATCTACATGTTCTCAGAAATTCAAATCTGACTTTAGATTTGACATTTGACCTTCAAATCTGACTTTAGATTTGACATTTGACCTTCAATGACCTTCTCAAGGTCAAAAAAGGTCAAAAAGGTCTGTTTTCAACTTGCTTCAAATTGACTAAAATTTTTTTTCAAAATCATCTACGTGTTCTCAGAAATTCAAATCTGACTTAAGATTTGACATTTGACCTTCAATGACCTTCTCAAGGTCAAAAAAGGTCAAAAAGGTCTGTTTTCAACTTGCTTCAAATTGACAAAATTTTTTTTCAAAATCATCAACGTGTTCTCAGAAATTCAAATCTGACTTTAGATTTGACTTAAGATTTGACATTTGACCTTCAATGACCTTCTCAAAGTCAAAAAAGGTCAAAAAGGTCTTTTTTCAACTTCTTCAAATTGACTAAATTTTTTTTTCAAAATCATCTACATGTTCTCAGAAATTCAAATCTGACTTTAGATTTGACATTTGACCTTCAATGACCTTCTCAAGGTCAAAAAAGGTCAAAAAGGTCTGTTTTCAACTTGCTTCAAATTGACTAAATTTTTTTTTCAAAATCATCTACGTGTTCTCAGAAATTCATATCTGACTTAAGATTTGACTTAAGATTTGACATTTGACCTTCAATGACCTTCTCAAGGTCATAAAAGGTCAAAAAGGTCTGTTTTCAACTTGCTTCAAATTGACTAAAAAAATTTTTCAAAATCATCTACGTGTTCTCAGAAATTCAAATCTGACTTTAGATTTGACTTAAGATTTGACATTTGACCTTCAATGACCTTCTCAAAGTCAAAAAAGGTCAAAAAGGTCTTTTTTCAACTTGCTTCAAATTGACTAAATTTTTTTTTCAAAATCATCTACATGTTCTCAGAAATTCAAATCTGACTTTAGATTTGACATTTGACCTTCAATGACCTTCTCAATGTCAGAAAAGGTCAAAAAGGTATTTTTTCATCTTGCTTCAAATTGACTAAATTTTTTTTCAAAATCATCTACATGTTCTCAGAAATTCAAATATGACTTTAGATTTGACATTTGACCTTCAATGACCTTCTCAAGGTCAAAAAAGGTCAAAAAGGTCTTTTTTCAACTTGCTTCAAATTGACTAATTTTTTTTTCAAAATCATCTACATGTTCTCAGAAATTCAAATCTGACTTTAGATTTGACATTTGACCTTTAATGACCTTCTCAAGGTCAAAAAGGTCAAAAAGGTCTGTTTTCAACTTGCTTCAAATTGACTAAAAAAAAATTTCAAATCATCTACATCTTTTCAGAAGTTCAAATTTGACTTTACAAGTTCTCAGAAATTCAAATCTGACTTAAGTTTGAACTCATAATATTGTGAGCAACTAGGTGGTGACATTTTGTCATGTTAATGCCTTGTTTCTGTTTATACATATCCTTTTATTTATCAAGGCCAAAGGATAGATAATTGGTAAATGCACAAATAAGACGACAAATAAATAATTAGTGTACACATTTAATTCACAGCAATTAGGGCATACGTCTGTATTTGATGTATTTGTACTTCAAGACTGAATTCAAGATTTAGTTGAGGGATAGGGATTTCAAACACCCTAATTTACTACAATTAGAACAGACATTCTATGATGAATGAATATTAAATGTTTTTTAGAACAAGGCAGAGCTGCAGGTCAAGTTGAAGGCACAGAAAGAAGAAGAAGAGAAAGAAAGAAGGGAGAAAAGAGAACAAAGGCACAAAGAACGCGAGGAACGAGAAAAGGTAACTTACAACTAGGGATCTTAAATGAAAATATTCTGTTTCTGAATTGATTTTGAATTTCACGGTAATCTGGATTAATGTGAAAAGAAAAAGTCCAAGGTTGATACTAAACGAAAAATTGCTCTTTGTGTAGTAGGCTGTAAAAGGCTCTGGTTCTAAAATATCAGATTTTTATGGCACCACCAAAAGTGATGGTATCTGGCAGTTGGCATCCGGCGGTCGGCATCTGTAACAAATGGCATGTGGTTACATTTTGCATGTTAATGTCTTGTATAATTCATATACTTTCACTGTCTCTTTCAGAAGGAGAAAACTGAGAAGGCAAAAGCAGAAGAGGAGAAAAAGGAGAAGTTGAAGGAGAAGATTACTGTCAGTGTACCTGATGAATACAGCCCTGAACTCGCTGTTGGTGAGAACAACTTCATTTTATTCACCTAAATCTGTATGATTACAAGATTATATGTTGAATGAATACACATTAAGAAAATGCACTTTACACTATACTTCAATTATAGCCTCAATTATAGCCTCGTAAGAAGAGGGTCATTAACAGAAATTTTGTAAAGTTTTAGATTGCTAGAGACCATTGCTGTCTATGCCACCATTATATTGTTGGTTACACCAATTGATTCAGGAAGTCCTAACTTAAGAGGTTCCTGCTCATGAACCCTAGGTTATATGAATTACTTAAGAATCATTAAAAAGTGCAGTATAGTATGATAAAAAAAATCTGAATGTCTAGTGGAGTTATCAAGTTGTTCATGAAGTTCATCAAGTATCTGTACTTGAATTTAGGCAAGTTATCTCATTTTGCTGAAACAGGCAGATTTTGAAAATATAACATAAACATATTCATTCAATCTCACTTAATGAGCATGTTCATCCAAATTCTGGGTTATTTTAAAAAAATACACTTGTTTTATTTCTGGAGAGCGAGAGATCACTTAGATATTTTTTGACTCTTCAGAGGATGAGAATATAATTGAAGTTTTAATTTTAGGTCAAGAGTATGTGGTTCCTGTATCTGGATTTTTCTGTAAGTTGTGCCACAAGTTCTACAACAATCAAACTGCAGCCAAGGTCACCCATTGTACTTCTCTGCCTCACTATGAGAAAGTCAAGGTAATATTTTTGATATATTTGTGCTCATGTGCCCTTTTATGTGGGTACGGTGCCATAAAATGTCATCTACTGTTATTATGCCAGCCATGACAAAAATAAAATTCATGCAATCTATAAATATTATTTTAGCATGTTTCATATATTATGATTTGGATTGGCATATAACATATAGGATACAATTGTATTCCAGGAAGCAATCAAGAAGAGAGATTCTTTCCTGCGTGTCCGTGCTGCTAAGGCTTCTGCCGCAGCTAAGGCAAAAGCTGAGGCAGTGGAGAAAACACCTGAACCAGTTGAAGTGAAAGACGAGGTCAAAGAGGAGGTTAAGGAAGAAGTCAAAGAGGAGACCAAAGATGAAGTATGTTTTACGTGTTGTTTAAGAATACACTTTGATTTATTTAGCAATAACCAAAAGGGAATGATTTTGCTATTGTTCCAACAAGGGGATGGCAAAAAATTAAAATTGATAGTAGTAATTTGATGAAATACAAAGTCTTAGTATTCATTTACTCCTCGGAAATTGATTCAGCATGTATGTAGGGTACTAGATATGTTAAACATGTATTAATTGAAAAACATTTATTTGTAGGTTATTGATGACGAAATTGACGAAGCCGTACAAAATGGGGAGGATGAATCCATGGAAGAGCAAGTTGAGGATCATAGGGAGGAAGAAGAGAAGATGGAAGAGAATGTTATCACAATGGCAATTGAAGATGAGGCAGAGGAGGTATATCACTATAAAATCTTTAATCACGATATATAATATCACAATAAAAATGCAAACCTTTAAGGCATTTCTTTTGTGGTGAAATATTGTTGTAGTCATATGATTTGTGTGACCGTAATTGGCGCAATGTTCTAACTGTTCTGCATCTGTGATCATACTATTGAACATGTTGTAATTGCAGCTAGTGTCACATATTGTTATGTTCCTTTTTGGTGTTATGGAATATTTAAGTTGCAATCATCATCTCATAATTTTGAACAAGAATGTGCTTTTTGGTGATACTTCTAAAGCATTATCAGAAAAGACAATTCAGTTGTATCCATGTTGTTTGATTTGTTAAAAAGCAGCAGTAAACATTATTTTGCTAACACCAGGTATTTTGTAAAATATTTATCTCAACTTCAGGAGGGAGGTGATACAGAAGAGGAGACAGCCAAGGTGGATGAAGAAAAGGAGGCAGCCGCTGAGGCTGAGGAAATCCTGCTTGCAGAGGCGAGTGATGATCTTGGGACAGATGAAGATGCCGTTGAAGTTGAGCCAGAGGTGGTCCCTGTTAAGAAGCCTACCGCGGCTAAACGAACTCCCAGAGGACGTGCACGAGGCCGTGGGAGAGGACGAGGAAAGAAATAAACTTTTTCAATTGTTTTTGTGACATCAAATTGTTATATAATTTGACATCACAATGGACTCTATAAACTCCAGACGTTAAAAAGGATTGAATAAAATTCATCATGGCGATAATCACAATCGTCATGCATATATCAATCATGCAGGTTTATTTTAGTATAAAGCTTGGAATAATAAATTTTTATCTTTCTCTCTTTATTGAAACAATTTCAATTTCAGTCTCAAAATGCTTTGTATTGTATGAACGATCTAAAATATAAAAATGAAATAATGTTTATTCTGTTCTTCAGAGAAACCAATTTATTTCGAGACTCAACCTGAATCCATAAGTCTTTTTCAAGATATGAATTTTTAAAAATATAAACGAACAGCATACATCTATATTACAGTGTATATTTGTAGTCTTGATAAAATAAATTGATTTCTCTCAAGTAAACCAGAGAGATGAACTTACATAGAACTACTTCATAATACTTTTTTATGATATGTGTCTTTGCATTGCGAAAATGAGAGGATTTTAAATTCATGACAAGGAAATAGTAATTGATTTTATTGAGAACAGGCCTATTGATAGTTTACTCTAGCCTACATTGATTATATGAATGAAGTTATTTCTGAATAGTATATATGATGTACTTGAACTCTGATCATTGGAAATACATTGAGCAGTTTGTAAGATAAATTGTTGTTTAGTTTGCCTTCTTGTTTATCTTCTGGTGACATCTTACAATTTCTTCAGATACATTGCCTCAACTTAGTATGAGCCTAATATATATATATATTCCCAAGTTCACTTTTAAACAAAAATAAATGAACAATTCAACTCGATCAATTTGATGTTTTCAACCAGATTGGTCGCCAATATGATTTCATCATCTGTCTCTTACATTATAAATTACAGAATAACAGATATTTCTTCTACATATATTTCATGTTATATATATTCATACATAGATAATATATTTATATTTAATTTAACATGCAAACAGTAATAAATATGATAACATTTTACATTTGGCACATATACTTAGATACAGATAGCCATGAGAAATGTTGTTTTCAAACAATCTGAACAACCTTTCTTGTTTTACCATCTGCTGATTGCACATTTTAACATTATTCTGGCAATTGCACATTTTCACATCATTCTGGCAATTGCACATTTTCACATCATTCTGGCAATTGCACATTTTCACATCATTCTGGCAATTGCACATTTTCACATCATTCTGCTGGCAATTGCACATTTTCACATCATTCTGCTGGCAATTGCACATTTTCACATCATTCTGCTGGCAATTGCACATTTTCACATCATTCTGGCAATTGCACATTTTCACATCATTCTGGCAATTGCACATTTTCACATCATTCTGCTGGCAATTGCACATTTTCACATCATTCTGGCAAATGCACATTTTCACATCATTCTGGCAATTGCACATTTTCACATCATTCTGGCAATTGCACATTTTCACATCATTCTGGCAATTGCACATTTTCACATCATTCTGCTGGCAATTGCACATTTTCACATCATTCTGGCAATTGCACATTTTCACATCATTCTGGCAAATGCACATTTTCACATCATTCTGGCAATTGCACATTTTCACATCATTCTGGCAATTGCACATTTTCACATCATTCTGGCAATTGCACATTTTCACATCATTCTGCTGGCAATTGCACATTTTCACATCATTCTGGCAATTGCACATTTTCACATCATTCTGGCAATTGCACATTTTCACTGTTTTCACATCTTGATATGACCACCATTACTTAGGCATCAATTCTATGACTTTCTCATTGTACTGTATATTTGTCTGGATCTGCCTTTATGCATTTTACAATATCAGAGAGGGTGTTCAAAAACATGCTCCATGTTTATGCATATACAAAGTTAATTAATCCTAGACACATTTTAGAATATATGAAACATCAACATACCCAAGCACCATGGGTGCATTTTCACAGACCATTGTTCTAAATTGAATTAATGATTTCTTTAATTACAACAGTGAAGCTTCTAATCCATTGGGACCCAATCCAATGCAAAAACTGATTAAATGATTGTTATAAAATAAACTTCAATTCCTTCATATAGACTATATAAACAAATCACAGATATATGACATATATTATATTATACTACTTGCTAAACTCATCTATCATAGCACCCAAGATAATTGGCAAAATGTTCTCTCTACTAAATGCTTATTCCATCCTTCCTGCCTCTAAAATTTTAATGCATTACATGTATTTCTTGATTTGCTTTCATTGACAGTTTACACTGTTTCACTTCATTTACTTCAATCCATGCTGACTAGACCAACATTACGATTTCTCACAAATGAGATTTTTTCCAGTAGTACATTGTAAATATTCAGTTTATACTCTTGACCATTATTTAACTACTAATATGGTTTGAACATTGTAAAGATTATGGCATATGTAAAGATTTACATGTATTTCAGATCATTTTTCCTCCATATTGTAACTGACATACAATGTATATCCGTACCATATCTCCCTATGCTATAGATGTTCTTATTTCTAAAGATTAAATATACATCGTACTACAAGTATAAACATGTATGCAAGACCATTTTTCCTAGAGTATGTATTTGTAAAGATTAACATTCTACACCATTTTTATTTTTATACGCTATACAATTAAATAGTAAAGACTAACATATTTTCTTGACCATTTTTCAATGGTCTCTAATATATTGTAGAAATTAACATATTTTCGAGACCATTTCTTCCTCTATAACATACATCGTAAAGCTTTAGCATACCATATACAAGTATTCTAGAATAGATGTTATCATTAAAACATTGAGATTCAGTGAAACAAACTCTAAAATTGTCCTACAATGTTGTTATACATGTATTAATTATGTCATTCCTCTGTACAAAATTGGCAATATATATGTCCTGTCAATGTTTAATTTAATTATGGTTAAACTCTAGAAGCGATGGCTGAATAGTTTCATTTGCAATTAGCTTTTGGCAAGTCTGATGACATTACTTCAAAGTAAACCATCACTATTTAATTTGTTCATGGTATGTCATGGTATAATTTTTTGATTAACAGTTTTTAAAAACATTGTGGTCTGTTATGGGTAATTATTTTCAAATCAATGGCTAGATTATATTCACTGCATGCTAATATATATGTGGGTTGTCATGGCAACTTAGTCTGATCATTGTCATGGCACTAAAGTGCAAATCAATCATTTTGTTTTGTCAAAATATTACTACTATTATTATCAGCCAATGATTGGACTCTGTGTGAGTCGATCTTCAGATTTCAGCAACGCTGCATTCTCACTGTTGACTGAGTCTGTTGAGTCACCCTTTCGCATGTATGTCCCCCCAGGAGCAGACTGTGCTCCAATGGAGTGAGTGGGAGAGGGGGTACCACTGTGACGCACTGGGCTTGTTGAGGGTGACCGGGAACGCACAATCCTGGCCCCCTGGCGGGCAATTCGGCCGCGGACTGTTCCAGGGGGAGCTGCTGATTTCAAGATGTCTTCTTGTGATTTTGAGATGTAACGGGCTCTCATGCTTTGCTGAAAAAATATATGAGAATCATTTGCCTAATTTTTTAAACATGTAACTTTAGGCCTCTATTCTTAAAAGATTCAAAATGTTTAATCATTGGTTGTCTGTTTTGTAAAAATACTTCACTTTAAGGCTAATGATTTTGGATGAATTGGTTTTTATTTATTTCTCAATTTCTCTTACAATAATGCATTAATTTCATTTGTATTAATAAAATTAGACATAAGACAATCAGCAATCAATATACACAAGTATAGTCTATAGACTATAGCATATACACAGTAATCATTGAGATCTTAATACATTTAAAGATCTATTGATACAAATAGCTGGATATATTCACCTTCACTTCAGTATCGGATGGACTACCCAGGTCAATGGAAGAATTACTACCCCTATTAGGAGAGTTACCGGATTTATCTGTAATACAAACAATATATAAAAGTATTAAAACAAGTTTTAGTAAGATAACTGATTTCTCTGAACTATACAAGCAATAGAAAAATTACTGCCCCTATTTAAAGGGTAACGCATATCATTTAGCAAATTGCCCAAGTTTTTGGTGCTCATCGTTTAATATAAAAGGTGCAATCCCGGAAAAATACTCAAGGGTGCACAGTTTGATGTCAACATGGAAAGAGCTCTGCCCATTTATATAGTGTAGATCGCCATGCATTAAAAAAAGGGAAATTTTTATTTTGACAAATCAATTTCACATTGAACTTTTCTACAGATTGTTTTGTCTACAGAAAGATGATTTAAATAAGCAGATAGAAATTGATTTTTAAGAAGGTCATTGAAGGTCAACTATTAAATCTAAAGTCAGATTTGAACTTCTGAAAACTTGTAGATGATTTTGAAAAAATTGAAGTCAGTCTAAACAGTATTTGTGAAGTTATTGAAAGTTGTAAGAATTTGTTACAGATGCCGATCGCCAACCATCGACTGCCAATAACCAACCACTGTCAAAAAATGGAGACCATATCAATGTCATAATTTTTGGTGGTGACATAAAAATGGGTGATGGTGCTTAAACAAGTTTTTCTCTAAAACTTAATAGAAGTACCAACGAAACTCTCAGATATTTATGATATATGAACTGTTTGTCAGATGAGAAAAGGATTTGAATTGTCCCATATGAATATGAATACATCTACATGTATGACATATATCTTTTTCTGCCTAAATATTTATTCAATTGTTGGCTATATCAATCAACACTCCTCAGTTAAAATGACATGCTATACAAAAGTTGCATAACCCCTCATATAAGACCATGGTCTTAAAACACATTGTGTAACACATGAGATATATCATTATACATATTTACAGAATGTTAACAAAATCCTTAATTTTTATTCTATTCATGGATTATCTTCTTTAGAATGCGAATGAAATTTTAACTCTCAAACCTATTAAATTAGAAATAATTAAAATGTTTAATTTACCTGAGAAAATCTTTGTCAACATTGTGATTTACATGAAGATCTCTTATATGTCCTAATATGTCAATGTATATCAGTGTGACAGATATGTATGTTAGTGTACTTAATATGTGACAGGCCTGTCAAACCCATGAGTAAAACAACAAAGTGTTTTGTTTCAAAATGCAAATTACTGTTCAGCAATGGATAGCTGTGATAATGCTGGGGCACTTGAGAAAATTCTAGTTGTAGTGTTAATTCTTTTTCTATAAGGGGAACCCTTTTGCAATACGCATCATGAGGCTGACATGACTGAGTTTAAAAAATAAAATCAACCATCACTAAATGTCACCATGAGACAATCCATATATGACAAGTGATTTTGTAAAAGTTAAATAAAATATCTGAAATGTTGGCATTCATAGACAATTTAAAGTACTGATGTGATTACACAAATGGGATTTATAACATTATCAAAATACTTTAATGTGCTCTCTTAAATTACTCATACTTTTATTTATTTTCTCTTTCATTTAGCAATTGCAATAGACTAGGTGCGAGTAGAAATAATCTTGATTTACGTCATTAAATATTCAAAATTCAGTCAAAGTGATGTCATATTTGAAATCTGCATGTAAAAGTACATCTAGAAATATGGTTTCGAAAATTGTTTATCAACTTTGAAAATTTAATTTTTTTTGAAAATGTGACTTCTTGTTCGGGTTGATTCCCCATAAACCCCATGATACAAAATCACAAAAAGTGAAATATCTTTTCTTGTATTGGATAGATAACATTTTCTTTTACTGGACATATTTCAGTTAGCATAACTATTAGATACATAAGGGTTATATGAAAATTGAATCATTAAAACAGATGTGATTTAAGTTTAAGGGAACTTTCTCCTATACCCGCCATGCTATCTGACCCGAACGAGCCACCTGGTGGTGAATCTGGTAACTACCTACTCGCATCTGCGTTATTGATTTGAATCGTTTAAGTTTTGCAAGAGTTAAATTAAAGTGAGACAGGTAATGTTAAGAATGTTGTGACTAATCCACCCAGAGGCTTTTAAACTCATGCCTTATTAATGACAAAATAATTGTTCAAGTCACAATTTGTTTCTCAGTATTTATTTACCTATTGAGTAATATTACTTTTCCCTCTCATGAAATAATCTGTATATATGCTATATTTAGAGGTTATGTCACTATCGTGGCATATATGCCCGAGGTCTCAGTGATATATGGCCCGACCTTGGGAGGGACATTGATCTCTGAGAACCGTGGGCATATGTGCCACGATAGTGACATAAACGATTTATAACATACCTATGGTGATGTAGACTTGTCAGAGAGTAACGTTTTCTTATAGAATTGACAAACAAATGGTTTGAAGATGATTAAAATGAGTTTAGAAAAATTGCTCGCGCAGTTTTATCTTCGATTGATTGGTTATGACGTCAGCGCCTTGACCAATCAGAAAGTTAGCGGGCGCGAGCTTTTCAAAACTTATATTGGCCCGCTGCCTTGTGTACACTTTGCACTATACATCATCATAGGTATGTTATAAACATGTATATAGAGGATATCCTATGATTTATGAGTGATATGATTTTTATCCATGAATGGGTATGATATCTGCACGAGTGAGCATTGCGAGTTACTGCCCCAACAGACAGACGGTGGACGGACGTACCCCTTGAACTTCATTCGATGGAATGATAATTACCTTCAGTTATTTGAGGATGAGATTGCTCACTCTCGACAATAGGTGGTGCTATGTTTCCCTCTTCCTGTACGGTGCTCACTTTACGAAGAACACCAGGGCTTTTCTCTTCTTCAATTAGAGGAGCTGGACCAGACATACCATATCTGAAATTGTATTATTTATTTGAAGAGAAGCCACAAGTTATAGGTTTCTAATATGGTATGTTTGCAGTATGTGTGAAATATGTGATTGAAGTTTGCTATTTTGACTGGTATGGGATGGAATACCTTGACATATCTGGTCAATAGCAAGATAATCAATAATATATATATAATATATATTAGGTCTTCATATTTAAAGATAGGTCACCTTGGACTACAAACCATGATTTGACCCATTTGAACTATGAAAATAAGTTTATCACATGACTATATTGACCTTGCAGGCTATGTTAAAGGCATGACAGTAATTTAATGTAAGGGGCACAACTATGTGGATAAGGATAAGGTCATATTAGAGACATATCTATACTGCTGAGCATTGCAGGCTAAATGTCAAAGGCATGACTACAGTGGCCAATAGCCTCTTAGTGACACTTATTTGTTTGGGGAATGTTACATACCTTCTACTGGCCACTGTTTGAGTTCTCCTTATACTGATCAAGTCTCGACTTTTCTGACGCTTTATCTTGAAGGTTTTACGACTTTTGGCATCCTGGCGCTGTAAACGATGCCCCCTGGTGGTAAAATCTGGTGATCCACTAGCGCCATCTGATGTTGGCGATGAAGGAGATCCTAGTTCAGAGCCTATAAAATATTATGCTATTTATTATTGATCTTTTGTAAAAGCAGGATTTCCGTTCTAAAAAATATTTTCACGGGCTTTAATTTTAGTTATAAAGCTATTTCTACTTATTGCATGTTTCTAAAATTGATGCCATTAATTCTAGACTAAAAATTAGTATCAACTTCTTTAGTATTAAAATATTGGTAAACAAGTTCAAAATGATATATAAAAAACAGAAATATAAAATAAGTTAGAAATATCATGTGTGCAGACATAAAACAAGTGTTCATACAATTACATTCCATATATTAAATCAAACTAAAATAGTCAAAACACGAAACAATATCTAACAAAAGTATTATAGCATAAATGTTTCCAGAAATATCATATAATCACACAGTTTATTAATTAATGTTAATCTATGTTTCAATAGAATTACAACCTATAGCTACCCTGAGCTTCCCTCTGACGACATGTGTGTCTCATAATTTAACAGTTTATGTTCACCCAATCAAAGAGCATTACATTCTACTAACATAACATATAAGGATGATATGTTAGAAGGACAATGGCCACTGATTGGTTTGTTGAGTTCAAGGGTTTCTCAGTAATGCTTAGAGTGTCAACAATAGTTCAACCCTCTTGCAAAGGGTAGCCTATAGGAGAGTGGGGGGGGGGGGGCTACACACTACACTACCTTCATCTTCACAATGTTCATCTAATATATTTTCAGAGATTATCTCCGTAGCCATTTCTTCCCCAATTGGACAAATACTTCTTTGTTTTGTGATGTAGCCTTTTTGATAGACGCTACCTTGACGATGGAGCTTTGACCTCGAAGGGTTCGCTAAAGGAGCATCTAAAAGGTTAAAGGTCAAGGTTACAATAACAACATCGCAGAGCAACTTTAGTGGACTGTGGCAGCTACTAGGATAGGAAGCAGAAAATACAATGTGCATTTATGGATTGTGTTTTGGAGATGATTGTGCACTGAGCTGATTGTGATTTTTGGATTGTGTTTTTTTATAAAATTATCATCTGTCATAAAAGGGTTGTATCTCATGCTATGAGTATTTCAAGACTTTGTATAGCATTTTTAAGAGGTCCGTTAGGAATTCTCTTTTTTTAAATTTGTGTAAAATAAAGGAATTTGGAAATATACTCAAAAGTATTACAGGGTGTCCAAAAAAAACAGGACCGTAAGAAAGTTGAATAACTCGGTCAATTTTGCATATTTTGCCTTGAAATTTAAGAATTATTTAGGTCATTCAATGTGAATTTTGTTCTGAAAGTTTGATGATAATCTGTTTATTGTGTCAAAAACTACAGTACTTTACAAAACATGCTCAAAGTGGGCACTTCTCCTCTCTATGCACAAACGAATCCTGCGAACAAAGTTGTTAATGACCCTGACCTATACACATTAATGTGGATGGCAAATATTGGGGTAGTTATTGCCCTCTTAAGGTTGTTAGGGGCCTGTCAGTATACACATTGGCTTTGAGAAATCCTCAAAGATAAAAATTTGGGGGATTTAGATCTTGCAAATGAGCTGCCTATATGGTTTGCGTTCTGCAAGTGATGAGCTGACCTGACCAAAGCATTGCCTAAACCATTTCAGCATATCATTTGCAGTGTTGGGGTGGTATTTGCTTGTTGAAACCACTGCTTATCTCCTTAGATGTCCCTTCTGGTGCTTAAGTGACCTCCAACAACTTACTGGTCCTTGTTCATGGTGATAGCACGTCCCCAGTCACCTTCGAACCAAAAAGGACTGATGATTCCATGTTTCCTCATTGACACCCAGGCAGTGCATTGTTCAGAATGCAATGGATGCTGTAACACTTCATCAGGAGGATGTAAGCCCCAGTAGCCATTGTCTTTGGAACAAACTTGTCCATTCAGAAAGACATTTGTGTTGGAGGATCATCAACAACTTTGTTCGCCGGATTGAATTGTGCATAGAGTGGAGAGGTGCACATTTGGGGCATGTTTTGTAAGGAGCTGTAGTTTTTGACTCAATTGGTGGATTATTATCAAACTTTCACAACTAAATTCACATTGAATGAACTAAATAATTCTAAAATTGAAGGCAAAATATGCAAAATTGACCGAGTTATTCAACTTTCTTACGGTCCTGTTTTTTTTGGACACCCTGTATTTTCATGTAAGACATAGAGTTGATATTTGATGTTGGTCTTAATGGTCCCTGTTGTAGAGAATGTAAATTAATGCTTTTTATTGAGTCTACCTCTTTGTAGGTTCTCATTAAGCAAGGGATGTGTGATATTATGTATGAATGGTATGATATTGCAAATGAATTATTGAATACTGTGATATCATATAGAATGATGTAATATCTTATATGAATGATAAGAATGTAAGTAAGAATCGTGTTTCATACAGTAATGGTGTGATACAAAAACAATGCTAGAAATGATGTGATATCATAGAATAAGAGTGTATTATTATAATAGTATGTTGTAATATAAATGATGTGACATAATAGAGGAATGGTTCGATATTATAGAGGAATGGTGTGATATTATAGAGGAATGGTGTAATATCATATAAGAACAGAGAAATTTTATATATGAATGGTGGGATATCATAGAGTAATAGTGTTATATTATGTATGAATGGTATGATGTGAATGATATGTATGGTGTGATATAGATAATAAATGAGGTGATATCAAAGGGGGATAATGTGATATCAAATATAAATGGTCAAATATCATAAAATAATATGAGGTTATATAATGGTTCTTTCTGTATATCGTGTTTATACTCGAGTGAGTATATGATATATTCACAAGTGAGCGTAGCGAACGAGTGAATATATAATATTCTCACGAGAGTGTAAAATGCAAGATATACAGAATGAACCATTATATAATCTTATTATGCCACTCTAAGTTCAATTACAGTTGATTCGAGTTGATCCATAAAAATATCCCATAGCCAACTCAATAATGCTGATGTTGATCTCTAACCATTTATGAAGTGGCTTGATTCTAGCAAATCATGCCGGAACCATTTATTACGTCACTTGATTCTAGGAAATCATGAAAATTTTCATGATTTTTTTATTCATTAGTTCCCAGAATGCACTTCTACAGTGGTATACGCTGGAGTGTATACGGAGGAGTTGTATACGATGACGATATACCACTCTCCACTGTATATCGTTGTTATAGACCCATGTTATATAACTGTAAGTGGACTTAGAGTGGTATAATATGTGATATCATTAATAGTGTGTTATCATATTTGGTGTTATATCATAAATAGTGTGTTATCATATTTGAACAGTGTGATGTCATACAGAAATAGTGTGATATCATATTTGAATAGTGTGATCTCATATATGAATGGTGTAATATCTTGGCAGATGAAGCTTGATAAGGATGGATGAGATAACATGGGTGAATTGATGCTTTGAAAAGTGTAATGTCATAAAGATATAGTGTGATATCATATATGAATGGTGTAATATCTTGGCAAATGAGGCTTGATAAGCATGGCTGAGATAACATGGGTGATGTGCTGTGAATAGTGTGATATCATATAGAAATAATGTGATATCATATTAGAATAGTGTGATGTCATACATAAATAGTGTGATATCATATATGAATGGTGTAATATCTTGGCAAATGAGACTTGATAAGCATGGCTGAGATAACATGGGTGATGTGCTGTGAATAGTGTGATATCATATAGAAATAATGTGATATCATATTAGAATAGTGTGATGTCATACATAAATAGTGTGATATCATATATGAATGGTGTAATATCTTGGCAAATGAGACTTGATAAGCATGGCTGAGATAACATGGGTGATGTGCTGTGTACCTGCATACCTACAATAAGAATGAATAAGGCATAAAAGCAAAATTATGTTCGCAGTTTCAGTTTGGACCATAAATAAATGAGTAGTTAATTTTCTATCACCATTTCCAATGTTGTCTAGATACATATCACCTAAGATTTGTATATCTTACATTTTGTATACTCATCCAATGATTTGTGACCTCTTGAAAATTCTTTTATTTTTAACATGGGAAATAGTCACTTCAGCAAATCCATGACTTATGATTTATTTATGGTTCAAACTGTAAATGTATAAGAGGGAGGAGGTCAAGCTATAACATGTGCATAGTCCAAGACCCCCTCCCCTTTATAACATGATGCCATGCAGTTTAAAACAATGCAAGTAAAGCAGTAAACACTATGCATTTGCTTATTACGAATTTCTGAAATACATCTACAAGGTAACCCAAGAATGGTATATGTCCTTAATTATCTCAAATATTTTCTTAACTAGATCAATGGTATTTGTTAGTGATTGAGTGAATAGTTGTTCAGTTATTGACAAGACGAAGGTCTCAAATAACTTTGTTGACTATGGTGCCCATAATCACAAAATAGAGCTGTTTATTTAAAGAATATATATTTTCCTGTGACACTAAAAGCTGTGTGAGGAAAATATCTTCTGCTGAAAAAATGTTCTCTAATGCATTATCGATATAGTTTTAAGCATTTGATGAGGACATACTAAAGCTGTCGGAACCACATGGGAAATGGAGACTGGGTGAATCATGGAAGGTGCATATTGTTAAGGGACAAATGGAATACATGAAAAGAATATTTGAACAATCTACATGTGCCCTACTTAATATAATTTGGATACCATATTCTCTCTATTAAACACACTGTCTATATCCTTTCCTTTATTGTACCCTAAGAGATATCTCAAACAACAGATATAAGACAAGTGGGTGATAAAATTGGAAAAATAATTCTACTCCCAACTGATTGACTGAATCTTTTACAGTTGATTTAAATTCAAACACAGATGTGTCAACATCAATAAAAACACTGCACAGTTTTTCAGCTAACTATAAGGATTTGCATGGAAGAAAGTATGATGTTTGAACATATACACCTACATGCATGTGTATCTATTGGAGAGAATATGGTTATTGGTTTTACACATCGGTTCTACACAATGCACGGAACATTTCACAAATCTTGTATATTACGTAATCTTTCCATCGGCTTCATCTAAAAACTTCCATAGGTTAATTGAAAAAAGCTACAGGAGGTACAGTATGAATTTTTCTAGCAACTTGTCCAATAAATTCCCATTGCTACTGGTATAGAAAAATTGTACCATAGCTCATGGAATTTTCCATTGATGAAGACTCTGGGGTCTTTGGTCTGGAAATTTCCATCATCGATATATCATGTGAGATTATGTACTACTACTGTGCTGGGATAATCTACACACTATAGTGTTGGGATTACTTAACCTTAATGTGTGTGATGTAATTTAGAGCAACCAGAAAAAATCATAATGCAATGTATACTTTGATTTTTATTTTCAAAGATGTGATGTGAACTCCTAATAACCTTAATAGTGTACAAGTTCTTCTAACATGGTATTCAAATTCCTGTCTTGATGTTTCCTTTATGCATGTTCATCATTGGACTTTACATTATGAATTTTTTCAGGAGGTCGTCACTGTTGATCACGTACAACATCATGTTGATACTGCTTTAAAATATTTTCTAAGAGGGAGAACTGAAAGAATTTGCTATATGTCAGATGATTTGACATTGACCATAATTCATCAAAATCAAAAAATATGTACCATCAGAGGGATTCAAATAAAGGAAATACAATGTATTAAGCCAGTGGCTCCTCTGAATTTCTTCACATCATATTTACTTTGCATTTACCTAGAATTAAACTAGCACTTTTTGGGGAACTTTCATTACCTAAAAGACAAAGATTTTGTAATCCCTTCTCAATCTGAAGTAGACGGTCAACTTTATTCTTATGTAATCA